CCATTCGCTTTCCGATTTCAAAATCGAGTTAACATTTTTTTATATATACAAAGTCCAAAAAACAAAATTATATAACGAAGGCAGGGCAACAAGAAGAGTACAAGAAGATGGCCGAAGGCCGATGTCCGATGTCCGATGTTACTCTACTCCGCTCTCTCCTTCCCTTTCTCCGACCGGGCCTTCTTCGGCGCCGGTTCTCCCTCTTCCTCTACCTCCTCCTCTCCTTCTCCATCCTCTTCTTCTCCCATCCTCCTATCCTCTTCTTCCTCCTCACTATCCACGACCCTTCTCCTCTTCTTCGGCAGCCGCGAAGGTCCTGGTTCCGGCATCTCCGGTGGTGTTTTCCTCCTTCTCGCGGCGTCCGTCATCAACCAGTCCAACTTGCGGTTGATATGGCAGTTGTAGGTGTTGTCCTTCAACTGGCCCTCTCGAAGCTGCCGGTTGTCTGCCAGCAGCTGAGCCATCTGGCTCTCCAAGATCGCCAGGCGCTCGCCGATCGGTTGTCCTCCCCCCTCTCGCTTCACCGTCGAAGGCCGCCCGGAGTACGAGCATCTGACCTTAGCGTCGTGACAGGGTTTGCAAATAATTGAACTCCTCTTGCCAGCCTGCATCTGGCAAGGGATCTTCTTGTTCCTGCATCGTTCGCAGGGAACTCGCTCATCGTCGTCTTCATCGTCATCATCTCCGCCATCGTCCGGATCTCCGCCGCTAGCCTAAAAAACTTAGAGTTAGTAAGTCGGTGAGGATATGGCAGAAATCACTCACCTCCATCCTCTGTTTGCCCTTGGCTTTCCTAACCACCCGAGGAACTTCTACTTCCACTCGACGAGCGGAAGTAGATGCTTCCCCTGGGGAAGGGCCCCGGCGGTTTCGCGCTGCCGCGGCTGCCGCAATCCTCCTTCTCTTCTCCGCTGCCTCTTCCTCCAATCTTCTGGCATTGGCGGCCCGCTCGGCGACCTCTTGCCTCTGCCTCTCCTCCTCTGCTTTCTGTCTAGCTTCTTCCTCCGCCTTCCTTTTTTCCTCCTTCCTCTTCCGGTTCTTCTCCCTGGTGAGTTGCAATTGGAGCTCGAGCTCCCGTTCCTCGTCAGAGGGATCCGGCGTTGAAGGGCGAGTTGGGGCCGGGGGCGAAGTTGGATGGGCGCCGGTGACCGGAATCGAGCCGACGGTAGTGGTGGTTCTGGTGGTGGTGCGACTAGAGGACATGTGTAGACTTGGAGTTTTGGGAACTTGGCCATAGCGGCAAAACCTGGCCCTTTTTTATAGGGTCAAAACTGCGCACGGACCAGCAAGAAATTTTCTTCGAGTTGTACTCGGTTTACGGTGTACCGAAAATTTTCTTGGATGACTAACGATAATCCCCGGCACCAACGGCTTTTGAAAATTTTCCTGCTGACTGACGGGCCAAATTCCCGATGCTGACGGCCTTTAAAATTTTTCCTTGTTGACCAATCAACTCCCGGTATTAATGGCTTTCGAGGGCTCAAGCCTAAGAGGGGGATACTGTCAAGCCCATGCCTCGGGCCTCCATTCCGCCGCTCGGCATTCCGAAGATCCACCTTTATTGTAATCTCTTCCTTATTGTTCTTTCTTGCTACACATACCCTTTCACTCTAGTCCCTCTTTATTGTCTTTTACTTTACCCTGCAGGACTACACGTATAACTCCTAGTAGTTAGTCTGGCGCTCCGCCCCGCTGCGCCGCTCCGTAGATATAAATACTGCTTGTACGCTACTGTAGTTCCTCAGTTTAATTATCGACTTAGATTCCCTCTTCCACTCTGTGCTCTCTAAGTCTTCAGGCTCAACGCCTTGAAGTACTCTCTGCGCTACCTTAGGACTAGACGTCCTCTGGCTCGCTCCTCGTCACCGGCGATACCGCCGCTCCGACTTGGCTGCTTCTCAGTTCCTCCCTTCTCTACTCTCGATCTCCGGGGACTAACGGCGTAACGGCGGTGTTGTTAATAACTTCACTACTGTCCCACTCGTCTTCCGCACTTAGACACCCTGTGGCTCTGGCACGGTTACACGGTGTACATGATCTTAACAGGATGCTTCTCCCCAAAATAAGTAAGGGAGTCCTGCATCTTCTCGTAAGGTATGGATGCCCTCTATGACTGTACAGAATGACCTCTCAGCTACCCCGTTAGCTGCCGATGAATCAGGTGGGACTTTCTTGATAATTATCCCATTTTCAGCACAGTATGCATCTACTAGTCTGTTATTCAGTTCCCTGCCACTGTTGATTTGGATCACTTTTAGCTGCTTGCTGGTCTGTTTCTCGGCCATTGTTCTGTACTTGTGCAACGTTTTTAGTCCGGTCTCCTTCTGCTTGTTTGTCAGGTAATATGGTACCTGGAATGACGGCTTTCCATTGGTGCAGAGCATTAGGTAGCTCACCCCCCCACAAGTTTGCATTCTCAAGGGTCCAAACAGATCCAGAAGTACCCTTTCCAGCACTTCTGATCTGTGGGTTAGTATCTCATCGAACGGGTGCTTCATGGCCTTCCCGTATAGACAATTTTTCGCACATTCCGTGAACCTCCTTCTTTGTTATGTTCAGTCCATCCATGAGCTTCCAGTTGGCCCTGCATAGTATACGGCGTATCCCAATGTGTCCTAGCCTCCAGTGCCAGGTGAGTATGTCTATTGGCCTGTCTCACATGCATGAATAGTTGGCTGATGTCTTCCCTGTCTCTTACTGAATCTTAGAGAAGTCATTACTACTATTATTCTATAACATAATATCAATTATTCTCATTGCTCCAAAGTCCAGAAAAAAATTACTTTATACTTGATTCATTATTCCCTGATTACTCTCATTGCTCCACAACTCTAAAACATGATTACTCTATGTCTCACATTCATTACTCCTATTACTCCATACCATAAAGTCATTTACTCTCATTATTCCACAAGTCAATTATTCTCATTGCTCCAAAGTCAAGAAAATAATCACTCTATACCTTACATTCATTATTCCCTGATTGCTCCAAGTCTAAAAATGATTACTCTATAGCTTGCATCCATTACTCCTATTATTCCATTAGCATAAAGTCAATTACTTTCATTGTTGCACAAGTCAATTATACCAAAATCCGGAAAATAGTTGCTCTATACTTCACATTCATTACTGCTATTATTCTATAACATGATATCAATTATTCTCATTGCTCCAAAGTCCAGAAAATAATTACTTTATACTTTATTCATGATTCCCTGATTGCTCTCATTGCTCCACAAGTCTAAAACACGATTACTCTATGTCTCACATTCATTACTCCTATTACTCCATACCATAAAGTCATTTACTCTCATTATTCCACAAGTCAATTATTCTCATTGCTCCAAAGTCAAGAAAATAATCACTCTATACCTCACATTCATTATTCCCTGATTGCTCCAAGTTTAAAAAATGATTACTCTATGGCTTGCATCCATTACTCCTATTATTCCATAGCATAAGGTCAGTTACTCTCATTGTTCCACAAGTCAATTATTCCAAAATCTGGAAAACAGTTGCTCTATACTTCATATTCATTACTGCTATTATTCTATCACATGATATCAATTATTCTCATTGCTCCAAAGTCAAGAAAATAATTACTATATACTTGATTCATTATTCCCTGATTGCTCTCATTGCTCCACAAGTCCAGAAAATGATTACTCCATGCCTCACATTCATTACTCCTATTATTCCATAGCATACAGTTAGTTACATCACACATCACTTCTTAGCATGAAATTTATATTCATTACTCCATCTGCAAAACCTGTATGTCCGCCAGAGCAAGGGTACTAGCTGGAGAGCGCTCTCCAGCACCGAAAGCCCCGAAAGCAAGATTTTTAACTTGCTTTGGGTGCTTTGGCTGCTGGGAAGCGCTCTCAGCTGCTCTCAGATGATTAGCCGAACATACATGTTTTGCAGATGTCCCTTGCTTGAGTGTTACAAGGTTTTGAATATTTGTTGTCATAATTTCATAAGTGTATTGTTAGTTTTGAATATTATTTTCCTAAGTTTTACATTTTCACACCAGTCATAACCAATTCTTATCCAATACCTACCCGTCACAGTCACAACATAATTATTCACTGTCTTTTTTATTATCTGCAGCCACTTAATCAAATCTTATCTTATGTACCATTTACTAATTATTCAATTGTAATTCCATAAGTTTTGACTAAATATTTCATAAGTCCACAATAAGAAATCTAACTTATACTATGCTTATTGTTCACCCATTTTCATAAGTTTTCATTTTGTATAATCAAAGTCCACCCTTTCCTATCTAAATCTTATCCTATTGTCCATAATAGTTCCATAAGACCATTATAATTCAACGCCGCCTCTTTAATAATACTGTAACGCCCGTATTACATAAGCTTTTAATTAGCGCTGCATCAATCCGGCTACTTATGTTACCGGCGCTTTTCGGCTGTCTTTCCTAAGTATTTCATAAGCACCGCAAACTTCGGAAAGATTGCATGCAGTGGTACGTGTGTCGGGGAAGTCATCAGGCGCTCGGGTAACGGATCTGTCTTGGGGGTTTACGACATGTGGGAGCTTCTGGTTGGTGCTGAGATGGGTCTGGTGGCGGTCGGGGTATGACAGCGTGTCAGTGAAGGACGTTTGGGTAGGTATACGGTGGTACTTGTGTGGGGAAGGTGCAGGAGGGAGGTGCATGATGGTACTTGGGGAGGTGTAGGGGAAGTGCAGGAGGTGGTTAGAGTGTGTGACAATGTGTGGCTGGTACTGGGGCTGGTCTGGTTGCAGGCAGGGCATGACATCGACCTCCCGCACTTAGACACCTTGTGGCCTCTGGCACGGTTACACGGTGTACATGATCTTAACACAAATGCATGTCAACGAAAGAGGTGAAGCCCTGTGCTATCGACCTAAATTGTACAGGGAGTGTTCATAACATATCCTGGTATATGTATGTACTCGCTATTAGTACAATTGTTAACAACATAATACAATCACAGTGATAGACACCGATCCTACACTGCTCCTGCGGCACCCCCTTGGCTGGGGAGGTAAGAAATCACGATGTCATTCAATGGAATCAATGTGATACCTTGGTATTGGTGGCAAGGGTTTTTCCGTCTTTGCGCTTGAAAATTGTGGTCCATCCTTTCTCCAGAAAAGGTATACGTTGAGAAGATCCTAAATCATCATATGATAGAATGATATATGGTGTCCATTTATTTATTAATTGATTCTCAACCTCCAAATCAATTTATGTACTTACTTTGTGAGTTCCAAAAATGATGATTGCAACAACAGGTACTGTTGATCATATGAAGTAAATTATCACCATTCATCTGAGACCCAGGATGAATTCTTACTTACATATTGCTAAGATGATATCCAGTTGAACCAGGCCTTCTTCTGAATTATTTGCATCAATGAACTTCAGAAAAAAGTATAGCAGACCAGCTCTACACAAAAAAGAATCAGTGCATAAGGGAGTTTGGGAAAACTCGCAACTTGCATTGCGCCAACGAGGCTGGAAATGGTGAAAGCTGACATCCGGATAAACAATGACCTGTAAATGCTCCCCCGCAAAAATAACCAGTGTTTGCGGAAAGATAGGCATAGAAGCACTACAACAAAGTTTGAGCACCTTAGCAGTAACCGAATACATATTTTTCGGCTATTCACAGTTCAAAACAAGAGATGCAACCACAAAGGTAATCACAAGTGCCGCGTTAATGCTGCTGCTATAAAAGAAATTAGGAGTTTGATTTTTTTGAATGGTGTACGAAACAACACACGGAAGATGAAAATCTGATTCGCTACAATATGAGATGGAGGTAAACGTGGCTTCTGGTCTAGTAAGGGTTAACTTGGGGACATGCAATGAATGACTATTTTCCGTCAAGGTATACATAGAACTAAATCTCACACTCAATGATTCAATGATTAGGACAACTAAGATCATATAAGGAGTGGTTATAAGCTAGGGAGTAATGGTAAAAACATTAGAAACCAATGGTAGTAAAGCAACAGAAAAAATCATTCACCATTATGCGCCAATAATGCATTCTTCTTACAGCTTTCCCTGCAAGCATTCCTTGAGTATTGAGATAGAGCTCGAAGATCAAAATGCGTCATTATTTCAGATGCTCCATGACAAAAAAAATGGACTCACTTGAATGACCAATGCTAGGGAACAAGCGGCTACACTGAATAAGTATTATTATTAACAGTGTTTCTAGTAAGAAAGGCATTCGGAATTAACCCTCACAAAGAAGGAGCGGAGCGAGTCAATGTTGACTGTGCGATGCACAGAGAAATCCCAGGATCCTCATCATATGCATGCCCAGCAAAAAAAAGAAGTAGGTAGGATGCGCAATACACTATCCAGCTGATGAAAAAGTTGTACCAAGTGGCCTGACGAGGTACGGAAGAAAATGATGCCGCAACCAAAGTGATGATGGAACCAACTAAACCTGTAAGTTGCAAAGCCACAAAAGTTGTAGTTTCAGCATGAAACTGCTTTGCGACTGCGAGGCATGTTAGTATGGTGGATGGAATCATACACCAGTCCCTCACCTTCACTCGATGGCTGAACATTGGCTAACAGAACGTGAACCATGCCTCAATTCAAAATTGAAGTAACAAGGGGGGCCCAGAGCCGTTTTTTGGGGGGTAGACGTCGAGTTAACTTCATATTTTTATGTGAAGGTTTCACTGGGCAACATGATATGGTCGTTTCTGTGGTATCAACTCGAAACATCTTCATTACAATTAAATAATCAGATCACAAAGATCATCGCAGCGAAGCTCGGAAATCATATAAAAAGGAGTACTAGTCTGACCAGAGTCTGACGCACTGCCTTCGAGGACCAATCTGAGGATGTGTTGTTACTACAAGCTTGAGAACTTGCAATTCTACGCGCTGATTCGGACAAGATGATTGTGCATCGTATTCTGTCTGGAAGGAATTGAGGCTGCGTCGTTGTGGATGTAGGAAATAACTTAACACTGCAAGGTCATCAATATTCAACAGGATCGTGAGTCATCATTGAGTTGAGATACCCGACTACAGTCAGTCAACTATGTACGCGGTAAGAAGCAGCAGCGGAAGCAATAGATAGTTTCGGAGTCGGACGTTGAAAGTCAACTGCAGGATTAGCACAGAGGAAATGTGCCGCGGTTGAGCTTATATGAAATGATTGTTCGTCATCAGAAAATAAAAGACGTGATCAAATTTGATGTTTATCGTTTTCCTCGTTTTTGCCATTTGTGACCAACGCTTTATACTCTGAGTCTGGCGAGAAAAATCTGTTATTGAGAAGTTTCATGACAAAAAAATTGGACTTACTTGGAAGACCAATGCCAAGGAACAAGCAGGAGCCTGAAGCACTAAATGAGTATCATCAACAGTATCCAAAGTGTGAACTGTGAACGTTGACAAAGATGGAGTGGAGTGGATGAATCCTGATTGTGCCATGCACAGAGAAGTCCCCGGATTGCCATCATACTGGCATGCCCAGCAAAGAAGCTAGAGAAAGTAGGTATGTGGCACAACCGTTTTTTGGAGTAAAATAGGGTTAAATTTCGACTGGACTTCACATGTTTATGGAAGGTTGCAGGCACAACTCGAGCAAATCACGCTACATTCTGTGTTATCGACCATCTTCATTACGATCAATAATCAGATCGCAGAGATCGTAGTAGAGCCACGGAATCATACAAAGAGGTGCCTAACTTGTCGCCGTCGAAGACTAGTACGTAGAAAGAGTCAATCCCAGCATTCAAAAGCAATGAAAAAGACAACAAATTGATTCCAAGCGGTGCCGGTCGAGGCGTGTTTGACTTGAATAACTCCATTCATAAGAAGGTACTTCTATTGACTCAGAGTGGGATGATCGTGCATGAGAAGGAGTCGCAAGGCTATGGAGGAAGCAAAGATGGATGTTCTTCAGCATAGTTGAATAAAAAGAAGCAGTAGCAGAATCGACGGAGTTTCGAAGGAACCTATCTGGACGCTATCCTCGACGTGTGCATGGATCATTGCTAAGAGACGAAAGCTATGTTAGTGGATGAAGAGAGAAATGTTGATCGACCAAGTTGGCCAAGATTCATGTCTGGAGCAAGCCACCGAACGAACCACTTTGAATGAACCACTTTGAATTGCCTGACAATGGCCATTTCCAAATAGCTATCTTACAGTACTCGAGTGAAGATCCAAAATTTACAGCCAAGATCTAGTAACACACAGGCCCCAAAAGCTGCTTTGATGAATAGCTTGTATCAAGCCAACACATCAGAGATCAAATCATGGCTTACACATCACACATTGAACTGGAGCTTTCCGGACTCGAGGAAGAAGCTCAATCCTTCACTGGTCTAGGATTACGAGGCAAACCCCTTGCACGATCACTCGGAGACCTGCTGATGGGGGAACCGTGATACTCCGGGTGGTCGCCTGTGCGTTCAGTGTGTTCATTTTGGTCGGCGACGATGTTGGAGTGCGACGCCGATCCCCGAGAATCGCGCACAAATTTGTCGGACTTTTGAGACGCACTCGGAAGACTCGGAGGAGGAGAACGCTCAGATATCGGGGATAGACTTGAGAAACTCGAAAGAGTAGACAGAGTGTCCCGAACTGAAGAAAGCGTGTCCCGAAACAAGGGAGGTGTGGAAGAAAGCTTCACAGTCCCCCGATTCATGTCGGAATATACTGAAGATGTTTTGTACCTTGAGTGGAAACTGAACCTTGCACGGGGAGGTTTTTGAACAGGCTGGCGATGAGCCGCGAGAGCGAAAGGTAGGGAATCAACGGGAAGCTCGCGATCTTTCTCCTCAGAGTCAAAGCTGCTCTGGGCTCTGTTCAAATCAAGTTTGAACTTTTCCGGAGCGTAGTACACGGGTGCAAAATCTGCTCCTTCAGGTGTTTCTTCCTCCTTGACTGAAAACAAGCACAAGCAAACGAAGGTGGGCGGGTGGTTTATTTAAATTAAGGAAGCAACCAGTAGAAAAAAGATAAGACGGCGTACGAAATTCGGACAATCCTTTCCCAAACTGAGTCCTACACCAGACCCCCAATATTGAGGTGAGGACAATCAAGAGATACGAAGTGATCGTCATTGTTGCGAAGAAAGGCCATGTTTGGAAGATGAATTGATACACTTTTGGATAGGAAAAAAAGAAAGGTGTGAAGGTGTGAGAGTGAATCCACGATCTTTGAGTTGATGTAGGTGGAAATAACTTACGAGGACTAGCAAATATCCCACTCGAGCTTGCTAATAATAACAGCGAAATGCCAGCAAAGACAATAAACTGCCGACGGTCCTCGCGACGAACATATGTCCAACCCTAGTTAAATCGAAGAGGTCCGTTTGTCCAAAGTGAGTTGTCTATGAGCATGAACATATGTACGACTCACCAAAATTGCCCAGGGGAGCTCGAGCTATCGAAACGAAGAAAAATTGGTTCAGAAATTTTTTTCGAACGGAGTATAGAATATAGAATAGAAAGAGGGGGGGGGGTATAGGAAAAGGGCCTTACTCACAACACCCATAGTCGAAAACACTGCACGGTATAGGCTCAAATGCTGCGCGACGCTTTTGATCGTTCCCGAAGATGCCTTGTCGAGCCACATCGCGGTTGAGGCGATGGCAAAGAAGCCACCTAGTTGAACGCAGACTGATAACACGAGTGCGAGCTACATAATGAAACGTAACAACGAGGATTGAGATGATAATTAGGATTTAGTAACACAATTTCGAATGGGTTACAACTTACCCGGTATATATTGTGGATTCGAGAGGAGGCTCCGACGCGGTTGAAGGATTGTTGTGCATAGACCTGGGATTAAGTAGAGAGTGTGTGATTTAGTAGAGCTTTATGTTCACGTTCAGGCTATGTATGTAAAAGAGTGAAACCTAGCACGACTCCGAGTGGGATGGTGACAGAATTTAAATCGCACTTACCTTGTACAACCTCGAAGCGAGATAAGTCGCAAGTACCAAAGCCACAGCATTGAATACCAAAATAGGGATCTGCGAAAACAAACACAAACACAAAGATTTTGAGCTGCAAGTATATCGAAAATCCATTCCAGAGCATATAGTATTAGAATGATTTTACATACCGTATGGTCTGCTCTAACATTCCACCAGCTTCCCAAAAAATCCACGTCGTTACACGCTTGTTGGACGATGAGGGTCTCGTAATGCGCTTGAAGCTTGTATGTGTTGTTGAGTCGGTACCCGGCCCAGGCGGTTACTAGGACGTGGCCTGCAATGGCTGCACCTAAATGGGGGAGGGATTCGTTTAGGATCTATATATGAAAATAAAGAAGAGCCGTGAGCCCGAAGAATTCATGGAATGTGGAATATGGAACGAACCGTGACGAACGATAGTAGCAATAGCCAAACTTGGAACGTCAGCGTGACAATATCTTCAGCCATCGAATCATGGATGCTATAAGTAAAAATAGGTACATTATTAGAGTCGGATGCAGCAGAAACATTATTATAATGAAAATAATATGACAAGAAACGGGGCAATATAAACACAAAATAATGATGATCATAATCGAAATCGTGGCTCACACGTCGTTCAACCAGATCAAAGACTGTAAACACGTCTGATCCAGAGATTGTCCGTTGTCCAACTGCAAACCATCGATTTGGCCGTTCATATCCACCTCGGTCTTTGCGTGTACCTTGTGATGGCGCTGCAGTATAAAAAGGGTACACAATCTTTGATTCAGTACTTGCTATCATCAAAGGGAGTCGCAACGATCAACGTACCTTTGTTAAGTTGACGGATAAGAATGAGACCTCGGACTCATCGAGAGCTTGTCGACGAGAATTGTGAGGCTTGGTGCTAGAAACGTTCGCGTTATCAGCGTCGGCGGAGACCAACACCGCACAACCACTATTCCCGCGCTGCGGTATGTCACTGCACTCGTACAGCTCATCGCCCGATATAAAGACGACGCGAGTCTGTGTGATATTCGCCTGTGTCAAAAACCCAGAGATAATTTCCGACGCGGCTTCGTTATCGGTGAACGCGATGCTTTGCAGGATGATGAGAATGATGCAATTGATGAGTGCGAGGAAGAAGAAGAGAGTGGTGAATCTGGTTAGGGTGACTCGTTGGTACTATATGAAGAATAACATTAAGCGACAAAGTTCCCCCGCTATACACACACACAAATAAATGAGCAAAAAGGCGTACTTACCACCAACTTCACCCTACTCCGTTGAAGAGCCTGCTTCGCAAAGTTTCGCAAGGATTGACTAGTCAAATTCAACATTCTCCGATTTTCCCAGTGAAGATGCAAATCATCCGACGACAGAATTGAATTAGATTGAACGGGGGCGCAGCCAGGAGAATTTACTTGAAACGAGGGAAATATAATTGGAAAGGAAGAGAATGAAATGAAGAAAATACTGTGAGTACAAGAAGAAGAAAAAACCAGCCAGGGTGGGTTGAAAGAGAGGAAGAAAAAGGCTTGGTGAGTTTTATATTGTCACTATAGCACCGGCGGGCCACCGCGTGCGGTCACTCGCAACGCATACTCTTTGCGATTTGAACAATGATGATCCCCTAGTACTGCACACCTCCGGATATCCCGTGAACATATCCGCTATAACGACAATCAACATTGGAGAATTCAGTAAGTTCAGGCCTCAAAAGGCTCGGCTCTTGGTCGATTTTCTTCCAACTCATATAGTTCACAGCAACCTGTTCATCACGACGGTTCGTATATGACGGTTATACTTGGAAGGCTAGATCCTCCCTTGAAACTCAACGAATATGTACTTACCTAACATCTGGGCCCCCCAGGTGAAGTTGTGGTGATGAACTTTCGGAAGATAATATACTTTCTTTTCTGCAGTGCCGCCTCCAAGAACCGCAAACCGACGCGTTCAGGCAAATACGACAGTACCCCATCCAAATTTGCGAAGTGGGTGGGTTCAATTGTAAACTTAACTTGAAACATCATTTACATACATGCGTGATCGATGGAATCCTGGACCAGCGAAGTACTAGCGAAGTCTAAACTCACTGTCGTTTGGCCCGTGCATATATATGTATATCATGAGGGCGCCTTATATTCAGTGAATTTTCTTGGGGTCAGTCCTGGTCAGTCAGAATTGGTTCCTGAAGCCGGAGGCCACAGTTGGATGGGTTACATAACGGACGGATGAGTTCCTGCACTTTTAACTTGTCATCCACGACCCGTTGATACTTCCCTCTGCGACCTTCTGTACCTCTTCCCTCGTCAGACCGAGCCCAAGCGGGGGCAGGGCGAGGAGTAGAGCGTATTCGGCAGTGAGAGAAGTGCGAAAGGGGAGGGTGTCGTCTGTCTGTTTTTTATTTTGAGACGTTTTGGGGGTAAAGCGAGAAAAAAGAGCTCACACAAACAGCAATTGGATGTCCTCGATCGAGGTAATGACTGATATGGTGTGAGGAGAGGTTGGGAACGGTTTTACATCTGGGGGTCAAAATTATAATAAATATCGCATATTAAATATGAAAATGGGTCCACGTACATGATATTCGAACTTAAACACACTTCAACCAGCATCCGGTCCTTTAACACTAGGTCCCTCGCTTGTTCATCCAAGAATGTCGCATGGCCGAGTCTATTCGGGGCATATGAAAGGAGCTGGAGCGTATCAGCGGCTGAGTTACCTGGAGTCTCAGCAATATGCAACGTAACACGCAACCCAGCTGATTTGGCTTTTGCTATAAACGGTTCAAGGAGGGACATATCACCTGCTAAAGGATCCCCACATAGATCTACGCCAACAACTCTCCTACCCGAGTTTTTTAACAGTATAGCAAGGTCAATTGTGTCTTCAATTGTTATCCTTTCCTCTCCGGCTGCAAGCTCTTTACGCACCCCCATCCTGCGATCTAAACTAACAATCAATGCAGCCCTGTCCCTTGGGTACTTCTCCACCTCATCCAACACGGTCTCAAGATATTCTTTTGGAGAAAGCGCAGGTGTACGTCGTGGTGTAGTGCGCAGCTCGAGGTAGGTGCATTCAGGGTAATCGTCTGGCGTCAACCCACCCTCTAACCCACTGATGTTGTTCCCCTTCCTCTTATTCGGAGCATCCAAAAAACCTTGCAACACAGCCCTTGTAGCAGCCCCTAAGGTCTTCCTCGTCGAAATTAACGCGTATATCGTGCGGAACGCGCCGAAAAACTCGTGGATGTCGTCTAGAGCGAAATTTGATAAAGTTTCTAACCCGGAAAGGATTTCGGTGCGGGTGAGAACAGAGTTGTTCAAAGCTTCAGTACCAGTAGGTGGACCCGATGAGAAATAATTCAAGGACGATCCAGCTATCTCGTACAGCACCTCAATCGGCACACAGCCGTTTAAATGCGCATGCAGCTCTGCTTTTGGAAGAGATTTGATCCATAATATATCGCTCGCAGTTAGAGAGGAGAGCGCAGCCAACGCTGGACCAGAGATTCCCGGATATTCAAGTTGGGATAAAGAGGATGCTGACAATGACATTGTTCGATACGGAAAGGGATTCCAGCCTTTATAATTATGCTTTTATGCATTATTTATCATGTGTTCGCGTCCGGAACCGGAGACGGGATCCCCGGAACATTGTATTCGGACATTTTTGTCTTTGGGTGTATTCAGTGTGTATCTAATAGCTAAACACTCAGGTCTCGGAGGAGACTCTAGGAAACTTTGCGGCAACAAGTTCAACATGGGGTTCAATTACTGTAATCTGTCAAATGGTAAGTTCCAATAGGAGAGCTACGCATGCCTTTCAACCTTGTGTGACACAATTCGCTTCTGTTGGAGAAACAGCCTGAGCCAGTAGCAGTCCAATCCTATTACTCTGATCTCTTGCCCAAAAAAGAGATCAACGCAAACCTATAAAGACAAGTAAGAGAGAAGGAATTCAATAAGCCCTGGAGGAAAAAACATAGAGGCAAACCACTCACTTTCCATTAACCTTCCATTTCTCATCCTTCTCTTCCGTCTGTGCCAAAACCTCTTTATCCAACCCCACAGCGACGTCGGCTTTGTTGGTGCGTAGACTAAGGAGAGGGAAGGATCCAGCTAGGGGACCTGATATCCATACAAATAAATGCGTGAGTTATCGTATTGCACGCTCAAAACAGTAGACAACTCAGATGAACAATGCTGACCTAGAGCTTCCTCGAAAGGGGTCCAGGAAGGCCACTGGATGTCTCCCGTTAATCTATATAAGTGAATAGATTAGTCTCTCTTGATATCATGAAAAGAATCGTGAGGGCATGTAACGGAATGTAGGGGTACGTACTTTCGATAGCTTCATTTGTTGAAGGAGGGGGTAGCATCAAATATTACAAGTCAGTTCCAATTCCGGCAAGTATTAAAGACACCTTGTGAGAGACTCACTTCAAATCGCCCTGTGTATGCCACAGAAAAGCAAAGAAAGGTTCAAGTTGGTAAATATTTACTAAGTTCGGCGTGGTTCGCTCGGATCTGTATACATAACAAACGACTCGCCTTGAATATAACCAAATCACTATTCCCCAAGAATTCATACAACTCCTGATCGTAGGTGGCCATGTCCCAATACGCTACGGGGGCAGTCCAGAATTGCGCGAGAGGTGACTCTTTCGTTGATGGTGTTGTTAGCGTGGCAGTGGTATGTCTTCCCCCAAGAGCTGTTCCACTGGGAACCGACAACTCGAACACGCCTTCTGACACGTATCGCCTCAGGCGGCCCGCGAGTTCTCGCAGATGTTGCTGTTGTTCTACCGAGGGCTGAGGTTGACTTGGTGAAGTGGTTGTTGAAGTAGAGGCGATATCGGAAAGGAACGACTTCGGATCCAACAGGAACTCGATAGTTTCTTTGAAATCGGGAGGCGTCACGTCAGAGACGAACCATGGGATTAGCTTGGGGCTGCCAGAGCAAAGAAAAGGATTAATATGTAATTTTGCGAGTTTAGGAATTTGCACAGAATGTAACTCACTGAAAGACTACTTTCGAGACATATGGAGTGTAGGTGACGAGAAAATCGGCAAATACGAGGTCTGTGAATAGCTATGCGTTTGTTGATTGGTTTTTTTAGTTGGTCAACATCATTATATTGAGGTCATGAAAGACGAGGAAGACCGTGACGTACTTCGAAACCAGCTATATAGTAAATATAGCAATGGTAGCAGTCGTAGTACACCGTTATCAGTTTAGTCAGCAACATCCAGCGATGAATGAAAATAGAGAAATGAGCGTACCGTTATCCAACACAAAATCCACTCTACCATCTCTCACTGCTTGTAGATGATCCCAAGCCTTCTCCTGATCATCGCGCATGATGAATTTTTTCCGAGCAGCTTGCATGTCTTTGCCTACAGATTGCAGATTCTCGATGTCGACAAGGGACATGTGGGTAAGGAGAGATAGGTCCTAAATAGATATAGGATCGATTGAAGCCAGAAGAATGGGGGAGGGAGTGGTGATAAGGATAGCTCAGTCACTATGTGTATTATGCGAGCACAATGAGGACTTTTGACGTCGACATACTGTTGCATTTCCCCTGCAAACATGATCAATCATCATGCGTAATATCAGAGGGGGATTTGGTCTTCTAAAATATTAACACGCAAGCTCGGAGACTTACCATAAACACATCTGCATCATCTCTTGGAAGAATACCTTCAACTTCGTCGGATCAGATTCTAAAGCACTCTTTTCGCTCTCTAGTTCGTGCATGATCGTTGCGATGCCTTTGGACAGTGAGGGATATCCATGAGCAAAGATTGGAAAAAAGGGAGTTTCGAAACGCAGGCTAAAATTATGTACAATATTCAGTGCGTACCGTATATCGAAGGGCCTGATTTTGCAAAAACGTCTAATTTCTGAGCATGGAAGGGATCATAGTTTCGCCAATGGGTGGTTTGGACGAAGTATGACCGTAGGAGACGATATCTATAGAAGGGTTTCCGGAAGAGATGGTAAGTAGATTACCCAAAAATACTAGGGTATATGGCGTACAGATAACATCTGCGGAAGGTGGGGGGCGAGATCATGTTCCAGTCAACTCCGAATGCACGGATTTCGTGAGAGAAATTTCGCACTCTGCATAGAGCCAAGGTGCCGTGAACCAAGAGTTCTTTGAAGATCTAGCTAGTTCTTCTAGCTCAGTGTTGTATAATTCAACATGCGGTTCGCCGTCAGATGGAATTGGCCTGTAACCCCAATTTAGTTTTGTCTTTAGGCATGCCTCGATGAAATGGAGAGGGGAAACGCAACTCCATGACATGATCTCTAGCCATCTCGTATTTCAGTTTACTGATTTTCTCGATGATAGTCTTTCCTTCCGCGATTTTAGCTTCGAGACGTTGCTTCCGCTCAGGATCATCATCCGGGGTTTGTACTACTAGATGCAAGTCATGATTCTCGCGATGAAGTTGATCGACAATTCCTGTGAGGATGATTGGCCAGCGCCTCACGACGGTTTCGTAGCTGTAAAAGATAGTAAATGAAGAGATTGCCGAATCAGAATTTACTGGAATAACACTGGCAGCCAGCCAGAGGGTGTATGTGGACAACGCACGAGAAACTGCATAGGTATTTGGATCAGCTTTGAGGAAATGTTAGGTTCCCATGAACCTTACCCGGATTTATCAGTAGGATCGTAAGGCGGGAAGGGTGGTTGGAATACCATCTCAAAAGTAGTTGCTTTTAAGCGCTGGTAATGAAGCGCATGTGTGTATGGGCGCTTACCAAAGTACTACTTATTCGCTTCAACAAACTCTTCTTCAAAGTCTTTCAAATTACAAGTAGCCAAGCCTCTCCTCAAATCCGCCATCATGTCAATTGAAATTAGCAAGACCACTGGCTCCATTCCTCCAGACGTCCTGTACTCTGCTCTTCGACGCGTTTTCTACAAGTTTTCTTGCGGCGGCGTCGTTCATGAAAAGGACTTTGTTTCAACCTGTGGATATGTCTCTACCCTCCTCAAAAATACCGAATTCCAAGATCTCATCGAATCAACACAAGGTTTGGTCAGTTCTTTGTGTTTGTCTCGTGTTCGACGCGTGGAATAACTCTTGTTAATAGTTTGTAGATGTTGTAGAGGTGAAGAACACCAATTACTGCGATCAACCACAACTGTACTAACTATCGTGCTCACTAAATCACTCATAGATGGCTGTCGTCGTTTTCATCTCCCGTGTTTTTCCCATAGTCCGTTTGTCAATACTCTCCTTTGTCGATTACGTTCCAGAAAGCTGCGAGGCAGTCAGCTCGCTGTTCGATTTGTTAGAAGCGCAGGTCATTAAATGCTGCGGATATGGCATGCAATGTATGTAAATCTATCTTATACTTGTGGACTGGACTAATTAATATAGTGAGGATGGCGGCGATCGACCAACTTTTGCAGTCCGATGAAACTATAGTCACCACTTTGCCCAAAACACTGAATCTCTCGCTCTTCGCCGAAAAGTGTCGTTCGATGCCATTCACGACGTCTCTAGATGACTACAGTATACAAGCTCAATCATCTTCGCAATTTTTGGATCCTCGTTCGTCAGCAAGCGGGGCCCCTCTCTCGCGTGGGACGATATCCCCTGGTATAGGTTGCGGTCCTCCGCGGGAGTGTCCTTTTCCAACTTGGTCAACACCACGAAGCTCTTTCCTTGTATCTCACTTCACGACAGACTCGTGTCGTTTCCAGGCTCAGAACTATCCAAAGCCGAATTTCAACGTCGTTCAGTCCGAGTCGATTCGCGCCGCGGCCGAATTCGAGCTCTCACTATGCGCTAATCTTCTCTTTGGCTCGAACATGCAGGCTTCTATGCAATCTCAAAGTCATTCTTTCGCCGAAAATGAATCTAATACACCTTCTCCTGTTTCCCAAACATTTTCCGTAGATATGAAGAGTCTCTTGCCCTCAAATGTGGAGCATCTCATGGATAGTCCTCTCTTTGATCCGCTTGTTCTTGACGCATATAATCCAGCCACCGTTTCTCAAAGCCCTTCTATAACCGAAAGCGAATCTTGCAACCATCCAGTTTCTTCACCATTTTTGCAACCACCGTTGCAGATACACGATCATAGCCAGCAATCTAGTATTGACTTAGCCTTGGTTCCCAGTGAGCTGCTGAGTCCCTACCTACCGCAGAGTCACCCAAGTATCTCTCTTCTTCGTCAACCTCTCTTACCTGTCTCGACGTCAAACCTCTCTTCGAATTTATCCTTAAGTGCACTCAACGAGCCCGAGCCATGCACTTCCAAGCTTTCGCGAGCCGAAGCAGAAGATTTATTTGGATATCCTGCATCGTCTTCGCCTGTACACGCTGATAACCAAGAGGAAAATAGTACACACTTGTCTGTAAATGGAGACGTGTCCGTTGCGAGCATTATCTCTCCTAGTGGTCCTATCACTGCTCAATCTGTTCCGGATCCTGACCTCGATGAGAAAGTGTCTAATCCGGTTCCTGAAGCCGTAGATGGTGCCATCGGAGAGCAAGCTGAGGTCAAGACGCCGACGAAGGAGAAGCGAAAGCGACAACCAAGTATTGCCGGAAGCAAGAAGGAAGTCCGGAAAGAGAAAAGCCGCAGCGCCAGCGTCGTCGGCCTTGATATCGGAAAGGCTCTTACGGAGGAGTTCGAAATCGGTGCGGAACATCGTGCTTCGCCTCGGTATGGCGGAGAGAATCTACGTCGCTCAAAGAGGCAGAGGACAATCACAAACCAGAAGCAAGGATTAGATATCTTTGGATTGGCTTCACCCTCTGAAGGCACTGCTTCTCCTGGGCGTAGATCATCATCGAAAGTGAACAAGGAGAATACTCGCTAAGGTTGTTCTGTGGTACGGATCGGATTGCATTACGCTAGTAACATATTGGTCTTTCATTATTCTACATACTTCAGTAGTTCCCCATGTCTTATCACGCAGTACTTGAAAACTGGCAATGGTACATATAATAGCAATGTGCTGTATAACAAACAACAATCGATACCCGAGTTGGATGTAACAGCAGATGATACCTAGTTTCGCACTCTCTGCAGCGTCATCAACATCAATCCCCTGATATTAGGTTTCCTAGCATTGCTTAGCCAGATAGTCCTCATACTGCTTGGGTGTGAACGTTTTCTGAATCAGATAGAACAATTATTGAAAATTCCACAGGAATTTTGAACATCTGGATCAAACCTGCGAAAAAGCATGCATCTGTGCGATCTGGGCTTTCAAGAGATCGTTCACTGGAAGCAAGAGGATGGTTAGTGATTCTGGATGGTCTGGACGTAGAATGGAAAGGAATTTGATTTATACCGAATCGATGTCTAGAGAGGGTATTTTTCCCGTCAAAGGCCTCGCTGACTAGTACAATCGCATAGCTTTCTCCGCAGCCACTTGATTGATCTTCGATCTCCAGATGAGAGACTGGGAGAGCGGTTCGGATGGCAGCTTCGAGGTCTGCAAGGTTGATCATTTCGATGATGGTCGTTATCTGATAAGATATAGCACACGAAGCAAGCCATCCGCATCCGCCCCGTTCTTCTTCCTTTGTCCACAAACATGGGAATTTCCTCCTGAGCGATCATGGGAATTTCAAACTCATGATGAACGTCCACAACTCACTCGACCTTCTCCGAAAGACAGCTTTCACTTTTCCCGCCATTGACAATCATGCACATCCTCTGCTTCGTTCCCAATATCGAGGAAAAGTACCATTCGAGACCATCATATCGGAAACTTCCAGCGAATTGGCCTTGCAACAAGAAGCCACGCAAATGATCGCTTGCTTTCGAGCAGCCGCGCAGCTATCTAAGGTGCTAGGTGTTGAACAGGTCATCGGGCAGTCTTTATGGCAGCAGGTTAAACAACGACGGGACGCTATGGACTACGATGAACTTTGCGATACATTCATGAAGGCGTGTGGTATTCAGAGCATTCTGTTGGATGATGGCCTAGGTGGTGTATCTGAGTGGTGCGAAGATTGGAAATGGCACAGAAGATTTGGTTGTGATACGAAAAGGATAGTGCGGATTGAGATCGAAGCGGAGGTATGTAATAATAACTCTTCTATAATATTGCCTTAACGTTTCTCTCTCAGAAAATATTGTTCCCATTACTCCAACCCCTCTTGGCATCCGAATCAGCGTTGCAAAATCCTTCCGAAAGCATTGGGTCAGGGCTACGAAATCAATTACAGTCCATCCTTGTGGAATTCTTCCAACAACTGAACACCTCTTTGACTGATAGTGCTCGGAAACCTGAAGTTGTCTCGTTCAAGAGCATCGCATGTTATCGTGGTGGACTAAACATTAGGCCAAGAGTAGAGCTTGGGATATCTGTAGCTCAAACCGAACACAATCACGACTATGTCGTCGATAGTTTGTTCCAAGTACTTTTCCACATTAAGAATACAGGCTCTGTTCGCCTTGCCCATGGAACAATAAACGAATGGATCGTGCATTGGGCCCTTCGTGTCGCGGGAGAAAATAATATTCCTGGTTAGGCGACTTTATACTTCATTGATTTATTATCCACTTATTATGGAATTCTACTCCAAAGTTCAGTTTCACACTGGCCTCGGTGATTCGGATATCTCTCTTCTACACGCCTCGCCTGCACACATGCAGCCTTTGATCAAAGATTATCCACAAACTATCTTTGTTCTATTGCATGCTGCGTATCCTTTTACCAAGGAGGCAGGCTATTTGTGCTCGGTCTACCCAAATGTGATGCTTGATTTTGGAGAGGTAAGGTCTTGAGATACTTGCATATCATCTTTTTGCATACATCTTTTCTAGATATTTCCAATGATTTCAGGTTCTGGTCAAAGGAGTGTCATTCGCGAAGTTTTGGAGATCTGTCCGACGAACAAAATTCTCTGGTCGAGTGAGCTGTAAAACATTGCTACTCGATCTGTATACAATTGATCACAGAACACTACAGCTGATGGTCACTGGCACCCCGAATCCTATTATTTAGGAACAATCCAGGCAAGGCAGGCTTTGTTCGACGTGCGTTCGTTACTACCTTCCTCCATCACATGTGATAATCTGTGCAACTTAGGTTCTCTCCGAGATTGTATTAGCCGGGGAGTTGAGAGAGGCCGAAGCAGTGCAGATTGCAGAACAAGCCCTCTTCTGGAACTCGGAAAGAGTTTACAAGCTTGAGATCGAACCCGACATGAATCTACAGTTTTGATGCAAACTCTACTGGCTTGATCGACTACTGATCCTACAGATTTGCTTGTCTATTCTTTACAACGCAGGTATAGCCATCTTGTATCGAACAACACTGCAACGATATCCATGTAATGTCCGTGTCATAAAGAGCGTAAATTAAGCAATGTCAAACAGCGGCTAGCGCTGCGACATGAGCCTACTCAGAAGAAGCACTGTCTCGAGAAGGAATGGAACCCAAAGTTGGCAGATAATGTGTGGTGAAATCTGCTTGAAGACCTTTTGCTTTCAGTTTTTTGTCGTCAAAGTTGATAATGTAGGTGCTTTCCACATCGCGGTCGAAAACCTCGGGCGCGAAGTTGGATGACGACAGACTAGCTTCAACATACACTATAAGAGGGATCAGTGATGAATACTTGCGACAATACTGCGTCGAACTCACAATATTGTGCAAGACCTTTACCGAAATTCGTATAGCACAATATTCCAAGGACAACACTTGCGACAAGAAGAACAAGTGAAGCAGTGATGAAGCAACCAAGACATGGCCAGGCATAGAAGGTCCTATATGTTTTCACGACAAGTGAGAAGGTATAAAAGCAATAGTAAAAGGAACTTGCCACCGGTAGACTTGGGAGATGAACATGAGAGAGCTCCCAAGAATGAACAAACTTCCCACAAAAATGAATGCCAGAGTAAGTAATCGTTTTTCAGAACGGATACCAAACCACGCCTAGACCGACAATGTCATTTGGATGTCTTCAAAGAGCAAGTTCAAAATAGATACCGCCAACAACCATGGGCCAAGGGCCTGGAAGATAGTCTTTCAGTTTACGACCGAGATTGACTCATAGCCACGACAAACTCACCACGGCATACGAGATAACGAGAACCTCATAGACTGTAGTATGCGCGGAGATTTGCTGGATATATGTGTTGAACAGCTGGTCGACCCATAGCGCTGCGGCAGTGATAAGAACGAAAGCTTCGAGTTGTAGACAGACTTGCAGGGCCAAGAAGTACTGGGAGCGAATAGAATATAGGCCTTGAATAAGCAATCAAACTGCAGAGAGAGAATTCACCTTGTACAATTTTGTGATTGCTTTTGGTGCGCCGACGCAAGTAAAGACTTCCGCATTGTAGGTCTGAAAAATACATTATATCAACAACACACACCGTTGAGTAAAATCGCCGCACTCGAAGCAGAGTCCAGGAAAGAAAGGCAGAGATCCCGAGAGCGGAACAATTTAGAATGATATCAGGAATCTTGAGGTGACTTTTAGCAAATGAAACGATCACGTATGAAGAATTGAAGGCGTACCTCGTATAGAATACGCGTTGAGAAGTAGACTCCGAACATTGCAGCAGAGCACGAGGTGCCTGGGGCTTCAATGGCTTGTTGAAAGACTGCTTGCTGCCATTCCGTACGCCACAGCGAGTAGATTGACCAGGCGGTGAGTAGGATACGGGTAATGAATACAGTCAGTCTATAAAGAACTTTTTTGACAATCAAAACCCAGAATTTGTAGAGAAGGGTACTCACACGTGAGGCACGGAATCGTGGATCATCGCTATGATAGACAATATGAAGAGCCAAAATTGAAGAAACAAGAAGGCAATCTCTTCTCGTCGGTTGTTCTGGAAACTAGCAATATCCAGAATAATGGGTAAGAATTGGTCCAAAGTTGAGCCTATGAGACGTACTGCTGGGTGGGATATAGTAGCATGCTTGTACAGGATTCGGACATGTTGACAGATCCAACGCCTCCATCTGCTTCAAATACGACTTGAGATACAGTCTGGGATTGCCCTTGGGCATCAGCGATGATTTTGAACGATTGACTGTTGAGTTGTGCTATGATCTGAAATTGATGAACGCCCGACGAAATCACCATGCTAGTGATACTGACCGTTTCTCCACGAAGTTGAGCATCTGCATCCTAGAACAGTGTCAGGATTAGTTAATGGAAGAATCTTAAATATAACTGACCGGGGAATTTTCCACGATAATCTTGTCTCTCGAGTCAAATATAGGGGAACAGTTGCTGGAGTTATGGGGGATAAAATTACACATCTCCAGCCTGTAGCCTCCGCTCACATGCGAGAGGTCTGTGTGATTAGCCGGCGGGATATCTGCCGCCTGGGTGATATCGGACAGGAGACCGTAGTACTGGGAATCGAGGACGAAAAGCAGAGATTGGATGATTCCCTGCGCAAAACAATGGAAGAATCCGAACAGAAAAAAGACGGCAGTCAGACGATTGCGAGTGATCCTCGTATACTAGGAGTCGAGTTGCTTTAGTGATGGAAAGCCTGATACCCTAGTGCCACTCACAATCTTCTTCAGCTTCAGCTTGAACTGTGCGACCTTTCCACGAGCCATGATAAGAACTTTTCCGAAGTAGAGTTACAACCACGAATGCAGGCCTGGCCTGGCCTATCGGAACGACGAATGAAAGAAAAGGGAAGACACAAAACTCGAAAGAGACCAGCCGAGTATGAGGGGAAAGAAAGAAATCTGCTATTCAGCCTGCTGAACAGATTGACTTTTGAGCTGTTGGGTGAATGACAAGAAGATGATTGATGAATATTCAAATCGAGATCTTATGGAACATTCACACAGCAATAGATTCGTGTTACGGTCTGTTACGGTACGCGAGTAATCACCTGTAACTAAGTACCAGTAAGAAGCTCAGTTTTCCTTTCTTCCATCTTCTTGTTCCATGATGAAGCGGTCTAAAAAATCCGTGGCTCACGCTCAACCCTTGAAACTGACTCGCCCGTTCACCACGGTACTCTCATTGGCGCAGAGTATGATGTCGGAAAAAGGAAAGACGTGATCTTCGGGTGATATAACTTTCCTCTTACCCCATAACATTGCAGAACATTGCAGTATCTATCTATGTATGTTCTCGAGGGTGACAACTGCTTTGAAGGCCCCTCCGAAATCATTGTAGTGCCTCGGCATTGCATGCCGATCAGCGCCGATATCAAATCTTGTCATCACTGTAATATCATTATTATCAATATTTGATCAGATCATGATTTATGCGTTCCAAAAAAGTGTTCTCAATTCATCAAAAGCACGCCCATTGGAGGCTCAACAAGTACTCTTTGCAGTAAGTACATCAGTCGTTGACTTTTCGAAAGCTCAAGCCTAAGCCTTTGCAGCCTTTGGTACCGTCTCAAGGAAGACAATGCTCTTTTGACAATATAGTACCATACGAGATGAGGTTAACAGATCCATGAACAATCATTACACAGGATGATAGTAGAGTGTCCGAATTGCCCGTGCATCTGTGAGTTCATTTAACCTTGATGATCAGATATTCTGTGCATTACTACTTACTGCGTCAAAATTAGGCGCCGTGGCTTTATCTAGTATCCCGCACGTTCCCTGAACCCCGATTTGGCGGTGCGATGTTGGCGAGTAGAGTACAGTGCTTTAAAAGGTTTGCTTGTATGGATTTTTTACCAAGTGTCTATTGTTGCTTATTTGACCAATACATTTTTGGGCCGTCGGGCTTCGAAAAGCTATTGCTGAAATCCTTTTTGGGGCAAAAATATATTGGGCAAATAAATAAACACAAATAGATGGGAAAAAGTCGAGCAAGCAAAGAATTACGCAAAGCACTGTAACTACCTACAGGTATCTTTCCTTATCTTTAGTATTGTTCAGTCTTGTGATCGACTCCGACTTCGACCTCGTCTCACCTCATGGCTCCTTGAGCTATTCATAATGCAATCCCTTTCAGGAATTCACATCAGATTCACATCTTGTCCATATATATTTCAATGTTTTTTAGAATGTCTAGTGGATCCAAAGTTAACTGAAAAAGATGGCAAGGCAGAGTGCCAATAGGTGCTAATATGATCTAGTTCCCAACCCCACAAAAGGGATACGACAATGAAAGGATCAGACTAGCTCAGCGGTCAGTGTAGTCTATACTAGTCTATAGGACTGAACTTTGTTTTTTTTTTGGAGCGTTTGTACCTTCAGGCGAACTTTACAATGTCGTTCCCTTCTGGCCGCTGGTATCGCAAGGCATAATGCCGAGCATGAAGTAAATTCTCCCCGAGGAAATGCATTCTGCACTGGCGCTTGTACGCGCACGGTGTGAGACTCCGCTATTCTATCATCTTCTTTCCCTTCCCATCTCGCTGTGAACAGTCAGAGAGTTACAAAATAAATAGCTTACTTCCATAATCATACTTTATACCTTGTACCCTACCCCCATGTCAATGCGTATACTCACTAAAACCCCGGACTCTCTGATTGCCTGCGAGAGTTCTTGTTTGTTTTCCACTACACATTTCCATGTGTTTTTTACGACTTTGTTTGGTATTTTTTGTTGGAATTTCTTTGAGGTGAGTAGGCAGTCCATCCTTAGACGGTTCTCTATTGTCCACCTCCACCTATTCCTTATTTGTGTCTTAGTTATTGGGGGTTTTTCGTTAATTACCCTCTCATTCCTAATCTTCCATATTAGGTATGCAGATTCTGATATCAATATACGGAACAGCCTTGATTTGCCTGGCAACCTTTTTGCTTTATTGTCCTTGAAATCTGCTAGGCCGCAGCAGAGGATGGTACCAAAGTCAAAGTCAAGGTCTGACCACTGCTTTCCGTTCTTTTCCCAAACATTTTGGGCTAGTTTCCATATCTCTATTTGTTCTGGTGCTTTACATTCGGTGAGGATATGCTCCATTGTCTCGGTTGTGCTGTTGTGGCATTGCATTCACACTGAACTTTGTTTCGTAACTGAAGCCCGGCTAATACAGGACTAAAATTAGAGCAGTGTAAAGGGCAATGGTAAACATACAGGTGCCAGAGGAAATAAATTACAAGATGTACAATCGGAGGAACGGAATACAGAGATGTCATCTCCGGAAATGGGAAGAGAATTATGTGTATCATGCAGGAGAGGACATTGATATGAACTCAGTATTTACAACAGAGGAGGAAGAGGAAATGAAAGTAAGATTTAACTATGGAAAAAAAGCAGGAAAAAAGGTAGGAAAAGGATTAATCGTCAACATCTGATAGAGCAAGAGCTCAAGTAAGATAGCATAAAACCCAAAAGGGAAAGGCGAAAGAAAGAAGAGTAAGCGAGGATTTTCCTGGAATATTAAACACCGACGTGATGCATGCCACCCACCCATGAACACCCACAACGCAGACAGAGTTCCATGAACCTACGCACATAATCAGCGCTCATCAAACACCTCGTTAAGAGGGGGCTCCATAACGGAGACTTGGCAGAACTCCAGTATATCTCTAACACTTCTATCTCTTGACAACCCGTCTGTCATTGCGCGTGAGACGCCAGAGGCAGCACCATGTAGAACCTTTAATCGTCTAAGCGTATCAACGCCCACTGGGAGGTTCATCTTCCTCATCTGAATAAGCGGACACTCGTATCGCACGATACCTCTGTGTACCCAAGCCACCGGTACGCCTGAAATGCGTCCTCTCTCCGATGAATCTTCCGGTAGCAGTGAAGGAAGTTCCGCTATCGTCCGCATCAGATCCAGAAGGTGAAGGGGACGAGGGTGGCGGAACGGAAAGAACCAGTCGAAAGGCATCCTTGCCGTTCAAGTAAAAGCGGTATAAGCGTTTCTCGCGAATGAAGCCAAGTGATTCGTATAACGAGAGCGCGGCATCATTGTCGTACTCGGTTTCCAGGACGATCTGAAAGCGGGAGAAGTCAGAAGGGTCTGGGAAAAGAATGATTCTTAGGAGACAGACAGCGGAAATTAAATGCCAACAGGGAAGAAAGGAAGACAGAAATAGGACACTGTTTCCAGGAGTACGAAGGCGAAAAGATATAGAATACGTGGCAGGTATGTGAACTCACCTCTTCAACACCATCCTCTTTCATTGCTTCAATTGAACTCCGAACAAGGGCACTGGCTACATCCAAAAGAAAAATAAACGAAAAACACACCCATCACACAGTGAATGAGATGAAAGCGCGGTTTCATTCTAACATAAGAAATTTGTGAGGAAAGGGAAGAACGCGACTTCATGTACTCACCGATACCTCTCTTCCTAAAAGCCTTATCCACACTTAGCATTGCAATATAGCCTCGATTATAACTATTTCGATGCGTGCTCTGCTTACAGACTATCACACCAACAGGACTGGAGGACTGGGGCGAATAAGCAAGAAATGCCAGATGGGGCCTGTAGCTCTTTATTAGCTGGCACAGAATAGACCTTACATGTCCAGGCTTACCATTGACACAAGAAATATCTGAAAGTGTAGATCACATATGGTTCACTCAGCTCGCTTTGGACGAGCGCCATGACATGTGGCAGGTCGTCTTCGCCGGTATAAGCACGGTAAGTTATCACATTCTTTCCAGAGTCGGACTGAGAATCCATCTATATTGTTGAGAAAACTATCAATCACTGTCGAGGAAGAGAAAGAAAAAAAAGAAGAAGAACCGCCGGAGGAGGGTATTTATACGCGTGTACTCACGTGTTGTCTAGCGCTCGAACTGCCAGTTGCCGTTTCGAATTTCGAGAGGTCCAGGATACTAATTTCCAGGGAGGGTGCTGAGATAGGTTGTAATCGACAAGAGCTTTACTGAGTGGTCTCCAGAGATCCGAAAATGGGCTCTCCTGTACTCTTCCATTTTGTACTGAAGCCTGAGGTTATATTTTCACACGTTCATTTTAGTTATCGCGGGCAATCCTCATCGCTATCGATCCCTTTTTTGCGAAGTTTCATAGAAGATCAACCGATACTGTACGCATTAAGAAAGGTATGATGTTGGTATTTGGAACTCCAAAAAAACAAAAAAAAACAATTCTGGCTATTCGAACCCTAAGCGCCGTCGCGTGCGCCTAATTAAGCGTTAAACAGCTTAGGTAATAAATGTTGCACAGCTATTTTGTTACAAGCGCCCGTGTATATATATGCTTCACTAATTGGCTTTGGTTTTCTGATTGCTTGCGGCCTTCCCCCACTGCAACTCTTGAAGCATGGCATCTTTTTTAGACACTACGCTTCAAACTATCACATCCGTTCAAAATCAGATCAACAGTGCGAAATGTCGGCTATCGCAGTCCATTCTGGATGCGAAACAAGAGCTAACTACTCTATACAGCGAGAAGCGAGCCTTAGAAGAGGAAGCGCGACGTGCTCTCGGAGAGGTTGCACCAATTCGTCGTGTACCTGCTGAGCTCCTGAGAGCGGTCTTCTTAGACATATTTGAGGAAGATGCCACAGGGAAAGCCGGTTGGATCTTTGCTGCGGTTTGTCGACGCTGGCGAATAGTTTCTCTCGAAACTCCAATGCTCTGGACTCGCATCCGGCTTGTAACTAAACTCGATGATAGCGCGGATGTTATCCGGCTCTGGATGGAAAGAGCAGGCCATAGTATGCCTCTTGATATCGAAATATACCTCCGTGTTCCTCAGATAAAGGCTGCTATTCCTGCGGAGTGTGGATCCTCCGTTCTTCCACCCATCGCCGCTAATCGACGACCTCGAAGAAGGACAGGCGCCCTTATGGATGATGGAGGCTATTCTCCGCCCGTTGGCAATGGCTCCGAGAGTTGGGGTCATGTTGCCGTGTTTTATCTGAAGCAACAGATGCCTCGTTGGAAGCGATTCGTCTTTCGATACGACAGAGTCTTTAGCTCCCTTGCGGCTTTCAAAGGGATCTCAGGTGAGTTTCTCGTCTGTAAATCATTCAACACTTTTGATGAATGTATGATTCTGCCACCGTGTTTAGGGAATGCACCCAAACTACAAGAGTTCGAAATTTCTTCCATCGAACCGTCCATGATCAATTTCACCGACTGGACGTGGATGCCAAATATCACGAACATAACTTTGCCTGCTCTTCAACGAGTTTCAACCACAAATATACCTCTGCTACTGAACTCTTCTCTGCTTTCACAACCTCTGCACACTATCTACATATCAGCTCTTTCTACCTCACCTATCCAGGTTGGTTCTTTAATGCAAATGCTTGCCAAACATGCATCAACCCTGTGTGTTCTTTCTCTCAATCTACCGAGCATGACGCCTCCCGTTGTACCTGCTACCACGCTGCCTTTCACTAGCAATACTCCGTTATGCTTTCCACTCCTTGAAGAACTGTCGCTCGGCGGCCACAATTTAATGAGCCAGCTCGCAGGCGCTATCACCACTCCTTCTTTAGAGGAACTCAATGTCGACATCGATCTTGGCCGTGGCGGTATCTCACATACCATGGCCCCAAATGGTGCTGCCAATGGAGTTCAACATTTTTCCTATATTGAGGAAGTAGTCCATGCTTTGCTTCACAGAGGTTCACCTGCGCCTGCTGACAAGTTGAAAGCACTCAGTATTGCATTTGGCTTCGGGAACGGTAGGCGGGCTACGAAGGAAAGGGATTCTGACCCTTACCTTCAAGCTCTCAAGTTTGCTCAGGCTTGCCCCTGCGCGGGCACGACATTTTTGCCGCCCGGTCACTATGCCACTCCTACTCCTAGTGTCGTCCACATCTCTTGGCAGTTTCTAGCTAGCCTTCCTGCTCTTCAGAGTCTTAAAGTTGGCTTGGGGGGTCATGCGGGTCCTGTTTGGCCCTCGAACGTGAACACGAGTGTCAACAATATTCCTTATACTGGTGGAAGCGTTGACATCGAACACTTCCTTAGTTCACTTTGTGTCCCAGATGAAGACTATATGACCGGTTCCGCTACCCTTGGGATCCATGGACCTATCCCTGGACCTCCGGCAGGCAACAATGTTGTCACATTTACCGTCGGGTTTAACCATCAACCTACCCTCAACAATCATAACAATGCTGCTGCTTTGAACGCAATTTTCGCAGGGGGAATCCCGCCGCCGCCGCCAATACATATTAATCAACAGTTCAACCCCGGAAATCTTGGGCTCCCACCACTCCCACCACCCCCTGGAGGCCCGGCGTATATTCCTCCGCACCATATGATCATTCCTATGGGGGGAGGTCCAGGTCCAAATCCAGCTCAAATACCGACTAATGGATGGCTACTCCCCAACCTCACCGAGCTTGGCGTCAAAGCCGGGTCCACAATATTTTCCCCTGCAACTACTGGCGGTATAAATGCCTTGTTTTCTTCCTCCTCCTCTGCGCACTCGTACGGCGTAATGTATCCACCTATCATGCCATCCTATAACTCTTGGAGTTCGCTGGATGACTCGTCTAATATCCCTGGAGCTGGTTACGTTCGGCGTTTACTCGAACTCATCGAGGGACGTAATCCCAAGACTGGTCAAGGTCAGAATATTGATGGTGTGGTTCCCGAGAGATTGAAAAGCCTTGAGATCGTTCTGAATGTTGCCGGAATTCCTGCGCGAGGAGTCGGACATGCGAATGGTTTATTCACGAAGAATGGGAATAAGGGGGTTCCTAAAAAGAAGGCCGCCAAAGATAAAGAATCAGAGATGCCTTCAACAGCGGCGTTGGAAAATTCTGAAGGTAGTGTGCAAGAGATTGTTGCTGCTATATCTGCGTCGGCGTCTGGGTTGTCAAATGTACCTGCCAAAGAGAAGGTCCTGAAGAGTCGGAATACAAATGCAGCGACTGCGCGTACGCTTATTGGTTCTGATTCTGCTACTTGGATCGAGGAACGTATTGAAGAGGTTAGTGTGAGGTGCGAATGTATGTTGGGAGAGAGTGGCGGTATGGGCATGCCAAGGATGTGGTGAAATGTGCGTACTATAGTTGACGAACTTTTTCGGAACATGGATTCGGGGATTGCTGTTCAGGAGGGTTATTGTATGTATATTCATCGATCTGTATTCTATTCCTGGTTCTGCTTGTCTTTTCCTTGTTCGATAATTACCCCTTACACTATTTGTATATTGGAACCCAGCGCCCGCGGTTTTAGACGCAATTATCAACAAGTTTACGTATGTCCAGTGTACTATGTATGCCTTGGGAAAGATCCCTGACTTCACGAAGGGTACACTGACTTTGTTTGGATAAGGTACTAAGCCTCGGCCTGATATTGCTCAACAGTCCGCTCATCGCTGTGGCCTGCTAGCGACTTCTGTCATGAGCTAACAGGAGCTAACGTACAAGAGCATACAAGGATGAGAGCCCCCAACTTGCGTGCGGCATTTTTGGTGAAAGCGATGATACGGAAGCGATGCATAGCCTAAATCTTGTACCCAACAATTCTCTCAACGAACTACCCTACATAAGTAATCCTCATCGACATCTCGTGTTACGGCGATTCGTCACGTTACTGCCACTCCTCTCTCTCTTACCGCTGGTCGGTCAGAAAAAAACTTCCGAGTCGTCGAAAAACCTACCATATAATTTATAAATTCAACTTTCTTGTGATGCAGCTCATTTCCATCAAAGTCTGCTCAGCCCTTTTGTTGGGTTTTTTGTCCCTCACAAAGGTTGTATCGTCACCTGTCCGTGCGGTGAGCGATGAATTCTATTGCATATCCGGCTGTTGGGTTCATAATTCTTGGTTTGACCAATATCTTTTCAGACGTCAGTTGGTGACAATTTACCCGCCAACTCGAACTTGGCATCATCCGACGTGAATACCACCCCGCGTTCATTGTCCGTATATACTCGTAGTGGTCGCCCGGATCTTCATCTTCAGTCGAGAGTCGAGTCAAAGCGACCTGTCCAAGCCGTTGTGGAATTTAAATCTCCCAATGCGGAATACACTTTCCCCCCCACCCAAGCAACTTTGACCGCTCTTCGTGTTATCCTGCGTAATGCCATAGAGTTATACTATATCAATGCGGAAGAAGTGCCCAAAGTTGAATTAGCAGTGAAGGGTCCACAGCCAGCGCTGCAGGAACTACAATTCAGAGTCTTCTTCAGCGGAACTGAAGAGATCGTCTCGAATGGAACGGTTTGCTATCAGGTGCTCATGAAGGCACCTTGGTTGAGCATACCCGGTCTCCGCGATGGAGATATGGCTAAGCTCTCTGGACATGTCGTAGCGGGCTTTGGCACTGTTCTTCGCTTCCAGAATGGAAAAGGGCAGGTTCGTTCTTCAATTGTGAACGTTTGTTTGAAATAGTCTAGTTGACGACTCTTTCTGTAGTATTTAACAGGAAGATGGAATCCTCGTGGAAGTTCATTTGATCTGAATCGGTTCGCTTGACCACTGGCAAATATTCGACATAATGTTTGAAAATGATGTACCTGAGGTAGCCTGAAGTATTACTTGTCGTTGCACTGTAACCACATATATTACTTTATCACAAAGTGGTATCAAATTGTTGATTTGCAATGATTCTCTCTAGAAGGAACTGGGTAAGGGGTGATGATTCCAGATATAGACATACAGAATATTTTACATATCTACTTATTCTCGGTAGATTCATACATGTTCTCAAATTTCCGTCGTGCATAGTCGATCTACCTGCGTCACCTTACGACGACTCCGTGATTTCATTCGCATTCAATGCAGTGGCTGACGAAGCTTCTCCGCGACTAACTCTCACTCTCCATCCTGTGCCACGTCTCAAGGTTTGCGCGTCTACGCGGTTCCCTCTGCCTCGCGTATAGTAAACACCACCGCGGGGTCCTTGAGAAGTTGTTTGCGTGGTAGGAATAGAGGGGGCGAAATAACCTCCTCTACTGCGGGCGGCATTATTAACGGGGGGAGACAGTCCTCGGCCTCGAAAAGTCCCCCTTGCTTGTCTTCTACGCCATCCACCTACTGGTAGGCTTGCGTCGTTTGAGGATAAATTATCCAAGCCGGTATTCGAAGAATCTGGAATAGGAGGATTGGTAGTTCTCATCGTTCCGCTCGCCCCCCGTCCTCGAAAGGCCGTATTACCTCGTGTGGAATTATCCAGTCCATGATGAGAAGTGTTAAGAGGAATGGCAGTTCCCATCATTCCGTTTGTGCCCCGAACTCGGAAGGCCGTACCCCCTCGGGTGGAATTATCACTGATAGTCGGAGGCAGTCCTCGATAATTTCCCCTCCCTCGCGCTGTAATTTGCCTTTCATTGAAGCTTGAATTCGTCGGCACGTCACCGAATATAGCACTGGTCGCTATGCCTTTCTTCATCTCTTCGTCATTTTTCATAGCCTCCTTCAATGCTTTTTGTTTCTCTCGCTGTTCCTTCCTGAACTGAATCGTATGCAGCCACTGTGGGACGGCGAGACAGACCCAACAGTATCTTCCCGATTGAACGGGAGGGAACGACGATGGAGAGAGATTACGAGCACATCCTGGACAAGGGATAGTTGTCGTCGATGTGTTAGGTTTGAGGATTTCAAGAGGTAATAAGGGGTTAGAGCGGTAATTGTTTCCAGGCTGCGGAGGAGCATCGCTCCATATGGAGACAAAGCGTTGGCTTTGGGCAGGAATGTCTTGGTCAATATATCCGGCTTGAACAAAGTGAGAATGGAGAGCATCGATGATTTCGACGTCGTGTGCTGCGTATTGGAGGTATTCGTTGGGTAAAGGACGGGTCATCCACAATTCATGATCAACTAAGGATTGGAAGCAATATATCAGGTCCTCGCTATATATGAATCTATACTTTGCTTACCGTGTTTCTTAGGAGAAGTGGCTTTACATCCGTGCTCTATCAAACATGATCCTAATCCCTGAAACACATGCACATCTTTGTACTTGTACGCGGACCGTACATTGTTGACCTGCTTATATGAGAAGCATCTCATCAGCCTCTGTTTGTGCTTTTCTGGTGTTTCTCCACGAATAAACCGTGACTTGATATCAACCAATTCAAGATCGATAACGTTGACTAATTCCACGTTGTACCCGTGATACAGCGCACAAAAATCCATCCGTCCGTCGTACAGAATTTTGAGGATCATTGGACTGGTGAGGAGGTTGAAAAGAGGTTGAAGGGAGCATCTTAGAGCTGAAAGAGCCACGAAATCGAAGAGAAAGTTTTGCGAAATTTGTGGCGCCATGGAACGAATGCAGACGAGGGAAAGTGCACCACCATTTACTCCAAGATCGAGACCTTCACAATCGATGATTAGGGATGAAGATGGCTCCAGAAGTGATACAGCAGAGGAAAATGAGGCTTCTGTGTCACATAGAACGAATTCGATAGATTCGATAGGTTTAGCCTCAGGGGATTTCGCGCCGCTATCTTTACTGCGAGAATTGATCTCAAGCTTGGAAAGATCCTGAGTAAGTTCATCTTGTAATTCGGACATCTGTGATATGTTTGTTGAAAATTCGAAGAGTCCACTGCAAAGACGTACCAAGAGTTATCGATGTGAGCTATAGTAAGCTGGGAGTAAAAAGAAGGTTCGATGGCATCGAGGTGGCCATTACATAACTTCTGAGGCTGCGGACTAAAAAAAATGAAAACCAGTGAAAGAAAACATTCAATGTAGGCGTTTTGTCTGTGCAATTGAGCGAAGAGATACAGTATTAGGGCTGCTCAATTCTTGCCTCACCTCACCGCCTCACCTCACGAGCTGTCACGGAATTCCGCTTTTGGATGTCTGATTGATCCGGGCTGATTTACCGTCGCCTTGTTTTCTCGTTTTCATCCTCTCGTTTTCGTTCGAAAAGACTGTCCGGTTCATCTTCATTCATTGATGGTATGTAGCTAGTACACCTACCTTACAACAACACTATCAGTAAATTCTCCATCGAAATTTTGTGCTTCTTCATCATCAAAGCCATCATCAAGTTGAAAGGAATCATCATTGGAGTCACCGGAATCCTCCATGAGGTGAGAGGCAAGAGTAAAGGCTTGCGTGATGTTGAACAACTCATTCTGCACCTCTGCACAAGTAATCTGAGGCAGGGGGCTGGCACCGGAGTTTTCCGTGAAATCAACTGGTGCAGACCCCCCCGTGCGAACTTTGACTTGCCAGCCACGGCAACATGGCATCAGAACTTCGGCGCATTGGTGCGATCAGGGTGCAATGAACCCAGTGTGAACCTCTAAAGACTGTAAGCAATAAGGACTCTTATTTGAGCTCAGCACTCTGCTGTATGTACCTGCCTATCTCCTCTTTGTCTAAGTATCACAGGGTATTTTGTTCTGAATGGTGGAACATTGTATAGATAATAGATAGCAAGCCCATTATTGACAATGATTGCTACAGATGCATGTCTTGTAGGTGCTTGTTTATGGCCCATTATTATAGCAAAGAGAAAATGATGATTTAAGAAAGAATATATTGATATGAAAGGGAAAACAAGGAGAACAAAGGTGTCGTCGACGGTGCACACTGCAGACAGATCAACGGGATCAAGACAGCCGATGCTAGCCGCTATCGGCAACTCAAAGTTCACACGGGGGGGTCTGCACCAGTTGATTTCACGGAAAACTCCGCTGCCCGCCCCCTGATCTGAGGCATAATGAATATAAAGTCTTGCTGCAACTACTGTAGATTAAACATATGGTACCGATCAATCGGACATCCAAAAGCGGAATTTCGTGACAGCTCGTGAGGTGAGGTGAGGTGAGGCAAGAATTGAGCAGCCCTAATAGCTGCACGTCGTCTGCACGTTGAACGAAGCGACTCACCGGGCCGAACGAATTTCCAATATTTTGAACCACGACCAATAACAATGAATTCAGAACGGGAAGACATTTCTCTGCCTGCGCCACTCACCAGCAAAACGCCTCTTCCTCGATATCGAGCTGCTTCTGCCTCCAGACGTCGTCCTAAAGACTTGAAAAACACCCTAGTGTCTTCGACGTCCTCCAGAGCCAGCTCCACCAGTGGCCGACAAAATCGAACTCAATCTAACAATATCATGGAAATTGATTCCGAACCTGGTCCTTCCAACGCGAATTCGACTAGTAGAAATACGTCAAATAGTTGGGATGATGATTCTCAAATATACCACGCTCTATCTTCAAATCCGGAGTCGTATGCAGGTCCTTATGCCCTTTCAATGCAGCCTCCTTATTCGCCTCCTCATTCTCCACGCCATGGGACCTGGTATAGTCCAGGATTGGGGAACCCAGAATCCGATGATGATGGTAATCGTTCTCATGCCCAAACTTATGCTCAAACTCGCGACGCTTCGCCTGACAACGCTTACAATGCTTATGCCCATCCACTTACTCTTACTTCGGGCGACGTTTACGGACAGATGGGTACGATACATCCTGAAGACAACATTCATCTTATGAATGGAATGTCGGAAGTTGGTGGTGATGCCTTTATGCAAACTCTCGCTACCCAGCTTTCACCGGCTTATGTATATGATCTAAATTTGAACTCGGCATCGTACGCATCGCAGAACCAGTCGCAGAATCGGTCACAGGCCAGTCACCTATCGCATCTCTTAAACGAAGAATCAGTAGATCCAATCGCGTCTCGAGCTCAGAGCACTTCCCAGCCGAAAGGAAAGGGTAAGCCATGTGCAGTCGACGATGATGAGGCACAGGAGGGGAGAGGACAACACAACGAAGAAGAAGTAAAAAGGGAGAGTATGGAAGAAGACAACGAAGATAACGCAGGGTCATCCGAAGCCCCTTCAACCCCTCGGAAAGGCAGATCATCTAAAGCCAAAGGGAAACAAAAAGCGGCGACGGACAGTCCTCCATCTCCACCAAGATCCTCCAACACTTCCGTACCACCAGAAATCCTCGCCGAACATTCCTTCACCACATATACATGCCCAATATGTTTCTGTCCGCCTACGAATGCGACCATGACTCCCTGTGGGCATATCGCCTGCGGGTCATGTCTGTTCACCGCCGTGAAAACTGCTCTGAGGAGAGAAAATATGATGGGTGGACCTAGAGATGATAGTGGTGGACCGAGGTATGTATATTGTTTCCTAAACACTTTTCTGCTTCTCCTTTCGGACTTTCTCAATTGACGCGTTCTGTTGTTCCGCTTTTGTTTCATTTGTTCACTAATTGGACTATTTAGATGCCCCGTGTGTCGTGCTACAATTTCAGGCTGGGACGGAAGAGGTGGAGGGGTAATTGGATTGGTTATGCAGATGGCCCCTGTTGCTTAGAGCAAAACAGCAGAAAAGTGGTGGATATCGATTGGATGAATCGCATGTTATTGAACTTCAAGAACGAACTGTATGTACACTGCATATTCCTAATAGGCCACATTTACAATAGTCGTGAAACGATGGGGGAAATCTACCTTCATGACGATCGGGAAATCTGAGCGAGGAAGGAAAATAGATCACAGCGCTGCAAGAATAAAGGCCAGTCTAAGATCTGTATAAATCACTCATATCGGACTCAAAATGTTTGAATGAAAATTGGAGTGTCATTAATTATTTTCCATTCAGAGTTCGGGTTGAAATCCATTTCTATTTTATGTAGTAGAAAATAAGATAAATCACAATCCACTTCAGAAATTTTTGGCTACGTCCAGGAGAATGCAAATGATATGGGGCAGGAAGAACGAGATATCTCGTCGTTGACAATGATTGAATAAATTAAGCTCCCCCCCAAGTGCACAATCGCGAAGCGACTTTCCCCCCATTCCCAGCGTGTCGTGCCAGTTTCATACGGAAACTAATGACATAACGCGAAATACTGCAACAGCTTCTCAAAGTTCATCGTGATCTCTCGTAGCTTCATCGTCATCATCTTCACCGTAAGAAGGTCCGCCACCACTGTACATCTTTGTGGTAATGGGGTTGACGATACCTTGGACCTCTGCATCGATTGTAAGCAACAGTTAGATGAATAGGATGAAATAACGTACCAGCAAGCTTCTCCTCTAGGTCTTCAGCCGTAGCAGAAACACCGTTCTCGTCAATCCATTCGGTGGTTTCTTTGATAGTGGCGAGCAGGGTCTTCTTGTCCTCGGAACTGATCTTGCCACCCATACCCTCCTCATCATTGACCTGGGTCCTCAATCCGTAAACGAATGTAGAGAGCGAGTTGAGAGACTCGATCCTCTTGCGCTGAGCCTCATCCTCAGAAGCGAATTTCTCAGCATCGGCGACCATGCGGTCGATTTCCTCTTGAGAAAGACGACCCTTTTCGTTGGTGATGGTGATGGATTCGGATTTGCCACTATACAAGACAATAATCAAAACGCAGCTTCAGAATTGAGGGTCCGGGATACGTACGTTGCCTTGTCGGCGGCTCCAACTTTCATGATACCGTTTGCGTCGATCTCGAAGGTGACTTCGATTTGAGGAACACCACGAGGGGCAGGAGGGATGCTGGAAAGCTCGAACTTGCCAAGAAGGTTGTTGTCCTTCGTAAGAGTACGTTCACCCTCAAACACTTGAATTAAGACAGTTGGCTGGTTGTCGGCAGCGGTTGAGAAACTGAACCGTGGTAAACCAATTAGTCGCCATATTGCACTAACAACGAAATACTTACATTTGAGATTTCCGGGTGGGAATCACAGTGTTACGAGGAATGAGTTTTGTCATAACACCACCGGTGGTCTCGATACCAAGAGTGAGGGGGCAGACATCAACGAGTACGACGTCGGCAGTTCCTTCAGCACCAGAGAGGATACCTCCCTGAACTGCGGCACCGTAAGCAACGGCCTCATCAGGGTTGATACCCTTGGAAGGCTCCTTGCCACCGAAATATTCTTTGAGGAGCTGTTGGACCTTGGGAATACGCGTAGAACCACCGACGAGGACAATCTAAGACAAAGTCATTTAATTATTGGGAATCCAGAATCAAATATCAATACAAACCTCGTCAATGTCATCTTTCTTAACGTTGGCATCCTTGAGGACCTGTTCAACAGGCTTCATCGTCTTTCGGAACAGATCCATGTTGAGTTCTTCGAACTTGGCACGAGTGAGAGTTTCCGAGAAATCGTTTCCATCTTCGAAACTTTCAATCTCAATTCTGGTACTCTGTTGGCTACTGAGAATTCGCTTGGCTTTTTCGACCTCACGCTTGAGTTTACCGAGAGCGCGAAGGTTCTTGGAGACGTCGGTCCCGGTCTTCTTCTTGTATGACTTGACGAGATAGTCAATGACACGGTTATCGAAATCCTCTCCTCCAAGATGAGTGTCACCAGCAGTAGCCAAAACTTCGAAGACACCGTCGTCGATCGAGAGGAGAGAAACATCGAAGGTTCCTCCTCCAAGATCATATACGATGATTTGAGATTCACCACCCTTTTTGTTGAGACCGTAGGCGATAGCGGCGGCAGTAGGCTCGTTGATGATACGCAAGACTTGAAGGCCAGCGATAGTACCTGCGTCCTTGGTGGCTTGACGCTGAGCATCGTTGAAGTCTAAAAATACAGCCACATCAACTCTGAGACCTATCAACTACTTTTTTTTTTTTTTGCAGACGTACAAGCAGGCACAGTGACGACGGCGTGGGTGACTTTCTCGCCCAAGTACGCCTCAGCAGTCTCCTTCATCTTGGTGAGAACCATCGCAGAAATTTCCTCAGGGGTCTGAACATCGTCTTGTCAGAATGTGCCAAGAGAATATTGGAATTTGACTCACAAAATCGCGCTTTTCTCCCTTGTGGGATACCGAGATGACAGGTTTACCACCCTTTTCGCGAACCTCGAAAGGCCAGTGCTTGATATCACGAGCAATATCTTGGTCGTCCATTTTACGTCCAATAAGACGTTTAGCATCGAAAACCGTGTTTGAGGGGTTGGAAGCATATGCATTCTTTGCTGAATCTCCGATGAGACGTTCTTCGTCAGCGAAAGAAACCCATGACGGTGTAATACGGTGACCCTGGTCGTTGGCGATGATTTCAACTCGGCCTCCACGTTGAACTCCGACACATGAATAACTGGTTGAATAAAAGATGTTAGATTATCCAGGAGGACCAGCAACAGCTATTCGTACGTTGTACCCAAGTCTAATGGACAAGCAGATCAGTATTGGATACTTGAACGATAACATTCACTGGCACATACCAATACCAATCACAGTTCCATACTCGGAGTTGGACTCCTCAGCTCTGACAGCAGGTGAACAGAAAGTAAGAACGGCTAATAGAGCGAAAAAAGCGAAAGAAAGAGAAGAAAGAACACGACGCGACTGCGAGTGTGAAGGACGTCTAGAAAGACGAGACATGGTGGATGAAAAAAAGTCAATGCTGAATATTTCTTCGAAACTTGATCCTTTTATTCACGGACGTGACGTGTCAAGGTACGTGGCTTTTGTACGTTCCCACGTTCGCGCTCATCAAATTTGTCCGATCCGGCGGTGCAGGCTGTGAAAACACTGATCCGGCTGCTCCTAGCGAAATTTCTAGTGCTTTCTGCACTCTCAAAATCTTTATCGCGCACCGCTGCTGTACTCTTCTAATCTGCTTCAAAATAAATGAAACAAGTTCCACGTTTGGTCCCGCATGTACTGTAACTTGATCGTCGCGCTACGCCTATGCCACGTAGGCATCAACCCAAATTTGCGAGAGGCGGCAAAATGTCACAAATTACCACGTCGGTGCAACGTAGCGTCTTCCAAACGCTGGAATATCATTCTGACTATACATATGCAATTGGACCAATGTCGAATATCTTCTGTGGTTTCTGGTAACATCCGTCCAAAAGGACAGTTCGCAGAATCCACCGCATAGTATTTTCTACATTTCAGATGTATACTTACTCTCATCCTCTGCAGATAGATCTCAGCAAAGAGAACTTGTGTCTTTCCTTCAATAGGCAAGTCCGATACACTGTGCAAAGAAGCAAACTATCTGTACATCTATGATTAGACAGCTGCACCCTTCCCTAAGGTGTGATGTACATATCTTCCTCATACTTACGAAAGAAAAGAAATTCCGAACAGATCTGACCGTCTCTTTTCACTACAACCTTGGATCACAAGTTCCCTTCGTATGTTTTGTATAGGTCACCAGAAGGGATGATATCTTCCATGGTCCTTCTCACACTTCATGTTTGCCTCACAGGGTCTTCAGCATTCTATGTAGTCTTATCTGCAGAAACCGTGTGGTCAATATCTGGTCTTATAAAAGAGCAAGCAGGTCTCAGAAGGGGTCGCAAGCACCACATCAGTCTCTTCACCCACGCAGTCAATGTCTCTACCAAGCCTAACCGTTTCCCCGTAAGTATGTCATGTCTGGACCTCGTGAAAGCAGACAAATTTGGCCTTCTAGGGGGAACCCCGTCACTGAGCAGCACCTTGACACTATATTGACAAAACTGGGACAAAATTTAAGGCCGAACGAGAGAACTGACTATCTGGTGCTTCTGAAGGCATTCCACGACGTGACAGAATCTGTCGCCAAGTTGCCTGGTGCGTCTGTGAAACATTGCCATTACATGTAAGACATATATATATCACCGACAGATTATGAGCCCCCGACAGACCTCGAACGTTTTCCTCGAAAGGACATTCACTTCTTGAAATCCGAAGATAACAAACTTGGCGCTTGGGCATGGAAATTCACAGCCAAAGATACTCGACCTAATGGAGGCATACTATCAGGCAAGACAGTTGTCATGAAAGATAACATATCCGTCGCCGGAGTGAACTGTCTGCTTGGCACAGACGCAATGACTGGCTTTGTACGATTTCCTTCAATAATATACTTCATCGTTTAAGTGTGCTAACTCCCCGAACGTCGTACAGGTACCCACCGCAGACGCCACTGTGGTGACGCGAACCTTAGAATCAGGAGGTACCATTCTAGGGAAAGCCGTGTGCGAAAATCTTTCCATGGCGGGAACCTCGTTCACTGCTGCCACGGGTCCAGTCCATAATCTTTATGCTAGAGGATATTCCGCTGGCGGGAGCTCCAGCGGTTGCGGTGCTTTGGTTGCATCGTGTGCTGTTGATATGTGAGTCCCCGCTGAATGACGTATCACTGAGTCCCTCTGAATTTGTTTCGATGATCATGAACTAGGGCCATTGGTGGCGATCAGGGTGGCAGCATTAGGCTTCCCGCAAGCTGGTGCGGCATATACGGTCTAAAACCCACACAAGGGCTCATACCATACACGGGAATTGCATCCCTTGGTATTCATAACTTTACTTATAGTATGTTGACATCTCAGACCTCTGATACACCTTCTATCTCCAGAAACCACGATGGATCATACCGGACCAATGACACGGACATGTTTCGATAACGCACTTCTCCTCAAAGCGCTCGCAGGCAAGGATAACATCGATGACCGATGTATCGCTACTCCTCCCCCTTCAGAAATACCCGACTATCCTGCAATCCTAGACGAAGTGAAAGGAACCGCAAATCCTCTAGAAGGCTTCAAAATAGGTTTACTAACAGAGGGCTTTTCTGACATACCATGCGAGCAAGGTGCCATGAATGACGCTCGAGTATCTAGGAAGGTCAGGGATGCCGCAGACAAGTGGAAGGAAATAGGAGCGAGTGTCGAAGATGTGTCTATACCGGTAAGTAATCACACCAAATATTTCCAATTTTGATCTCCAAATCTAAAGTAAATTGGCTAGATGCACGCCCTTTCTATGGATTTATGGCTCATGATCGTGCGCATGGGGTGTGTTCCTGGTCTTATGGGAGGTGTAATCGGACGCCAAGGGTTCTACCAGAATCAACTGACGACTAAGATGAGTGCTTTGCGCACTCCAGAAGGATGGGACAAGTTGCCATTTACAGCAAAAAACATGGTTTTGAACGGCGTTTATATGCAAGAGTATTGTGTCCGTCCTTTATTCGCTCCTATTTCAATGGGGCTGAAGAACTTCTACAGCCAGAGCTTTACGGAAAAGCCACCAACCTGATTCGACTTCTGCGAGAAAAATACGATGAAGCGCTGAACCACTTTGATGTGCTCGTTATGCCTACGACGCCATATCTCGCTACCTCTCACGCTGTGCCGGATGCAACTGTATTGGCAAAGGTTTCCAAGGGACTTGGCCAAACAATGAACACTTGCTCGTTCGATGTCACTGGCCATCCAGCGCTATCAATGCGAGTGTTTTTGATCAAGCGCAGCTTCCGCAATCTGACCGCTCTACTTTTAGGCCCATCGGTATGCTGCCATCACTCGATGACTCAAGTATCAACCTTCCAGTTGGCTTACAGATCGTAAGCAAACATTTCCAGGAGAGTAGGATTTACAAGGCGGCATTCGCATGGGAGAATGAATATCCAAATTGGAAAGATTGCTGAGCAGCTAGTGCATGTAATAGTACAACTAGTGTTACAAATCGTTCACTTGGATAGAAATTTAGTGAAATGACAATGTTATATAGATGGAAACTTGCCAAAAAATTATACGCCCACGGCTTCATCACCATTAGCCATTCTGTGAAATTCTTGGCGTATTTGTACTATGAAAGTGAAAATATCTTGTGTAACGTTCAGTTTGTCTACCAGTAACGGAAGGGATGGTAGAGGGGGCGAAGTCTTCACAACTGCAAAGAGAGTAATTCGTGAACTCATGTCATGAAACCAACGGATGTACAAACCTTTATAATCATGACAGGAAACATCCAAAATGAAACTGAATTCCCGGTCTGGATCTGATATGTCTACACCTCCAAAACTGATCAGCAATTGTTCTTTCTCCATCCCTTCAATTGAACAAGCTAAGAGAGTCTCGTAAGAATGTAATTCTGGGGCAACCCGCGATGCATGCGTGTTCAACGTCGATCGTTCTTTGTCCTTGTCTACAAAAGACCCATGATTAAAACCGGAAACTCTCTGAAAGACCTTGAATCAGAAACCTGTTTTGAGGCTGACAATCAACGCGCGATATTCGTCAATCTGAGTTTGCATAGTTGCGCTGCGTTCATGAAGGGATGTGATTTGTCGTTTGAATGCGGTCACCGCTACCTCTGCATCTTTCCTTTCCGCCTGCTCTCTCTCTAAAGCTATACGAAGTAACATGTTGGGTTGGACTTGCCGTAGACCAAGCAAAACACTCACTGGCCATCAACTCAATTTCTTGAACTTTGCATTTGCTAATCTCAGCCTCAATTTTTTGAGCTCTATCATGTAACTTCTTCTTTTCCGCTGCATCTTTCGTCCGTTTGTCCGTGATAGCTGTAATGGATCTGTTTTTGTAATTGTTCACGGCCTTCAGAAAATTTTGCAAAGTTTCTTCGTATACAGGAATATCAAGATCTATGTGTGGGTTGGGATCTGAGAGCACAGTCTTTAGGTCAAAGTGGAATCCTCTGGGGGCGAAAGCCATGATAGTTGTTGGTTAATAGAGTTTCTGTCAGTCACACGATCGCGACGCGATTAAAGATTTGTCAGCTTAGGCGCTCAACATCGGCAAACCTTCACTAAGACCTGGTGCTAGTCAATGCAGCTGGTCGACCACGATACTGTACGTTTGCCATTTTCGCTTCAGATTCCTGTAATGATTCTGTACAGTTTCTCAAACAGCTGGTTACACTGTTTGAATCCTCCAAAGATCAAGGCTCGATATGGATAACGCATAAACGACGTACGAGTTTCTAGTAGATCGAAACAGCTTTACTCTACTGAATTAATGTACCAGTTTGTTATGACAAGGAGGATACCACCATGAAAGTGGAAGATGGCGCTGAGGACCCGCATGTCTACCCATGTCTCCTTCGAGTCTCAAATGGCGATAAAGTCAAATTTTCAACAAAGGTACGCAATCGTTTGCTGTGTTGGACGCCGTTTCACAGTCTGGCCCTATAGGTTGACTCCACAGACTTACTCAAGTTTCATCAAGTGTATGGCGCTCTTCTTAAATCATGTATGGCCTCTCTTCGTAAGAGAGACAAGAAGCGCGAAAAGCAACGTGCGGAAGAAGCTGCAGCTCGCAAAAAGAAACTGTCCGAGCCTGTTGTTGTCAATGGATCTAAACGAGGGGGTGGACGTAGGAAACGACAACGCCAAATCAAAGCTGCGTTAAAGCAACAAGAGACATTGGGGAAAATCAAGGCAAAGGAGGAGGCAAAAGCCAAGGCAAAGCTGACTTCGGAAGAAGCTTTGTGATCGTTCGTGTATTATTTATCTGTTTTCGACATTGAAACTATATTGCTCTTGTTATCAGGTCCATGTTCGATGTCCTCTGCAGTCTTCATATATCTTGCACAATCAATCAACCCGCCAATAACATGTAGCACAATCCGTAATCTATAGCGTTCTATAGATAATCTTTCGACAGGGTAAAAACGGATAAAATCCATATATTCTGTGGTATAACATTGCTGGACGGGCTCTTACAATCTCCATCGGCCCAAGACTTTTCGCGATGCATTGTCAGTTGCATTCCGAATATTTAAAAAGATGATGGCTGCTCATGATCCATTCAGATGGTTCCTTGATTGTCATTCCAAAGATGAATTCAGAACACACAAAATGTGTCCAGGTTTGCCGATGTTGGAAACTCACAACTGAGTGTCGAAGACTGTTGAAGAAGCTGGTTGAACTAGCGTTGATGCACTGATTCAGAAAAAACAGACATGACATTCATCGCTTTTTGGACAGCATCAAGTACCAACCTCGTCCACGCTGACAACTGACAAGGCTGGAGTTGGTCCGGTCTGAGGCGTAGATGCACACTTGCTTCCTGTCCCGGAGTGATCAGTTTTTTCTGGGTTTTTCCTGCGATGAAACCTATCTTATCTAGATAGATAGGTATGGAATGGATTAATTCATGTTTGTTCGAGCTGTCGCTGATCCGGAGGTAAATAGGCATAAGCTAGCAGCTATTGTTACGATCTGCGGATGCGACCGCCTGATCAAAGTAGGTAGCGTGAGGTAGCGTCTGCTGAGACTCGAAAGACAAATATTCGCGGACTCGTGGATCCGTGTATCGCTCACCTATTGGGACTTACTCTATCGAGACAGGTAAGGACAGGCACAACCGCGCTCATGATCTCTCATGATCCCCTCATCTGATCAAGTTAATACTATGAGATTTCAATACCCACATTAGGCCAAGGTGTTCTTTCATATATAAATGTCAGATTCATACCTTCATGTAATCTCTCCGCCTTGCCATGTCCACCAACGTTGTCCACCTTCGTGATGTTCAAGCCCGCTCAAAGTTTTTCACCGTTTGGGAAAGGCATAGGCACACAACGGTACACTGGCTCGTTGAATGTTTTGCTGAATTCGTGAGTCTGTGCCTCGCTGTACTCTGAATATTTGTACCGAAATGCATGTTCTATGTTGTTCTACGTTAGTTGGGGGTGTTTTTCTACGTATACGCTGGTATGTGATATTTCCCGTGTATAGTATGCAGGTGCTCAAATAGGTCTACAAGGTGTTGGATCACAAGTTCCCTTCATCGTCGGCCCCATATTGAGTATCGATGGGCTTAGCTGTGAGTCGTTTGTTTTTTTCATTCGCCGTTGTCTGACCGTCCACTAGCTGTGCTCCAAATTGGCCTGGCGTACGCATGCGGAATAATCTTTGCTATCAGCATTTGCGGTGCTACATCTGGAGGTCATTTCAATCCTGCAGTCACTTTGACCCTGGTATTATTCAAAGGTTTCCCCCCCTTCAAAGCTGTCAGGTACATTCCTCTTTAGTCGGACATCTTGAACCTTCGTCTAATCAGAGGTCATTCAGATACATAATTGCCCAAATCCTTGGTGGATACATCGCCTGCCTGCTCATATATGTCCAATGGCACGATCTTATCAAAGAGAGCGAGCTTGTACTAGCTGCTGCGGGCACCCTCGACGCTACTTTATTCACTCCTCAAGGTCCAGCGGGCGCCTTCGGCCTCTATGTTATTCCAGGGCTGAATCTGGGTGGGGTATTCCTGAACGAGTTCGTTACCGTGCGTCTTATATCCCCCATTATTGACAGTATTCTAAATCATGTCCCCCACCCTAGGATATCTTTCTAGCACTTGTGATTTGGGGAAGCATCGACCCGACCAACGTGTTGATCCCTCCCCAACTAGCGCCTTTTGTGATTGCGCTCGCTTAGTGAGCTACATGTTTGCTTTCTGCGTTCTTAATTCACAGATAATAATGTTCCTTAGTGCGGCGGCAATCTGGGGGTTTGCAACACCAGCGTGTAAGGATCCGCACATTTGAATAAATCCGTGTTGAACGTACTCATGTCAAAGTCAGTGGCGGCCAATCCTGCTCGCGATCTCGGAGGAAGGCTCGCAGCTATGACCATCTGGGGAACAAAAGGTTAGTTGTCCCTCAAGATCTTTTTGCATCCCCTTTAACGTTGTGCTATAGCTGCTGGAGGTCGTTACGCCGCAATCGCTGCTTTAACTAGTATTCCCGCGACAATGCTCGGAGTATTCATACATGAATTATTCCTTACTGACTACGCAAGGGGTAAGAGTAGAGCTTCTCATTCTTACTAGGATACTGAATGTGGCTTCCCCAGTGATTCCCTCCTCTCAACGTGAATATATGGAGGTACACCACAATCACGCCCATGCTCCCGGTAAAGCCGCATCAGACGTGTCTTCAAACGAAAAGGCCGACCTTGAGCATAATGCATGATATAAGATACTGAATCCAATTTTGATTTTCTGAGGGCGAGGGGGGGTTACGAGGGAGGGGTACGGGATGTCTTTTTCATCAACCACAGCTATATGTCTCCAAAATAAATAAGTATCTCTAATAAAACCAAGTGAATGACGCCAAAGGGATTGATAGTAGTACATTGCTGTAGCTAGGTATGTGGCAAAAACATAAATGACAACATGTATCGAAATTACTATTCTGTGCGACCTCTCCTATTCAACCTAGCATTCAATGCGTTCTGGGATACCGTCCTTCATTTATATAGTATTCACACTCTGGATTAAAGGGGATCTCATAGAGAAATTTCTCGAGATAGCTATATTCGGAAATGTAAAAGGAGTCCCATAAAAGCTGAACTTTGCGCAAGGCACAATTGGAACGAATCAACATTTCTCCCAGTTCGTTCAAGGCGTTGTCGCTCATTCGAAGCCAGAAGCTGACCGCCACATGGGTCAGATTAGGTAGATGAATAAGATCCCAAGCACCAGATGCGAAATCTTCGCCTATACCCTTGATTTTCAAGTTTATAAGGTGAGTATGTCGCAAAGGGGAAATGGGAGAGAACGAATTCGAGCTTGAATATTGCCCACTATAGAAAAACCCCACCGCCAAAGATTCGAGTAGTGGGCAGTGATATAGCAAATATGCAAACGAGGAGCCACTGTAATTGTGGAGTTCCAGGACGGTCAGATTTTTTAGATCTATCAGATCGGTGGACGCGAGAGAAGAGATTACCAGGGAACGAAGGCGGGGACATGAAGAAGAGAACTTGGTCCTGACCGATCTGACTGCTGGCAGTTCGTTACTCAAATTAAATCCGGAGCCGAGATTTAATTTTACAAGAAAGGGAAATTGGGTGGATACTAGCTTAGTAGCCAATATTCCATAGAAGGTCTCAAAATTTTCCGGGGAGTCAGTGTGAAATGTGAAAGACCTCCATCTATTTGTCCAATCCGTCAAAACCTCCATGACGCTGTATTGAATGTGATCAAGGGGAATAGTAGAGGAAATGGCTACAAATGGCAGCGTATCATGGAGGTTCGTCACCGTCGATATGTCCAGTCGAAAGTCCATAGGACAAGAAGTGCCTGAACGTCGAAGGATATATTTCAACCTTTCAACTGTCGTGAGCCCTTCCTCCCTCCGAGTCGCATCGTTGTTCCCATGGGAATTCCCGAGATCTATAGAGGACCATAGCTCAGGTTGTGTTAGAGCTTGACTTCTCCACCAGGAGCAAACCCAAGTTAAAGGAAAAACACGCCCGACAAACTTTTGATTTCGAAAAGATAAAGAAATCCCAAAGTTGGACACATCGACATCCGAATGCAGAGGCGACTCTGTTATAACCCCTGCGATGAGGCGAAAGATGGCTCCTAATATCTCTGATGGAAGTTTTCGGATGGGGGAAAGGAGCGATTCTTGACATTCCAAAATCATGGGCAGAACAGCTCGAATATCGTCCTTTTCGCAACGCTGAAGATCGTCGCGTGTGGCCAATATATCTGTTTCTAATTCAGAAAGCTCCTTGGATGAAAGCGGGACATCATTGATTCGGATTTTTGCGAGAAAATCGTCGTATTTCCTCTGGTTGTACCGTAGAAGTTCATCGTCCATGTCCAAAGAAGCAGAAAGAAACGTGATCGTCACATCTTCAATATCATGATATGCACGTTACTTATAGTCTTTCATAATATGATCAATCATCATATCTGTATTTTATGTGGAGGCAAACTTTTTTCTTAACTATTCATTTACCGTGGCAACTTGTGAGTAAGACTAAGTACTAAAGAGCGGGGAGGTACCGCAGCTTTTCGGGACATCCCTAGTTTGTTGCCCACCTTCATTCCTCCGAGGATGTGGGTTGTGGATCAAGTCAGGCCCCCAGAACTGTTGGAGATCTTGAACCTGGCCTGAAAAAGAGACTTTCCCCTGAGCTATGCTGAGCTGAGGTTGGTCCAAGCCTGAGGCCCATGTGTGCATAAGTCCCCATTGCTCGGTGGTATGAGCTACTACAATAACTTCCTTTTCCTCGTGCACTGTAGTACCTTCTGTAGTAGATAGATAATTTACCTATCAAGTTTATTGTTACTTATAGAGTGACGAGTCCCAAGGCCAAAGCGATACCATGATGTCTGGATTCATAGGGTATAATCAAGGGTCCTCTTGTCGCTCGGTTGGACATCAATGCTAACTTGTTAGCATCTAGACTAATGGTATACTAGTAATCCGAGGGAAACTTCGATTCGGGGTTGTAAGAACGGGATAAACTTACCATAATAATGAACACACCTGATATCACAGACGGAGAAGCTATAAAGACCGTGACTGGAGTCGAACATTGATCACAGACCCCTTCATCATGTCCAACACGAAGAAGCTCCGGATTGCGATAATGTAAGTATGTGTTTCTCCGTCCCGGTGAGAACTTTGACGCGTGATGCTTCCCATTACTGAATTTCGACAATTTCAGTGGAGGAGGAATTGGAGGTTTAACCTGTGCAGTGGCACTCAGGGATTGTCCCAACATTGAACTTACTCTGTACGAGCAAGCCGCGCAAATCACTGAGATTGGCGCTGGTATAACGGTGTGGCCTCGAACATGGATGTTTCTCAAATCTATGGGATTAGAGGAGGATCTGTTGACGATACTTCCAGAGGGATATAGTGATGAACCAAGTAGGTAGCTCTTTCGAATGACCTTCATCATTGCCAATGCTCTCTTTAGAGCTGGCGTTTGAATTCCGCATGAGCGACCGAAAAGATGGATTTACCTTCCATAAGATTTACGCAAAAGGCTCGTCTCAGTTGCATCATCTGGAGAATCAGAACTAGATTTGACTTACCTATCCCCTCATAGGCGGCGCGTTGTGCTTTCATCGTCAAGAAATTCAGAAAACGCTCCTCAAGCACGTTCCCGAACATTGTCGCATACATTTATCTCACCGCTTGTCTCGCTGCGAGGAAAGCGAAGACTGTGTGAAGATGTATTTCGAAAATGGTTTGGAAGAGACTTGCGATATTCTCATCGGCGCGGATGGTATCAAATCAGTGACACGAGAATTGTTCCAGAACAACGGGATATTCTATACAGGTTCACAGGTATTCCGAGGGCTGATCCCCAAAGACGATTTCGCGAAGTCGTACCCAACTCACAAAGCTCTAGATGGTCCGATACAAGTGAGCAGTCTGACTTGGTATGCAGATCGACTTTGGCCTCACCTTTCCATGATAGTACTGTGGAAAAAACAAGGTGAGCATACTAGATGAACGTGCCAGTGTACACATGGTTTATTTAGCCATGATTTGATTCTCGATACAGCACATAGTGGTTTATCCCATTAGCGGAGGTCGGATTATCAATGTCGTGGCCTTCTTTTCCAACCCAGTGGATGAAGGTAAACTGGTTGATGGTCCAACAATAAGGAGCGCAACCACAGAGGAAGCACTTCACGAATTCTCTGGATGGGAGGTTGAAGTGGGACAGCTATTAGGCGTAAGTGGCGATTGAGCTTGACTCCTGAAATGAACTACCCAAGTCTTAACTGAATATCAAGAGTATTGAGAAACCATCTCGCTGGGTAATTCGAGATCTACGCCCTATGAAAACATATGTATCCCGCAGAATCGCCTTGGTAGGAGATTCCTGTCACAACATGACGCCCCATCTAGGTGCAGGTGCAGGTGAGCGATGCTATGAAAATATCTAGATTTCATTCGCAATTCACAAACTGCATACTAGGTCAAGCAATGGAGGTGAATGAAGACTTGAAAAAAACTAACAGAATTCGTTACTCAAACTTCCGCCTAGGATGGATATGTGTTGGGCCGACTATTCTCTACAGCGGGCCCAGAAAAGTGGGAGCGCATTCTCCAGGCTTACAACCATGTTCGTCATCCGTTTGGGACTAAGATTCAGAGAAATGCGCGCGAACAAGGCTTCTACTATGAGTTGAATGCGCCTGGATTTGAGAATATCACGACCATGGGACAAGAGTTGAGTCCGGAGCAAATTTCTTTGCTACGTACCAGTATCACGCAAAATTGGTCTTGGTGGGAGGAAGATGCCGACGAAGATTTAGCGCGAGCGGTTGAGTTTTTGAACGTGGATTCAGAGAGTTGAGTAGATAGTGATGTTTTCATGGGGCATACTACATAGTCTGGGTACATAATTCCCCATGATATTAATGCAGCTTTAGGCTAGTTAGGAAAAACAATGCGCAGCAGACAGTGGCACGGCCTAATATCCGGTGCTTCGGACCAATTTAGCTCCGCTTTATGTCAGCGCTTCGACCTGCTTTGCCATACCAGGCCATACCGAGTAGCTCAGACTTCTGCTCAGATGGCTAGCATCTTTCGTTTATAATATAGCCTTTTTACTTACTGCTCTTCGCTAGGCAGGATCTGGAACTTATTCTCGATTGCCCAACGACGCAGCAAACTCGGAAACTAGGCAGCTACTGAACGGAGAACCAGTTGTTCATAGTTCGACTCACGGTGGCCAAATTACTGTTCACCCTAATGGACATTCCTACAGTTATACTTACGGGCCGAAAGGACTAGCTGGCCTAGCTCTTAATCGCTACGCTTTACTCTGTGCCGTATTTGCTAGCATCGGAGGATTAAGCTTTGGATATGATCAGGGCGTCGTAAGAAATATGTATTCACCGTTTTCTAAACTCACCATCTCTACTTCAGATTGCAAATGTGCTTGTGATGAAGGATTTCATGACTCGTTGGCCGATATCACCCTTAGAAGAAGGTTTCATGAGTACGCTTACCTCCATGCTGGTGTTATATCCTTCCATCGATTTACCCTGCTCGTCACTAGCTGCTGTACTAGAACTTGGCGCCCTTGTTGGTGCACTATGTGCCGGAATATTCGCGGACAACTACTCTAGACGTTTTTCGATGTTTATCTCATGCAGTGATGCCTTCTTCCATTCGCGTGTATAGCTTCATATCTCATAGAACCGTTCTAGTCATCTTTTGTATCGGATCCACACTTCAATGCGGAGCTCGGTCCCTTCTACATCTCTTCCTTGGTCGTGCAATAGGTGGAGTGGGAGTTGGTGCGCTCAGTACATTGTCACCTCTATACATGGCAGAAATCAGTCCACCTGAAGTTCGAGGATCTCTAATGGCTTTGGAGCAATTTGCTATCGTGCTAGGTGTTGTGCTAGGATTCTGGCTGGGATATTTCACCCGGGACAGTGAGTACATATGCAACCCTTTTCACAACGTTTCTTCATCAAAGAACATTATTTTTCGTAGTCCCAGGCTCTGCATCATGGCGTATTCCTCTGGGCGTACAAATTATTCCAGCCCTTATACTTATCCTAGGCTGTACCTTCTTGCCGGCTTCACCACGTTTGCTCGTTCTACAAGGAAGATATGACGAAGCCATCGCCAGCCTGGCACAATTGCGACTTAGAAGTCTCGCCGAAGCACAGGAGGATCCGCTCATCCAAGTATTTCATGAAATGTTTGCTATGAAGACAAGTTGTTCCCTAACATTTCTGCGCAGATTGAATTTCTTGAAATGCGTGTAGAAGCTGCCATGATCCACCGTAGATTCGGCACTGCTGAAAACTCCAAGTCAGCACTATCAGCAGAATGGATTGCTTGGAAGAGGCTTTTCGGCAAGAACTATCGCGATCGGACCATGGTAGGCATTCTTATAGCATTTTTTCAACGTATGTTTGAGCATCGTTCACTCCTCGAACCCATCCTGATTCCCATCTTGTCCTCCGATAGAATGGAGCGGAATCAATGCTCTCCTATACTATGGCCCTATACTGGTCAGGAATATTGGACTGTCAGGCGGAAATGTAACGCTGTTAGTATCAGGAGGAATAGGCATCGTGCAATTCTTGGCTGTGTTACCTGTGATTGCATACATTGACAAATGGGGTGTGTGGTTGTCTTCTGGTCCTTCTCTTTGCTCATACCCTTCCATATTACCCTAATAGGTCGTCGGCCCTTACTTCGTGGAGGAAGTATTGCCATGACCTGTTCCCATTTCAGTATTTCAATCTTGGTAAAATTCTTCTCAAAAATGAGCACCTCAAGATACGCACTGAGCCGTTCATTTACTCAGATCATCCTTTTCGCATCGGATTGGACTGCACATTCCACTGCCGCTTGGATAGGCGTTGGGTATGGATATACCCCATGACGCTGTAATAAACGTAAAATTTCTCAATTTTCTTCTAGGTTTGTCTACACTTTCACTGCAGCGTACGGGATGTCGTTCGGCCCTGTCGCGTGGGTGCTACCCAGTGAAGTTTTCCCTTTGTCCATGCGCAGCAAGGGCGTCGCATTATCAACTGCATCTGTGTGGGTGAACAACTGTAAATCGCTCTCCTTAATAATTGTTTGATTTGAAATATGTTTGAACGCCTTGACCTGATTTTACAGTCCTCATCGGTTTGATCACCCCTGTCACATTAGAATGGTCAGCAGCGTAAGTCTTGTGGAAACCATTTCTGAGTTCTCCCAACTCATCCCCTACAGTGGAACGTTCATGATGTTTGCAGTAGCTTCATTTCTTGCTTACATATGGGTAACGTATAACGTGCCAGAAACAGCCAACGTCTCTTTGGAGGAAATTGATGAAATGTTTAAGTCTTCCGCGGGGCGGGAAGAAAGTATACTGAAGGCTCAGGTATGAAGACACATTTGCCATTTTTTCCTCTATCCTTATGATTTCCATGATTAGATCGAGGAAGACTTGGGACTAAGAGCACTGATGGTTCGACTAGCAAGGGACGAAGTTCGTGATTAGATGAACTCGATTAGCCTGTAGACCAAGCCTACTAGGAGACGAGACCCCGATACCCTCATAGAGAGAAGGTTTCCGGAAATACAAGAGTAGAATAGAATTTGTATCTTAATATCGAATATAATTTGTACACATGGAACACTTTCACGATATCATGTTAGTTCTCATAGAATAGTCCACCGTTGCCCGAATTGAGATATGTACATTGCTGGCGAATACTTCGATTATGCATAACAATATAGAAACACCATCTCTTCTGGCTCTATATATCTAAATTCTTAAGTTCTATTTCTAGACGCTCTCAGTGAAGCCCAGGTTGCCCCAACCAGCCCAGCTCGGGTGACAGGCACGGAATGGCTCCGTCTTCGCGATTTGGTTGAGTTCAACAACATCGGCAGGTTCTAGGTCGATGATCGTTGCGTTGGCTATGTACAGTGCGTAAGATGGTGGGATTTTAAAAGATGAGTTGATAGACACATACCAAGGATACGTTCATTGGTAACGGATTTAGGGAGAACTGCACATAAATTAGCATATATCGACGCATTTCACAGAAATCGCACAGAATGTCACGAACCATTAACTTTCGGCCTATTAGCTTGCAATGAGATGAGAATGGTTCCAGGCTTTACACCGTATTTCTCAGCGATCTTCACCACAGTCGGATTCTTCAACAACGGCGCGCCCTCTGATCCGAGCGGTGAATAGCCAGTGACGGCGATGCCTTTGCTGACACAAAGGTCGATGACTTCCTGTTGAGGGCAGGAAGGGTGCAACTCGATTTGATTAGCGGCAGGCACAACTTCGCTGTTGGACAACAGACGCTTCAGGTATTCGACAGAAAAGTTGCTGACACCGATGGCTTTGATCTTCTCTGGATGAGCCTTGTAGAGCTTCTCCATCTCGTGCCAGGTGTCGAGCCAGTCAATAGACTTGTCCGCTCCACCTTCCTTAGTCATGGGTGCAGGCCAATGCATGAGCCCTACTCAATCGCGTCAGTATATGCGCTATCTACGAGGAAAAGAAAAGAAGTTACTGACAGAGATCGAGGTAAGGCGTGTCAAGCTGCTTCAAAGAATACTCGAGTGCCTCTTTCGGGCGACCCATATCAGGATTGTTCAACTTGGTGGTCAAGAAGATTTCTTCGCGAGGAACGCCAGACTTTTTGATTCCTTGGCCTACTTCGGACTCGTTTCCGTAGGCAGTAGCAGTGTCAATGTTTCGATAGCCATTCTTGAGTGCGTACTCCACGGCGTGCTCGACAGCTCCAGGTTGAGAGCGCCAAGTACCTACCAGAGTGGTATACGTATTAGTACTCTCCACTCATTCATTCACGACGTGAACCAGAGTGCTCACCGAGGCCAAGGGTCGGCATTTCAGCGCCGGTGTTGAGTTTTATGGATTTACTAGCAGGCATGGTGGATGTTGAGAAAGAAGAAGAATGTTGAAACTTCAAGCTCCTTCATCCGTCCGACCATAATTCCTTAGCGTGTCATATGACGTCGTTGATCTTGATAACGGCGATTCTTCGGAGGCTTTTCTGCCAGTTCGGACCGGAGGCAGACCGGAAACCGTCTCTCTATGGGCCAACCCCCGTCCTACATACATACATAGTAGTACATAGGTTTGGTCTCCAAGCTTAAGCAATGGAAAGCAACAAAAGAATGCATGGATAATCCTCTTATTTTTATGCATCCAAACGAGCGATACAGTAAACATAGATAGATGTAAGTAAGTATTCTCGGTCGATTTTACGTAGTCACCCGCACCGGGAGCTTTCCTACCGCCTTCTCCTCACCGAAAATAATATTCTTCACTGCCTCCAAAGCGGGTTTTGTATATTCGCTACAGGCCAGGTGAGCATAATCAATGCTATGCTTACTCTCGAATCCAATGAGATCGTATGGGGTGCCGCTAGAAACAACGACAACTTTCGTTTGAGTCGAACATAGCGTTCGCTCAAGCCCTCGTAATTGCCATGTCCCGCGATCAGCATTCCTGAGTGTGAATATGACTTGTTCGTCAGACTCTACGACATATACCGATTCCGTGTCCTGTTGGTTGAAGACAACATGGCGTGTATTGGGAACTTGTTGTCTGATGGCCTCAACGAAGGAAAGGAAGGAAGCCCCAGCAGTGTTTCGGACTGCACCTCCTTTTGTTCTCAGTACACCCTCTGCATCGTCCACCGCAAGATTATAACTTTCCATTGCTGGGGTAAAAACAACGACCTTTCCTCGACCATCTAACATTTCCCCTTCCTTTATTGCTGTTTTCACAAAAGTTGGCGCCTCGGTCACACGCTTTGCTTTTTGGCTTCAAAATGATACCGAACGAAAACATTGATATCTCACTCGTTCCTCGACCGATTACTGTAAAATTTAGTGCGTTGACAAGCTGTAGTATACGCTCAGAGCGCCCCATGGTTATTTCTTCCAAAATATATAATTTTACAAATCTCAGCTATCAAATGGTGTCAAATGAAAACACAGATATCTTGCTCAATCCTCCACCAATGACTGTAATTTTTAGTGCGTTGACAAGCTGTAAGGTATCCTCAGAGCGCCCCATAGTCCTATCTTGAATGGTGTGACCCAGTCAGTAGAAGTTGAGGAATGTCACATATGGCCGGAAAATGACCCTGAACTATCAGGCGACTCATTCCTTGCTGTTTCTCTTTTCATTGTCTCAATGGGCAATAAGAAGAATGCTAAAAGAAGGCAGTCTGGAAGCCGCAAGAACAAAAAATCAACTCAGGAAATAGAAGAGGATCAACTGAGCAGTGATGAATCACTCACTCCCGATGCTCCCCTTCGACCACCTCGCCCCACTCCAAAACCTTACCACAGAGGCAGACCAGCTTACGATGCATGTCACAGCAATTTAGGTGCTGAGATTGATGATACCGCTGCCGCTAGACTGCTAATGTCTTTTTCCAGAGTCTCTCCATCCGAAAGTCAGGCAACACCAGCACGTACTCATCTGTATGGTGTCCGTCTATCAAATGAGCTTTCATCCACAAAGACAAGTTGCGCAGCCTGATATAAGTGTGAATATGTTAATTTGAACTGTGCTCGTTTGAATTCATCTTGTTCAATTGCAACACGAGTAATCTGTGATATACGGATAAATGACGAGAATGTCAATCGAGGACAAGATATCGTACCTTCTTGAGCTTGTATCCAGTTTGCCTAAGTGTCCTCCATATTGTTGTAATGCTAACCTGTGTACCTCGTCGCTCCTCTAACTGTTGCTTCAATTCATCAAGGTACATGTCCGGTGTGTGTGCAAGTAACCCGTGAATAAGCTGGTCCTTCCATTAGTATTGCTTCTATACACAAGCAAAAGAACAACATACCTTCATATCCTCGATGCTAATCTTCCGTTTTCTCCCTCGAAGGTCAGTGGTAAGAAGTAGAGTGCCTTGGATGCGTTTCCGGTGTTGAGACAGGATGCGTTGCAGTGTCCGACGTTTGCATGCTGATTTTGTAACAATCTCATCAAGAGACACACAATTGCGACGAAGGTTGATGATTGTGTGGCGAAGGTCTTTAGATAGAGGCTTTCCGCGAGTCATACTGCAGTGAGATGGGGTGTAACGTCAAGAAGGCAGCGCAAAGGATAGGACAAGCAGTAACAAACAGCTTCAAATTGATTTCGCTCTACCACATACTACAACTATGGGGCGTTCTAAGGATGCCTTACAGCTTGTCAAGGCACTAAAAATTACAGTCATTGGTGGAAAATTGAGCAAGATATCTTTGTTTTCATTTGGCACCATTTGATAGCTGAGATTTGTAAAATTATATATTTTGGAAGAAATAACCATGGGGCGCTCTGAGCGCATACTACAGCTTGTCAACGCACTAAATTTTACAGTAATCGGTCGAGGAACGAGTGAGATATCAATGTTTTCGTTCGATATCATTTTGAAGCCAAAAAGTAAAGCGTGTGACCGAGGCGCCAACTTTTGTGAAAACAGCAATAAGCAGACAGCTGTTCGTTTGTACGCAGCCAAACTCAAAGCAGCATTCTTGCCCTTAAGTTGATCCCAGGCATTCAGATTCCAGCCTACCCGCTCGGCGTACAGGTCCCATTCCAGACCCAAGGCCTTTTTCCATTTCGCGATCCTTTTTGTACTTTCTCTCAAAACGTCCAAAGAAATTCTACCACTCTCAACAGCCGCCCAGACGCGCTCGACAGCTGCTCTCTGCTTTTCAAATGTATGGCAGATCATTACTACGTCTGCTCCAGCCTCCAGAGCCAGCACAGCGCCCTCTTCAATTCCGGGTCCACCTTCCCATTCAACTCTTTTATCAGCCTTATCAACAGATCCGGATCCTTCATTTGCACCAATTCCTCCAGGGACGATTTCGCCTCTCTTTTCCTTTCTTAAATCCTCCTTGGTTCTGGATATGGCATCCATCTCGAGACAATCAGTCACCACAACACCGTCAAAGCCTAGCCCACTAGTTCTCTCGCGCAGGATCCCATTCGTAACAACAGCGCTCAAAGAAGCTGGTTCGTCAGCCTTTCCTGTGACAAGTGGCAGAGACATATGTCCTGTCATAACAGTGATCATGTCGCGTGCGTTATCGTCGAAGCCTAGTGCAGTGTTGGTGCCGGCTTTCCTCTTTTCCGTCAACCGCCTGAAGGGAACTAGCTCGATATCCTCTAATCCTGACCCGTCAGAATTGTGAGCCCACTCTTTGTATATCCGGGGTAGTCCAAGGTGAGAATCAACGCGAGTATCTCCGTGGCCAGGGAAGTGCTTGACGCTGGGTGCGACTCCTGCACTTGTCAGGCCCTTGCATGAAGAAAGAACGTGTTGCGCTACGCGTTCAGGGTCTATGAAGGTCACTTGAGGAGAAGGGGACACAAGGACAGGGGAATGCATACCATCACCAAAACTGCGTACGCCGATGACAGGGTTCTCTCGTTCACTATTCACGTCACCGACAGGTGCAAATGCCCAGTTGACGCCGAGCATGTTCAGTTCAGCACCTTGAGCAGCGTAGATGGCCTCCGTGAATTCCAAGGAGCTCTTTCGTACAATATCACCTGAAGTCAGGTCATCGATATCTGGAATTGAGGCCATGGCCATTGCACCAGGGCTGATGAATGCGATGCGGTCGGAATGATGAAGTGCGAACAATACAATGTGTGTGATATACTCACAAAAGTGTCGCGACACCGTTCGTGCTGAAAGCAGAGACTAAACCTGGCAGAGGATAATCGCGTGAGTAGAAGGGAAGAATGCGAGTCCACCAGATCCCGGAAACTGAAGTAGATCGTTTATTTACCTCCCTCTTGGTCTGTACCGATTCCTAGTCCGATACTTTGACCAGAAGCACGAGCATGCTGCTGTAGACCTGCAATATGCGATGCAATCTCTTCAGCTCGTCCGTGTTTTGAATCAACGGGAGGTTCTGACACCGTCTCCACTACATTTCTTTTCATGTAAATAACGTTTCCTGCCCAGTATCCTGGACCTGTGAGGGTCAGGATGTCCTTTCCTTTACCAGAGAAGGGTGTGGGCCCATGAAATCCGAAGATGAAATGCTATAACGAGCATGAGGAAGGGAATGAAGAGTAGAGGCAAGGCTGAAAGCGATCTCGGACCTGGCCGATTTCTTTCTTGATGTCATCCGTTAGTTTGAGGGTCATGCTAAGATGAGATGAACTGAGGATTGGATTGCGGTAGTAAGTCAAAATCGACAGGTAGCTTCGTTTGAAAATAAGAAAGGGTTCAGACAATGCCAATCACAGGAAGAAAGCGGGCAGTGAGCGCTTGAGCACGGGTACTGAGCAACCCATTCTAGTATTGGACAAGGGAAGATCATCAAGGTTCCAAATGTAGTACAGCTGACTGTAGTGCTACGGTCCGACGAACGTCGATGATCATAGGTGGCACGTGACTAGCCTGTGGGAAGAACTATACAGTTGAAAAGTGGAGTTTCGGCACCTGCCCACTCTCGTCTCCCCAAACCGCGTCTAGCGCTCCTCAAGACTCTTTCTAAATTCGTCGTCACCACCAAAACCTTAAGCAGCCATGGGTCGTATGCACGCTCCCGGAAAGGGTATCTGTGAGTAATTTATCGATATCGCATCTTTGATCTTTTCTGAGTTTCTATTGCAGCGTCTTCTGCTCTTCCTTACCGCCGCGCACCCCCTACCTGGTTGAAGACTACCCCAGAGGATGTTATTGACCACATTATCAAACTCGCCCGAAAGGGTCTTACCCCATCTCAGATCGGTGTTACCCTCCGTGACTCGCATGGTATCCCCCAAGTGCGATTTGTTACCGGAAACAAGATCCTACGTATCCTCAAAAGCAATGGTGCGTCTCCCCCTCTCCACAATGATGAGAGGTTTTCTTTGCTTCTATTTGGTGGCTTTGAAGAACTCATGCGTTGCTTTGTTTGATTTCCGAATTCTTTCGCTGCTCTTTTGCATGCTCCCTTTGAATTGGGATATACCTTTTTGTTAACGGGATAGGACTTGGCCCATCCATCCCTGAGGACCTTTGGCACCTCATCAAAAAGGCGGTTGCCGTCCGCAAGCACTTGGAGACCAACCGAAAGGACAAGGACTCCAAGTTCCGTCTTATTTTGATTGAGTCTAGAATTCATCGGTTAGTATTTGTGTGCATTCCTGCTTTAACCAACTTATAATTGTTTTTTCTCTCTTGTAGTCTCGCTCGTTACTACAAAACTAAGCAGCAGATTCCTCCGACGTTCAAATACGATTCGGCAACTGCATCTACCTTGATTGCTTGAGTGGGCGCAGTGGTCTCACATATGCCTTTTATACGAGAACTATGTATGTAATGTGGTATGCAATCGAATGATTATGTGCATGGTTGATCCTTCGAGAAAGGGTTCTTCATCTATTTTTTGACCCAAGAAGGTGTCGAGAGTGAATGTACGGTTACCTGCAGTATAATCTTGAGCCTGTTCAGCGTATTTCCAGCGTGAACGGCGAATTCGTGTACCTAGTTTGAATCGCCACCAACCGCAACTTCGCGAAGCAGCAGCAGCGTTTCGATCACGTGGCAAATTCATGCTACATTTGCTCCTATTAACTTCACTCCCACATGAAGCAACGACTGTAGGGCCACGCTTGTATGTGTTCTACACGTTATCAATGGGAGTACTAAACTTCAACAGCAGGATTGTTCATTGAACGTTAATCGACCCTTCAACCATCCTGAATAATCCTCGTGGGTGAAATCCAAATAAACTTTGGTTCATCCTAATCTTGTTCCTCAGCACCAGCATGTCCGATGCTCTACTCAATGCCTTCACTGATTCTTCCATGCAATCCTTGAGCAATTTTGAACTTACTCTTGGTTCATTGCCTTCAGACTTCTCTACACCTCCGCGACCTGGTCTCCGCGTCCCCTCTGCCACATCACAAACAACCGCACAATCTTCGGCAGCCGTAACTACACCTCCTCCAGCTACACTCTCCTTCCGACGGAAGGGAGAATCTTCCTTGTCGCGCAAGCTCACTGCAGAAAATGAAGTGGAAGGGAACTTAGAGACTCCATCTGCGGAGAAGAGTAGATGGGGCGATGCAGGACTTGACACTCCCTCCTCCGCACGTCCCCCGGCGTCACGGCATCGTAGTCGTCCGAGCATCAGCGGAAGTCAAAAGGGTGTACCACTGACGCTCCGTGATCAGGAGAAGGTACTTCCTCACAAAATCCTAATATTCAGGCCATTCTCATTATTGTCTGCAGCATATCGATAGCTTGAAGAAAGAAAACTTCGATATCAAGCTTCGAGTACACTTCTTGGAGGAACGTCTCGCTGAACTTGCACCGGAACAAATGGATGCAGCCCTCAAACAGAACATCACTCTCAAGATTGAAACCCACAATCGTGGCCGTGAGATTAAGAGGCTCAAGAAACTATTACTTGAATTGGAACGCGAATTGGAACGCTTACAGCGTAGTACCGGAAATCGAGGGGCGCGGGAGAGGGAACTGGAAGCGAAACTAGAGGAACGTGATAGAGAAATTCGAGAACTCAGGCGAAGACGAGCATCAATCGATGGGGGAGATGCAGCACTGCGAGAGGTAGAAGGAAGAAATACTGAGCTCGAAGAAGAGTTGGAAAATGTCAGAGGGTTGTTGGAAGACAACGTCATGGAGATTGAACGGCTACAGGATCTGGTAGAACGAAAAGGAAACACATCAAGTGCTGGGGATGCTCATCGGATAGACGAACTCGAATCTGACCTCGATCAACTGAAACAAACGATTACTGAACAAGCGCAGCTTCTGGATCAGAAGGAGGACGACAAAGTGGATTTGTTAGATGAGATCGAAGCTCTCAGACTCAATATCGAGAATCTCCAACAAAGACGAGAGGTTGAGTCAATAGAGCGAAGTGAAAGCCGGGCTCAGATGCTAGAGGAACGGGAGGAGCGAGAGGCTGTTGAGGACGATTTAAATGCATTGAAGGACCGGTTAGCTGCAGCATTGATCGAGCTACAGCAGAAGGAGGACGATATCGAGAGAAAGGACCAGATGCTGGAAGATATGACATCTCAACATCAACAGATCGTAGGGGAGGTGGAGGAGGAATGGCGCGGGGAAGTAGCTGAACACAAACAACAAGTCGAAGAGCTTCGTGACGTACGCTTTTTTTGTTTCAGGTAGTATGGGCATGGGTTTGACACTCGATATAGGTCCTTGCAGAAAGAGATACAGAGTGTAAAGAGCTCAGGATCACAGTAACTGAGCTAGAGGCCACTATGAATGACCTTCATGGCAAATTTGAGGCTACACTCGCTCATCTGGAACAGGAGGCCGATGATAAGGATGCTCAGATCGAGTCATTGAACGAGGCCATTGAGAAGCTCAGTGAACAGGTGTACATATTGGAGGACGAAAATGACAAGTTCAAAGAAGACCATGATAAGATGAAGGAAGAGGATGACGCTGAACGGGAGAGGTTAGAAACATTGGCTGCGGCTCTCAAGGAGGTAAGACTAGTAAGCCTAACTATGGACGGAGTCGTTAACATGTGCACTTTGCAGAAATTGACTAAGCTAAAAGCTGAACTCGATGAAATGACTGAGATGTACGAAACCTGTAGGCAGGATATACATGCCCATCACTCACGTCAGGAGGAGCTTGCCACTCATGTTGAAACTTTGGTCGACGAATTAGAGCGCGAGCGCGAAGCTCGGGAACGTGCGGAGTCCGATCTTGACGCTGCCGACAAGGAACACGACGCCAAAATACGTGCCGAGCGTAGAGCGTTGGAAGCAAAGGAGTCTGCTCTTCAGAGCACTCTAGATGATCTAGCCAGAACGCAATCCCTCCTCACTCAACGCGAAGCCGATCTGCAGGCGGTACAGACTGCTTTGCAGACGCTTGAGACCGAGTCGAAACGGGCAGGGGAAACGCATTCTACTGCCCAGTTTTCCCTTCAGCTCGAGGTTGATCGGTTGAAGAGAGATTTGGAGCGTTTAGAAGCCGAGCTATCCCGTGCACGCGCTGATTTGAACGACAAGGACCACAAGGGGCGGGACCGTGATGGGGCCTTTGACAAGCTACACGCGGAGAATAGGGACCTCGCTAGCCAGCTCGCAGCACAAACACAGGCTCGCCTGAATATTTCTGAAAAGCTTGACAACGCTCAGGCAAGTCTCAAAACAGCGGAATCAGACATTGCGTCCTTCAAGACCCGTGTGTCAGAGCTGGAAATGCGATTGTCGAAGGATCAGCGGTCGCTATTGTCTGCTGAAAGCCAATATAGAGATCAGTTGACCGAACGAAACACACTTTTGCTCACAATTTATCAGTATATGGACAAGATCCTCGGTGTTGACAAAACGCCTGTGAGTACATTTGCTCGGTAATATTGGCTATATTCTTACTGTTTCACAATTTGTAGAAGAAGAGTGGTCAGGCGGAAACAAAGCCGTTTACAAACTTCGGCGTCTTCCACGATAATCTCATCACACGCTTAAAGGCTCTCAGCCAAATCCAAATGGATTTTGACAAGAGATGCAAGGATATCGAAGGCCGTTTCACCGAAAAAATGGCCGACATGAGGAAACAATTGGATAATCGTTGGAAGCAAATTGACAAATTCGAGGCTGGCGTGAAGGCATTCGCAGAGACCAAGACAACCTGGAGACGTAAATATAACGCGAAAGAAGGTGAAGTCGAGGCTCTCAAGGTACATATGTTAATTTCGGAGCTTCATCCCCTGACTCACCTCCTGCTACTAGACTACCAACGCCGAATTATCTGCACAATTATCCAGTACCAAACGTCCTGGTCAAACGGACTCGATGGAGATTCGCTCACTTTCGGCTCGAGCAGCTACCGCTGAACGACGACTAAACAACGCCCAGAATCAGCTGCTTGCAACTGAGGAGAAGGTTGCTTCGATGTCGCAGAAAACTGCAGCCGCAGATTCAAAATGGGAGGCAAGAGTGAAAGAATATGAGGCGAGGCTAAAGTCTGCGGAAGAACGTGTCAAGCGAGAGAGACAAAAAAGTAAAGAAAGAGTTAATGAGCTGGAGAATCAGCTGAAGTCAGAGTCTTTTGTTTTACGCACATCTGATTTTCGTTACTCATGTCGTTCTCTTCTCTTTTTAGATCTTTACAGCGACAGCTTGAACTTGCTCAAAAGCGAAGCCAACAGCTTACCGGCGTTATCGACTCGAACAAAACCGGGTCAGGTTCAGCAAATAGTAGTCCTTCCTCCAGATAATTTCTTCATGCCCCGAATTTCGGCTTAGTCGAGCTGTCACCGACGCCTTTTTGCTTTGTTTTCATCTCGACTCTCTTTCGATTCACCTTTTCACATGGTTGTCATTTCTTCACACCTCGCTGCTTCTTGTATATCCCACTAATTCTGCTTTGGTCGTCCCCTACTGCACATAATTTTATGATCCTCATTCTGCTGTGTTCATCTGCATAATCCTCATCCTGCACTAATACATTGTTTTCTTTCCTCAACTGTCCCAAGAATCAGACAATCACACTTGCGTTTGTGCTGGTTCATCTCATTTTTTCCTATACTAATTCCTCGCGGTGACTCATTTAAAACTTCTTATTAGCTCATCTTAGGTCATATCTGAATTTGAAGGAAGAAACGCTCCATCATCTCGCTCCCTTCGGGCAACCCAGGGGCAACCTATCAAATTATAAGGCGTGTCCAGCAGGATGGAGTGGTCATTATGTAAAAGAGAAAAAATCAATACCGCTCTCGAAATCATTGCTAATTTCGACTTCAGTGAGAACGCTTGTAAGTCACCTCGAGGTATGTATGTATCTGGAATTCTTAGTGATATTGGGCCACCCAGTCACTAGGTTGGTACGGCGTATACATAGCCTGAACGCCTCAGATAAAAAAATAATTGAAAACTGGTCGAGTGCGGACGCGGAATCTAGCTGTTCCTCGATGGGACCGCGCTGGTTACACTACCTACCCATTGATAATTTCGACGTTTTATTTCGTTTCCCCCCCTTTGACTGAAGCCGCGCGCAGAGAAGAGCTCTTCCAATAGAACTAGACTGAAAACTGCAGCGCTGTAACGCAAGAAAATGATTCTTCACTGCCACCGAGTTTATGTCCTCATAGTATAAGGCTATTTCCCGAAATTTCAGATGGAGTCAGCACAAAGTGTATAAAGATTGGAGGATAATTGTTATTACTATTGATATGCCAAAAGACAGGCTTGTTGGGCCTCTACAGTGGGATACCATACATGTTAAAGAAAGAAGTGAAGCTCCCGGATTGACGTACATGATTCATAGTCGCGGTGGAAACGATTTCGGGCCGAAGTTCAAAGGCTTAAAGTTTCTCAGTCTCCCACACACCATAACGGTAACATCAGATGGACAGCCAAAGAACCGATGAAGTTTCGAGTCTATTCAATTCTTTCCCGTCTTCTGGCCGAACACCAAGGTTTAAACCTGGTGCACAAGAAGAACCCCTCGACGACCACGCGTCGTTTTCCAGTGAAAGTGACAACGAAGCTGTAACCGTTTACCACGCGCCTACCACTGATAACAGCAGCTGGAACTTTGGACTTGAGGAAGAAGACCTGGAAGAAATGAGAAGATTGCGTAGTGAATCTGCAGCTCAAAGGCAAAAGGCAGCAGCAGCAGAGAAACAGGCCCGAAATACCAAGACTGATTCCTCGGCTAAAAGTAGAGGTAAGCCTGGTAAGGCAAAGGCTGTAGTGGAATCCGAGGACGAAGAGGATGAAGAAATGTCGGTCTCTGAAGAGGAAGAAGCTGACGCTGATGCCGACGGCGATGAAGAAGAAGACGTCGATGTGGAGGGCGAGGTATTGTTAATAATTTGCTCTACAACCCTTTATTAATTGCCAGATGTCATACTCAGCTTTCTGAAGGTGATACGATACGGACGCTGGTATCCTAATCGCTTGAAATTTCTCACATTCTGAAATAGATGAAATAAAATCCGTTCCAGTTGCGGAAGTTGACTCTGACGGCGAGGATGATGATGTGCCCCGGTCTCCACTCAAACCTCGACTAAAGATCAAGCTTAAGCTACCTATAGTTCCTGCTAGCTCAACGTCCAATACCGCTACTCCCGTTCCTGAGGAACAGAAAGTGACACCTAGCCGTAGAGCAGTAGCCAAGCGGAGTGCAGCCGTTAGAGGTAGACGCAGGATCCAAGGTATATTCCTCCTTATTGTCATCGATACACATCTCGTCTCAGTAATATAGCAGATATGGAATCCTCTTCTTCTGAAATTGAATCCGAGGACGGTGAATCTGAACTAGTGGAAGACGAAGAGGATGAAGAGGACGATGACATGCAAGTTAGCGTGGACAACTCTTCTGTCACTGCCCACACTCTTCAAGGACGTTCAAAATCGCGCTCAATGACTACGCGACAAGCTGTTTTGGCTAGCGTCATGGATTCTTCCCATATTGCGCTCGGTAAGAATTTTTCACTCTTGATTCTGAACTGCGAATCATGCCCAAGTCCAGACTCAGATCTAGCGGCTCAGTCTGTTCAAGGAAATACAAGCAAGAAGAAGAAAGTCTTGAATGAGACCGAACTCGCTCTCCGCAGAGAAGAGAATGCGAGAAAGCGAAAGAATCTTTCAGAGAAGAGACTCGAGGATGAGAAGGTATCTATTTGTCTCTCGTTATTTTGGACGTTGAGTAGATATAATGTCCCCCACAGCTCGAGACAATCAATCGTCTTCTCAAGAAACAAAGCCGTCCACGAACTAAACGCGCTGGAGGTCCGTCTCAAGCCCACTCCGCGGGTTCATCCGTACCACCTGCTCCGGTGATAAGCTCGTCGACGGGTAATCGGGGAGGTAAACGAGGCGGAGCTCGCGGTGGTGCCCGTGGTAGAGGTGGTCGTCGAGGACGTCCCCGTGCAGTCGTCGATGAAGAGGGTGGAGAGGCAGAGGTTGACGCGGAAGGTGATGCTATGGAGGTTGATGGGCAGGAAGGGGAGGGTGAGGAGGGCGTTGAGGGCGGAAATGAAGTCGAAGGAGAGGTAGGAGATGCGCCGGATGGAAGCATAGGGGGGATTGATCGTTCTAAAGGAATGCAGGCTCCAATGATACCGATGTTCAGATGGGTTTCCACAACCGTCCTTGTACCCACAGAAATCTCTACGACCGTTGCAAAGCCCCTTTCACAGGACCAACCTATCGGGGAAAAAACTGAGGGAGATACGGGAGATACAAAAATGGCAGATGCAGGCAATGTGCTAGCTCAACAACAACCGTCGGTAGAGCCGGATAAAACTACCCTTTCTCCATCGCCTAATGACGTTGCACTTGCCCCCGTGTCTGTCGTAGAAAGCCCATCCCAAGAAAGGCGTGTGCAGTTCTCTTTAGCTATCCCAGCTGCATTCCTTCCTCCAGAAAATTCAGCTCCTCTCCCTTTGACCGAAATACGACCGCCTGCAATCTGCGCTGTTTCTGGATGTGGAGATCCACGAAAATATCGTCTGGTGAAGGACTGGAAGATCGGTGCGTGCGGGATGGCTCATTTAAAGGTGCTGGAGGGTATGTCGTGATACTAGCATTCGTAGATTTGGACTTTGTACATATATATATTGTGTGAAAATAAGAAAGGGTAATCTGTGAAGGATATAATCACTCAGTCGAAACAGACTAAAGTTCTGGATTCATTGCTGGATTAATTTTAATCACGACGGTTCCGAAACTTGACTCCGCTTCACCGTTCAACGTTCAACATTCAACTCTTCAGTTGGAACTGAGACTATCTTTCCATAAGTATGTATACTATCCTAAACAGTTTCATGATGAACCAATGGATGCAATAATGAATGTATGCACTCTACAAGTGAAGACAAGCAATAAATAATTCGTTTTAAGTACATGTCGAAATAACGTTGGGCGCCGCGCTCGTTTCCACAACAATCCATCCATTCATATCCATCCTTGGACCAGGACCTCGATTGGAGAATCGGTACAAGGCTATGAGTACATACACACGGATAAGAAGACAATGCAATTCACGATCGGATCGCTCAATGAACACCTCCAATCTCCATCGACTTTTCCATCTGATTCTCCAGCTCCATCTTCTTTATCCTCTGCTGCGTCCGCTCTGCAGCAGCATCATACACAAAATGCACCGGTGGGTGATGCAAATTGTGCAAAAGCCCGTTATTCCTCGACCGTGGTCGACCGTTAGGATAGTAGGCCGACTCGGAATCGTCGGAATCCGAGTTATACCCTCCTTCGCCTGAAGGTATAGGTATGTCACCGTCTGAGGCATAAGGGTTATAAGGATCAGACAAGCCCAAGTCTCGGGGTTGGTCGTAGTAAATGTCGTCTGGGTTGAACGAATCTATTCAACAAACATTAGATACGAGACCACCACCACACAAAACAATAGCAAAGACTCACTCTCTGTAGCGTCATTAACTTCTACGCGTCTCTTTCCAAGCGCTTTAGCACTAGGCTTGATTGGGGTTAGAACTTCTTCGTCGCTACTATCATCCACTGGGATTCTCCCGGCCCAAGCAGCTCTGCCTTTATCAACATGCAAGCTATTGAATCCATCCACTAGATCTCTGTCACGAACCACATCTAGTGCAGAGCCTCCGACGCTTTCCCCAGTCCCTGTACCTGAGCTGGAATGGTCCATACTAGGTGTATTTGGACTCGGGGTCCTCGACGGGGGAAAGCCAGACGATCCTGTCCTCGTATGTCCATGTCCATGCCCAGATGCAGGACTCCTTGGGCCATGAGGAGGAGCGCGCGGAGGCGCGAGGGTCGTTCCAGGAACTTCGGGACTGTGACTGGAAAAAGAATTCTGAGCAGGAAGATGATGCTGTAGTTGTTGTTGAGCTGGGTGTGTAAGCAGGGAGTGTGGATGTTGAGGAAGAGGATGCTGCATGACCATAGACGAAGGACGCGAACCGCGATAGGAGGCAGGTGAAGGTGAACGAGAGCTTGTTAAATGGACAGTACTTCCACCAGCACCAGCACCTGAGATAGCTGCGGTTTCTTCCAGCTGCTGTTGCTGTTCAAGCGTTGCAATGGCCTAGTCAAGAGAGATCAGGTTGAGATAGACATCAGTTGAAGAATAGAACCGACCCTTCGATCCATTCTAACTTCTTTTCGACTCTTTTCCTCAGCCTTCCTCTCCATCGCAACCCTTTCTACATCATCGTACTGCCCCAGTGCCGCAAGTAGTTCTCCATTAGCTTCGAGCAATGCAGCAAGAAGCTGCTCTTCGGTAGTCTGTTCGTCTATAGGGAAGTCTGTTGCTGGGATACCAGCTGCGTCTGCGAGCTGAGAAATCGACCGGTCTCGATTTCTGTCCCTGGATCTCCGACTCGAATCGTTGTTTTCTCCGTAGAGTAGCGCCTTTTCCCGCTCCTTCTCCTTTCTCGAGCGCTCTGCGCCTGCAGTTGCCCAAGGAATCTGTGCAGCGATGAGTTCCTGGGATGAAAGACACTTCAGACGGAATTCCTGTAAAAGACAATGACATCAATAAATGACTTCGATTGGCATGACAGAAGGACACATACTTTGATAACTTCTCCTTTCTTGAGTTCTTCAACCTTCGCGTGAACACATGCTTGACTCAACAGACTCGCATTCCCAAGACCAATCTTACATTCCTGGAATAAACGTCGAATGTCTTCTTCCAAAGGGATGATACGGTTTTTTGAAGATTTTTTCTCTTTGTGTTCCCGATCTTTATGACGATGCTCTCGATCCCGGTCCTTGTCACGCTCACGGTGCTCACGGTGCTCACGGTGTTCGCGGTGTTCGCGATCTTTGTGTCGTCCTTCACGGTCTCTATCGCTTCGCTCCTTTTTGGGTTCTGTAGTAGGTTTGTCGTTTGTCGACTCGTACTGTACCGCAGCAGAAGGTGGAGTGTTTTCATAGTAAGAGCCACGTCCATTGCCACTGACAGCAGGAGGATTGAACATCGCATCATCATTCTCGAAAGGGAAACCCTGCGCACCATGAGCAGCCATCAGATATTTTTCATTAGTCTGCTCACCTCATCAGGTTTATCTGCAGGCTTAACCTTTTTCCACAAACCTCGGAAGCCTGCATCCTTTTCTGTGTGCGACAAATCAAAAGATGGGACATTTGATTCAGCATCAATAGAGGTAGGATCAGTCGTTGTCGTCGTAGACCGAGAAGATGTTGTCGTGGAAGACGTGGTGGAGTGTTCATGTTCATGAGCCACATCAGTATAGTTAATTGAATCATCGAAACCAATATTAATGATAGGTAGAACGTCGGGAGGTTCCATACATCGATAAGGACGGGGAGAATCATGCATTGAAGAAGAATAAGTCATCGTATGTTTTCGCCATGACACAACATGGGACGCAGAGGATGCGGTTGTCGAATTATGAATAAATTTAGCATCCAAATCAGCAGAGTCGAGATTTGCGATTGTTTTTGTCCGATTCAAACCCAGAATGGACCGCAAGGCGGATCGAAAAGATGGGTGTTTTGCATGCGACCGATTTAGTTTGGGGATTGGGGAAATTAGGGGTGGTGGCAAATCAAACGGTGGGGCAGATGTCGTTACAGTTGCATTGTGTTTTGATGAAAAGGATTTCGATTTTCGAAGAGGCATGAGTTAAGATGAGAGAATGGTGGAGTGAAAGGATTGGGGAGAAACGAAGAAAAGATTGTCAGCGTCTGAGATCTTTGTCCACTACGGAGCATGGAAGAATGATAAAAAGCTTTGCTTGCTGGTGGAGAGAAAAGAGACGGAAGCAAATGATGAAAAAGCGGGGCTGCCCACGGGGCGTACTATAGCCTATGGAAGTACAGAATGAAAAGTGGAATGACACATATCACTCTGACTCAATCTTGGTCGCGAGGCAAAGACATCAAGGGTAATCCTTTAACGACGCCAGAGCAGTTCAGAATTGAGCGTTCCGAGCAAAGTGAAACACTGCCAGATTCATATAAACTCCAATGACGAGGCACAAATGCTCCATCGTGTCCGTCGGGGCGCGATATCGACCCTGCCGCGTAATCGTTTGTATCACGGAAGACACACACCGCCCAAGATTCTTTGATAGCTCAAATGCACCGCTCGCGGTTGTACGGTGAAGGCAAGCAGAGTGGAAGGACAAAGAAGGGGAGACGTGAATGAGTACTCACTGGAACTACTAGCGTACGCTGCAGCAGCTAAAACATCCATCACTCGTTCTCGGACGACTGGTGATGTACCTTTACCCGAACCTGAGCACAAGAGTGCAGGCAGACCGATGAGATAAAGCTCAGAGAGATCGACAATGACGAAGACTGACTGAAAGGTCCTCCGCCGGTATTTGTTACCAAATCCTCCAAGGTGTCGAGAAACTTGCGTGTCGTGCATTGCGCGATGAATACATCTGAAGAATTTCTTAGCATTATCGCCAGAAGTCGAGCTGCTGAGAGTTGAGCAGCAGGAGGACCGTATCTAAAGGGAGGTGAAGTATTAGAGATCTGATATCATCGTCAGCGAATGGATACACGCACTTGAATTCCCTCCTCAGTGCTTTGACTGCCTCTTTGGCATTTGCCTCATTGGATGAAGCTCGGTCGCAAACTTCCAGGACAAGAGCCCAATCTTCTGAGGCTGTAGCTGTCAGGTAGCCTGCCCGATTTGAGGATAAGATATTGAGAGCATATATGAAAGTAAATGAAATCTCCAACCTATCATTCGAGTCAATTCCGCACTTTCCCGATCTCTGTCCACAGTTCTTTCTTCTTTTCGTAATGGTTCCCGATCCTTCCTATCTTCGCGGTCAACAAACTGCCAATGCCGTTCTTTTTCTTCTCTAATCTCCTTCTCTTGGGGTCTAGCCTCTTGCTCTCTAGCAGACAGCACAGTCTTTTCCTCTCTCCGCCGATCCTTGTCCTTCACATCGTCCACATGAGAATTGTTCCGGCTAAACAATGACCATTTAAGTGACTTGTCTTTGTGCTGAGGATCATCTGAATTATTATGTTGCATGTATGATGAGGGCGTATCTCGGCCAGAGGGAGGTATATGATGGAGATCGGAGGAAGATGGATTATACTGATGATTGTGCTGAGGAGCAGGAGGCAAATGAGGTATAGGCCCTGTAGGCTCTAGAGCTTTCAGTATACCGTGGACACCTGGAGCCTGTTTGGGAGTTGGAACAGAACCACCGGGGTTGTCTCTCGGGGGCTGTTTCTTCCGTATGGTGGCTGAATTATTGGCAGGAGGTATTGACGGAGATGAGGGGTTGTTGCTGTTGGGAGGCGAAGCACCCGGTGGAAGATGGCCAGCCGGTAAAGCACCTTGAATTGATCCAACAGAGGAAGTACGGGACACCGGGATGGGCGGAGGCGGTTCATATGCCAAATCCTCTAACGACTGGTCTGGATCGAAGACAGAACTTGGTCTTGAAGGGAGAAAGCCGCTGTGGATGTTTCGGAAATTCCCAGGCTGCGCTGGTTGTTGCTGGTAGACAGCATGGGCAGAGTGTATGGGTGTCTGCAAGCCAGGTGTGTTAGGTGGCGTAGCGTCGTCAGTGTAATTGATCCCCTTAGTTTTTGATTTCGAAGATGTGCCAAAGAACTTTTTCATGGATGTGTGGGCTGAATGATATAGGCTTTTAAAGAGGACGAGACGCGAATAGATTAGGGAGATGAAACTTGGTCAAGGCTGTGTGCGCTCACTACCACGATTAACTGGGCACGTGGAAAAGGCGCTTACCCCGAGCCTATGTATATGCTACCACCACTTTACTTAAGGTCATTTGGGATCTTATGCCTTAGGTTTACTATGTATTAAGAGGTAAGAATCTTTTTTATTTGAACATGCAGACACATTTGAAAGTGAAGAAATTGACAATCTAGCCATGGGGCGTTCACTTTAGATGATACATGAGTTTCGATCCAGCTAGCAGGTTGAGAGAGAAAGTGCGTTCTGGCAATCAAAGGAGGGGTGAGGGTCTCACAGAAATTGATACGTCCTCGGTATGAAGCATTTGATAGATAATTTAACACCAGTGGACTAGCAGAGAACACCATCAAAGCTCCTCCCTCACGTCGAATGACACATCAGATAGCCTTGCCGCTTCTCCATAGCGGAGCATCCCCACGTAGGGCATCAGGTTGTACTTCAATGCGTAGGAGGCAGTACCGGCGGCACTAACGAGGGAAAAAGTTTGAACGAAAGCAAAACGGAGAATCCAAAAGTTGCACACCCTTTACTAAAGCCCTTTCCTCCGATTTCTTTGAACGCGTATTTATTTTTTGCCCCGACGACGTTCACGCGAGCATCTTCCGGGCGACGGACGATACGGTCCCACAGTACGATAGTGTTGTTGACCTATTAGATTAACATCAAGAGATATGTAAGGAGCAAGAGTAGCATCGACCTGACCCCTTGAGCGTTCTCGTACTCTGCCTCCAATGAGAGGAAGAGTTGCTTCGTATTCCACGTAAACAACGGTGTAAGATCTGTCACCAATCACGTTTTTGAGAAATTGTTCATGTAGAATTCTTGAATGTGCGCACCTGCAGTCATGTTAAAATTAAGGAAGCCCATTTCCTGTTTGCGTCTTTGCCGAGGTGTTTTAGCATTGAACACCTTCACGGGCTTCATACTGATTTGACCATTGATTTGCGGTGGATATATCGCCTCTTGAAGCAATGAGGCTATGGTGATCGCTGCCAGGAGCGCCATGGTACATGACGAGAGGAGAGCAGAGACGTTATTTATACGGGTGAAGAAGGAGTGCATCGCGCCAAACGGTACCAGGAAGAGCCAGTAACTTTGAAACGTTGCAAACTTGCATTACATTTTACAATCTCAAAAAGCGATCACCTGATCAGCGCTTAACCGTTATTCCACGTCCCCAGTCGGGCCTCATGGAAAAGTCGACTCTAGTCGACTGCAGCCGTCTGCAGACAGTTTTCTTCTAGGCCTAAAGCAATCCCCTCTATGAACTCCACCAGGCTATTTTTCTTCCTTCTGTATGCCAATAAATCAAATCCTGACTCCAGGTAGCTCCAGATCAAGACTCATGTCCAGTTTCAAAAAATTTCAAAGGCCCCCAAAACTGGGATTGCAATCAAGCACAGATAAAAAATACACATGCATGATGCTAGACCAGTTGTATGGCGAACCAGTCAACCCAAATCTCATGATTCCTCATTTGTTCCTCCTTTGTACCCGTATAGTTTTCGCAGAAACATGAGAGAGATTATCCATCGTTAAATATGTAGTAGTAATTGGAGAATGCTAGTACCGATTTCCACCCAATACAAATCATCATTCCGACCTTGTGTAGTTACAAACCCCATTCGGCACCAGAAATAAAAACGACTCGTCGCAGTGTCGGACATTGCCTGATCCACATCCTCACATGTTTTTTCTCGCTGTCGGTGAGAACCATCGTCGGCGTATCGGGAACTGGAGTTCGCGGACTGGAAGGCCCGCTATTTTCTGATCCGTTTCCATTGCTGTTGCCGTGGTTCCAGTCCACGCCTCGTATGGAGCTCGACACGGAAAGAGCGGAGGTAGTCATAGATGATACCCTTCGGGTTTCCCAACGTTGCGTGGGTAAGTCATCATCCCAGCGGTCTGTTGTCGAGACCGCTGTTCGAGGTTGTGTTTGAACAAATTGAGAGCAGCGGGGAGTAGAGGGTGTAGAAGGCATCCTTGGAGTGGTGGGTGTATTGGGTATCGTAGACATTGTGACTGGTATATCTGTGGAAGGCGGAATAGGTGTGATAATAGTAGGTGTGGCGATAGTAGGTGTGCGAGGTGATATGGGTGATACGGGTATAGGTATAGGAAGTGTCGCAGACCTCCCACTCGGGGTGAGTTGTGTAGTGATTCTAGGAAGTGGTGGGAGAGGATCAGTGTCCGCTCTCTTCCCGCGCTTTTTGAGACTGGGCAGACGACCAAGAAAGTTCTTCGATTTCGCCGTAGAAGGCGTAGGCGAAGAAGGGAGTGTTGGTGATTCTGATGTCCGATTTGGAGTGGAATAGAATGATATAGCAGATTTAGGAGACCCCAGAGCTGTCTCTGTCCCATTGTTTGTTGGAGTAGAAGTCCGAGGGATAGGTATGAGTGATGAAGGAGGATTCGGAAACATTGTCAATGAGACTATTGATCCAGCGGAAGGTGCAGTCCCACCGGAAGCTAGAGATATTTGGCTACTACTGGCATAACTATGTCGCTGATTGACACGATAATGTTCAGAGTCCACGCTGTTCTCATTTGTATCGGTTGGGGAAAGTAAAGCATCGGTTTCATCTGACTTGACATCTTCTAAGGTCTGATCAGCATCAGGTTGTCCATTTACTTGCACAGCAGGAAGTGGGTTCGATAGTGGGCGCAATGACTCCTCTACAGTCTACACGGATGGATTAGTAAATCAACTGTGAAAGAAGTTGAACATTTCTTACAGTAGCAGACACTTGCGGTTCTGAAGATGCTAATTCATCAGACGGTAATGGGCTGGATAAACGCATCACAAGCGTATACAGAGCTCGATATCTCGGAAGTATAGAATGAATGGTCTTGTATAACATCTGCCCAGGTCTTCAGTGAAATGAGGTACAAGACTTATGAATCCAACTGACCTCTTCCGTCCTAGGTCCATTCCAAGGAATCGCTATCTCGAGGCTCTGCAAGCCGGGAGGATGGTAATCCTCCTGTATATTCTGTGAGTTTGCACTGCTTTCCACATCTTTCTCTTCACGGACCCTCCCTCTTTCAACAGTCTTGGACGACGAAAAGCCTCCCAAAGCGGCGCCCGCTGCACTGAGGACTTTCTCAACGGTCCTCCGATCTACGTTTCTCCCGAAATTTAAGTAAAGCTCCTCGAGACCGCCGTCAACTTCTGATATTTCCTCGTCCTCAGATTCGTCAGACGATGCAGGTTGTCCTTGGGAAGCTTTTAGAAACCCGACCAGTTCCGCAGGACGCAAGCCACCTACGAGAGTGTCGTTGATGTTTATACCGACTTTTCTCAAAGTGCGTGCTCGTGAAGGGGCAAGAAGCTGAAGAATGGAGGGTGGGGCACGCACAATTCCAAGATGGGGGAGAAGGGTCGATGATGTGCATAGTGTGATCAATTCTGATGACAAGTTGCTGTTGGAAAGGGACATAAGGCCCGGCGACGGGGGTAACGGAATTTGAAAGGGTGTTGGGGTTGCGAGTGTAGGAGAAGGTTGAGCGGAGACTAGTAGAGAGTTACGCGGTGAGGGGGGCGAAGAGAAATGATTGTTGAGATGACTGGGTGAAGACGTAGAGAGAAAGACCGGTGAATGGGATACCTCGCGTTCGAGTGTTCCATCATGGTCCAAATCCGCAGCGGGAGGACTATCGAACAGCCTGGGTAAGCTTAATGTTGTGATGTTGACCTGGCCATCAAGCCAGGTTAATAATTCTACCTTTTCCGTCGAGGTGAAGTCCGTGTTGAGGAAAGTGACAGAACGAAGGCCGAACGCAGTATGATGTTGCATGAGGTCAAGGGAAAAGGATGGAAGAGTGAGAGTGGTGAGGTGTGTCATGTGAGCCAAAATAAGAGCTGAAGGAAAGCTAGGGTGATATAATGATGGACGATCGTCACATATCAGTTCTCGGGTTATCTCTGTTAAATCCTGCCTCTTGGTCAACAAGATGTCCAGCTCGTCTTGCCGAGAAGAGGAGATGTTCCTGAGATCGAGCGTCTCATATATGACCAGCTGTGCTGCCTGAGAAAAGTTTTTGGAAAGTGGCGCGAGGCCTAGAAGTAGTCTTCGCGGTAATAGCTTGAAGACATGGGCTATAATTTCAACCGGAAGCTCCCTCAAGCCGAGACGCGGGGGAGGCTTCCTTCTTATACTGAGAGTGAACGGCGGAGGTGTCGCTGGGATGAAGGAACCAAGATTTGGTACGGAACTTGCCCTCGTCGGTCCTGCCCAAATAGCCGAAACTATCGTTGCCTTCGTAGCTGTTTGAAATTTCGGGCCCTCGATGAGCTCGGCCTCCTCCTCGAGTAAAGATTGCGATAAAGAATGCAGGGAATGAGCATAACTTTCGGAATGAAGAGATGAATTTTTGGAATGTAATGAGGAGTGTATGGAATGAGATATGGAACGACGTTTCATCGACGAGGCGGAGTGTGCTTGTTGCGAGGGCTGAGCAGAGAGCAGAGACTGTAGAGATTGTATTGAGAACCGTCGTAGTCTTTTCTGCTGCTCTGGGACCTGTTTTTTCGGCGTGGAAAAAGTTGGATGCTCTTCGTCTTCTTCACGAACGGCAGAATAAATGGACGGGGCAGGTGGACCAAGGTCATTAGGTTGGCGAATTTCCTCTAAATCCTCCAAATCTGATTCTGAAGAAGCTCTGAAAGAGCGGACCGAATCGCGACGTGACTTCGAAGACTTGTCTTTCTTCCGACTCTGTTTGCTCAAGTTCGATGCTTCATGCCCAATACCGAAGACGGATGAGGTGTCTTGTGACGATTTCTTTTTTGGAGTGAACATAGTGGAGACTCGTTTCATGATAGAATTGGAGTGGAATTGGCCGCGCTGGGAACTGTAGAGACTGTTATTCGAATTGCCAGTGCTGGAAGGAATTCCGAGGCTGGCGCTGGAGCTGGCAGGATGGCCGGAATTCGAGCTGGACGTAGTCATTACCGTCGTCCGACGGTTGAGAAAAGCCATCCGGGCTTTCGGATTATAAGCGAGCACAGCAACCTGATCTGCAATTGGGGTCAATATCCGTCTGTTGTTAAAATTTGAATGACCTACATCCAAAGGAATGACGACCAGCAACAGCTGGGTACTCGGGAGAGAGATAATGAGGACGGGAAGAAGTATGTATGTGGTATTGTACGCGGTCATATTATGTTATAAGCGAAATCGCTGTTATGGGTTGCTACCTTCTGTTCCGTTTCTCAGCCTATGTATTTATCATTTGAATACCCGAGTATTGGCCGGTGATAGACTTCAGACCGTTTCAATGAACATATCTCAAAGCTCGCTGAGCTGTATGCATGTACTCATCCAAGCATGCGACATTGTCATTGAAGTCAAAGCGTATGTGGTTTTCAAATGTACAAAATTCGAAAGAACAAAGATACTGAAATAACATACTATAACTATGAAAACGTCGTCGATGAGTCTGGTGTTGATGAATGAACATTGAGCAAAGAATCTAGCTAAAGGACAATGAATTCCGAGTACTCGAACGTTCCATAAGTCAAGGAACTTACCTGATCGACAATTTCCGATTTCCCAGCTACAGAGGTATCGGAATCGCGATACGACTAGGGTCACGCACTGACATGTCAGCTATGAAAAAGGGAAAGAGTATCTCACAACAGCACACGCACTTGCACATCTTGAATACTGGATATTCCGGCTCCTCCTTCTGCACCAGCGGCAATATGACCACTCGGTCCAGCATTCTTCCGAGGTCCTCCAGCTCCACTCCTCTGTAAATCTCGGGGAACAATATCAATAAGAAAATCAAACTGGTCAGACTTGCTCAATGCTGCAGCAATATCTGAGCGCGAAAGTGTTCGTCGTTTGTTGGAATCCGCGATAATGAACGCGCGCGCAGTAATTTCTTCGATGAATACTACTGTTTATGAGGACTTAAAGGGTATAATTTATAAGAACACCGCTCACTCTCACAAGCCTTGCAGAACAAGATCGGGGCTATCAGAGCAAGAAATTTATTTGCGCAACACGCGATTAAGTGCGGGACATAAACCCGTACCATCAGCAGCAATCATCTAAGAAGGTGGTCAGCAGAGATAGAAAGGCTAGTTGGTCAGAAGGTCGTCCCAACCTTGACATCCGGATCACTCTTCATTACTTTCTTTATCCGCGCGAGAGGCAATATTGGATGCCTATAATCAGAGGTCTCTTGCTCAGCCGCATCAATTTGCCGTTGCCAGAAGGCAGGTAGAAATTCATTCAGATGTTCCCCAGAGCGGACATAAGGATGCTGCTGTGAAGGAGCCATGTAGGAATTTGGAGGTGAAAGTGCTCAATAACGTTAAGCGCCAATTCAATTTAGTCAATTTAGAGGTCTGTGACAAATCAATGATTGTCCTGTCACGGCCATTCTCGTGACTAGCCGTTTTCTAACCACGACGACCACCACAGTGCGACAATGTCCAAGGCAACTCTCGACTCTGACTTGTACGGCGGTTAGTGCAAAGCCACGACAATCTGGATACTACTCATCGATGTGCAGATATATACGGTGATGAAGACAACGACTTTGGTTTCATTGAACCTCCCCAAGAAGAGAGCGCGACAGAAACTCCTATAGATACCTCTGCGCCGAAAGCAGAAGCAAAGCCCTTACAGCCTTCTCAAAGCTCCCCAACTTCTACATCTAAAGGCGAAACGCACTCATCTTTACCCGCAAAACCAAGTGCCAGCTCCTCACAGAACGGCAACTCTTCCCTATCTTATTCGGCTCAAATTGCTCAACAGTTTTCAGCCTATCAGCAGACGCCGAGCCAGGAGCGCCAACAGCGCCAGCATCTGTCTTCACTACCAAAAACTTCACCTATAGCCACGATTGATTCAACAACCGGTGATCCGGATACGGTGTTTGGCAAGAAACCTTCCGAAATGCACGATGCCGGGTGAGTAGTATTTTCTCTGTGCTACGTGAAACGTCCTACACACACGAGTTATATGTCAACCGAGAGTACCTGCTGCAGCAGTTCTGCTACTTTATTGTTTCCCTTACGGACTGTATGATTGGCGACGAATTGCTGTTACTCTCTATGAACAGAAAGATCAGCTACATATGGCATCATGATAATACCTTCACTCTTTCCCAATTCATTCTCAATACTAATTTCGATATCAATCTCTTTCTGTCTGTCTTATTTCACATCTCATTCACTCGGCTTCATTACTCCACCCTGCTCTACGACTACGATTCGATGGTGCATCGCGCTTTCTTCAATCCCACACATCACTAGCAAACTCTTTATCGGCGGTCTCAATTGGGACACAACAGATGGTATATTGTTCTTTACATATCGTCCTACGATACATAGCGCTAATCCACATCTCGTCTTGTCCATTTCTTTTTCTTCGAGCAGAAGGTTTAAGAAATTACTTTTCACAGTTTGGCAAGGTAGCGCAGCTTTCTACATTTTGTTTGAGCGCCTAGGGCGCGCGTCTTTCTAAAACATCTCACCTTCATTTTCAAGGTTGATGCTTGTACTATCATGCGAGATCCATCAGGAACTTCGCGAGGGTTTGCTTTTTTGACTTTTGAGGATCCCAATGCAGTCGTTACTGTCACTGCTCGGGAACATTTTCTCGACGGTAAAGCTGTGAGTCTCCTTCGTCCTGTCGCGGCTTGTGGCTAACACGACGTGGCCTCAGATTGATCCTAAGCGTGCAATTCCCCGCGAAGAGCATCTGCGTAATACGCGGTACTTTGTTGGTGGTCTTGCTCCCTCTACAACGTCCGATTCTATGAAAGAATTTTTCACGACCTACGGAAAAGTAGTAGATGCGACTGTCATGTTAGATAGAGAGTCTGGACGTTCAAAAGGCTTCGGGTTTGTCACGTTCGAGGATGCAAATAATGCAGACCAGTTGGTTGGTAAGAACATTGTCCTTGATGAAAAGCAGGTGTGTTGTCTTGCCCTGTCAATTCTATGTCCATTACTAATAGTATTGTTCTTACCTGCAGATCGAAGTCAAAATGGCTCAACCTCGGAGTCAGCGCGACCAAAATCGCAGCAACACAGGCAACGCCAATGCCAATTCATCAGTCATCAACAATCCGATCAACAATTCTTTCGAGAATCGCATGTCCCAGACGAACATTCCATTTATACCTCAACAACAAAACCCCATGTCGAACATGATGTTTCAGCGGTCGATGGGTCAGATACCGATGATGGGGCCCGGAATACCCATGATGAACGTGAATCCCATGGGCATGATGGGTATGAATATGCAAAGCTTCAATCCTATGGCAAGCATGATGAGTGGAGGTGGTATGGGCACCAGTGGCGGTGCTGGTATGGGTGGTGTAGGCGGTATGAACATGATGGGTGGGATGAATGGTATGGGAGGGGTTGGTGGGATAAACGCTCTGAATGCTATGAACGCTATGGGGAACCCCGGTGCCATGCGGTTAGGAATGGGACCTATAGGCGCCACGGGCGGAATGAATCAATCCACGATGATGGGCGGTTCAGGAATGGGTGGTGTAGGTGGTATGATGCAGATGCGTCAAGGAGCCAACATGGGTGCCGGGATGGTCATGCCGTTCGGAAGGATGACAACTAACGCTGCAGGTCCCGGGCCAATGCGAATGCACAGCCGGGGTCAGCACAATTTCCATCCTTACGCACGTTGAAGAAATTTGCTTTTGCCCAGGTTATGCCACTGTATTTTGGACGTGAATATCATACTCAAGGACATTAATCACCTACAATATAGCCCGTTACTCATGGCTCCATTTTGAGATTTATATTGAGAAAAGTACCATACACCAAGATATATTATCGTATAACATATTACACTGTAGCTCTCTACATACCCGGACTCTAGTGATCGTCACACCAAGATCTGGCGCTCTGGAACAGTTTGAACCATGGACCGACACCATTCCACTGCTCCCTTAACGAACGAGGGTACCAACTGTTACTCTCAAGCATCGTCACTCGCTCGGGATGAGGCATTAACGCGAGCACACGCCCATCGGATGTTTGGATGCCTGTTATACCAGCCGGACTTCCGTTTGGATTCAAAGGATACGCCTCTGTTGGTCGACCATTAGAATCAACGAATTGAAGGCAGACTAGATTTTGATCCAAGAACGTTTGCTGGTGGGTTGAATCACTGAAAGATACTCTACCCTCACCATGGGCATTAGCCACAGGAAGTTTAGAACCCAACATTTCGCGAAGGAATACAGAGGACCTGGTGTGTACAGTGTCTACGACCTCAACCATGGACACCCGTCCTTCGAACCTTTCACTACGATTGGACTTGAAATCGGGCCAATCTTGTGCACCAGGTATAATACTCCGAAGATGGCTGAGAAACTGGCATCCATTGCAGACAGCGAGTGTGAAGGTATCGACTCGGGTGAAGAAATCAATGAACTCTTTTCGAGCTTGAGCATTGAGTAGGACAGAATGAGCCCAACCTTTTCCAGCGCCTAACACGTCTCCATAAGAGAATCCACCACATGCAGCGAGTCCGTGAAAGCCAGATAAACTCAGTTTACCCGAAAGGATATCTGTCATGTGTACGTCGATGGCGTCGAAGCCTGCGGCGGTGAATGACCATGCCATTTCGACCATTCCGTTAACTCCTTGCTCTCGAAGGATTGCAACTTTGGGCCTAGTACCTCGACCGCTCAGGGGTGGAGAGGGAGTGAATGTTAAATCATAGAAAATGCCTTGATTAGATTGATCCGCAATAAGATCGAATTCCTCTCTGGCTGTGATAGGATTGTCACGAAGCTCCTGCATTTTGAATGACGTCTCGGACCACATCTGCTGCAACTCTTGTCGAGTACTGTTGAATATAGACTCCGAGTCATGAACGATCTTGAAACTCTGGTCGGTGGCTGCACTGTTGACGTGGCCCAAAGTGTGAATAGAGGTAGTAGGGAAACCAGATTCGAGAAAGACACTCATCAATTTTGGAAGATGAGACTGGCGAACTTGCACGACGGCACCCAATTCTTCGTTGAAAAGAGCGGCGATTGGATCCGAAGAGTCATTCAGTGCGTTGAGCGAGACCTCGACACCCACTCGTCCAGCGAATGACATTTCCGCCAGTGTGGTAAATAAGCCACCATCTGACCGATCATGATAGGCTAGAATGACTTCTGGTTCCTTCGTCCTCATCTGCTGACAAGCTTGGAAGAATGCCTTGAGCACGGAGGCATCCTCTACGTCTGGTGATTCTTGCCCGATTTCTCGGAACACCTGTGCAAGAGCCGATCCACCTAGCCGCTGTTTCCCATGTGCGAGGTCCAGGAAGACCAATATCGTTGGCTCATCGATGTTGCTTTGAAGCACTGGCGTCCAGGTTGCAGCGACATCCTGGACACATCCGAATGCGGTGACGATCAGCGAAAGCGGAGAGCTGATATCCTTCTGCTCGTTTCCTTCCTTCCATTTCATCGACATAGACATAGAATCTTTGCCCACAGGGATACCAATACCTAATTTAGGGCAAAGATCGATCCCAACAGCCTGAACAGCCTCATACAAGCCAGCACCTTCCCCTTCCTTGGACGCTGCGCACATCCAGTTCGCACTTAGTTTGACATTGGATATTTCTCCAACACATGCCGCGGCAAGATTAGTTAAAGATTCTGCCACAGCCATACGAGCAGAAGCAGCAGGGCTGACCAGTGCGAGGGGTGTACGTTCACCCAAAGCCATTGCTTCACCAGACACGGTAGCAAAACCATACGACGAGCGTGTAACAGCAACGTCAGCAACGGGTACTTGCCAGGGTCCAACCATCTGGTCGCGGGTGACGAGTCCGGTGATTGAGCGGTCACCAATGGTAATGAGGAAAGATTTCGAACCGACAGAAGGAAGACGAAGGATCCGATTTACTGCAGTCGCCACAGCAGCAGAATTCGGAGTAGCTAGATACTTGGCCAAACTAGTATCGAAGAAATCACCTCCCCAAGTCCGACTACGATCCGATTTCTGTATCTTCGGTGGTTTTCCAAAAAGCATATCCATATGAAGTCTTATCACATCTTCGCCCAGAAGCCTGTCCGTTACCACGAGCTCTTCGTTTTGTGTAGCGATTCCGACGATGGCGAAGGGACATCGTTCTCGATTGGCTAACTCTTCAAAAAGTGTAACTTTTTCAGGATGAAGTGCTAAGACATAACGTTCCTGTGACTCGTTACACCATATTTCCATTGGTGACATAGAGCTGTCCGCGATCAGAACGTCCCGAATCTCAAAGGTAGCTCCAAGATTAGAATCATGGACGAGCTCCGGTAAGGCGTTCGATAACCCTCCCGCGCCAACATCATGTATACTCTGGATTGGATTTCCATCTCCCACTTCACCGCCGAGAGCTACACAGGCATCTATAACTTGCTGGCATCTCCTTTGCATTTCTGCATTGTCTCTCTGTACAGATGCAAAATCGAGCTCAGCAGTGCTTGCACCGGAAACTTGACTAGATGCTGCACCTCCCCCGAGACCAATGAGCATCCCAGGTCCACCCAGTACAACCAACTTTGCTCCTGGAGTGATGAGGGATTTTTTGGCGAATACGGTACGCACATTCCCATAACCGCCTGCAATCATAATGGGTTTATGATATCCTCGTATCTCTACCTGACTACCTTCCTGATCTTTCTTGTTGGCAGGAATCTTTTCGCAGAACGTCCGGAAATAACCGGCTAGAGCGGGCCTACCAAATTCGTTGTTGAACGCGCTCGCACCTAGGGGGGCTTCTAACATGATATCCAGGGCACTTGCAATGTGACTTGGTTTGCCAAAATCTTCCTCCCAAGGTTGTTCGAAGCCGGGAATTAGAAGATTGGAGGTAGTGAAACCAGCGAGACCTGCTTTGGGTTTGGAGCCGCGTCCGACAGCCCCCTCATCTCTGATTTCTCCTCCCGAGCCTGTAGCCGCACCAGGGAAGGGGGAAACCGCAGTCGGGTGGTTATGAGTCTCGACTTTGATAAGAATAGGCATTTCCTCGATATGAGACTGATAGATGTGTTGCCCGTTGTCGTTGGAAACACTAAATCGAGGTGCAACGTACCCTTTGAAGACAGCTGCGTTGTCTGAGTACGCAGATATAGTGTTATCTCCGGAAAGGCGTTCGGTGTTACGTATCATTTGAAATAGGGAAAGGTCCTGCGCTGTGGAATCTAATGTCCATTTTGCATTAAATATCTTATGTCGACAATGCTCCGAGTTCACCTGAGCGAACATGAACAGTTCAGCATCCGTTGGATTGCGATTTATGGGATCTGGGCCGGATATGAAGGCAGAAACGAGATAGGCAATCTCGTCAGATGAGAGAGCGAGCCCAAGGTCTTTATTGGCCTGATTGAAGATCTCTTCGGCAGATTTAGCGGGGGAGGATGTGATGTCCACTGCACGTAGTGGACGTGGCATGTTGTGGGCAAAAAGGAGGTCTTCATTAGGAAGAGATAGATGAAGAGTCTGAATCATTCGGTCGTGTATTAGATGAGAGAATGAGGATATATCATTCAAGGAGAGGGCATAACCATCAGAAGTTGTGAAGACGTATGCTATTCCACGTTCGATACGTTCGACCTGACCAGAAAGGTTACACGTTGCAGCGATATCTGTGGCTTTACTCGACCAAGGTGAGATACTTCCAATTCTTGGCAACACGTAGGCTACGTTTTGCTTCAAAGAACGAAAATCATCCAAGATATCGTGCAGACTAAGATTATCGCCATAGGTCAATAGACGTTCAAGCGTTTGTCGGGAAGATGATGTTGGATTGGACAATTCTTCCTCGGCCTGCTTGGAATTGCATTTTACAAGGTGAAGCCAGACAGAGTCGACAGAGGTGACCAGAGGTGTTAATCTGTTAATATTCCTCAGAAGAGTTTCACGCTTCTGTTCAGATATTGAGGATGATCCTAGAAGGACGAGCATTTCTGTTGTACACGATCAGCAGTTGTCCGCCAAACTTAGACGGATTCTAACCTCGCGGAATCAACCCAGGTCTGGGATCGAAATTTTGAGGGATCAGACGCTAGCAATGACCTACAACAAGCCACATTGAGAAAATGTGTACAGAGAGGCATAAGATGATATCAATACCAATATCCAGAGACCGATGAAATCAAGAAGAAATTTGTTTATCGATAGACGCCGGGATTGAGACGACATCATACGTGCTCACCTGACCTAAATAAGCTGATAAGATGACTGCTGAATAACTCCTTTCTACCGCTCTCACTTTCACCTGCGCTATACTCACGCCCGTATGTGTGGTCGGTTCTCGTTGCGACTAGAAGTAAGCGAGGCTACTCAAAACCGAAGCCTAGCTGATCATGTGACAACTTTTAGCCCCAAGTGATTCGACATGAACTAGATAGATATAACCTGCCCGTTAATGAGTGGATTGATCAAGACCAATTTGTACCAAGATACAACATAGCTCCTCGCTCTCTCGCTCCTGTGATTAGACACAGTAGTCCGAAAAACTCGTCGAGGTTGGGTATGGAATCGTTAGAAGACTCAAGCCATCAGTTAGTTATGCAAACCGTGGGTTGAATTCTGTGAACCCTGTGCATGTACCGATGTTAAAATTCCAGATGAAATGGGGCTTGGTACCCCATTGGTCCAAATATGAGGACAAAAGCCTCAATACTATAAATGCACGTTCTGAGAACCTCGTTTCAGGTGGTGGAATGTGGAATAGTCTGAGAGGCCGAAAACGATGTGTGGTGGTCTGCCAAGGGTAAAGGCTATGTATGTAGGTTCCATTCATTTTAATTGATCATTTTCAATAGATACTATGAGTGGCTTTCGAAAGGAAAAGACAAGATACCTCACTTCACCAAACCAAAAAGTGGGCATCTGTTGTTGCTTGCAGGACTATATGATTCTGTCGAACTTCAAGGTATGGGCGGTATTAATCACCTCATCCGAATACTCGATCAATGATTTTGATTTCTTAAGACAGAACCGATACACTCTGGTCATTCTCAATTGTAACAACTGCAGCTTCAAATGAGTTTGCATGGCTCCATGATCGACAGCCAGTTATACTTTCCACCCAAAAAGATATAGACCAATGGCTGGATACGTCTTCACAACGTTGGTCTGAGGATCTGGCCCAAATGGTTTCGCGTGCATACACTAAGGATTCCTCGTTGGAATGGTGTGTATAAATCGTTGACTTTTTGTCTTGCTTATATTCTTTCAGTTACCAGGTACCAAAAGAAGTTGGGAAAATCGGCATGGAGTCATCAAGTTTCATCCTCCCAATTTCTGTACGGAAGGATGGAATTGAGGCTATGTTTTCCAAGCAAAAGCAGGCTCAAGCAACTTCTGCAACGAAGTCAACCTCAACCATGAAACGGAAGCATGATCAAGTATCGCCAAAATCAACCAAAATCCTGGCAACTAAAATTGAGGACAGTTCAGACAGTGACATTGAAATTTTGGAGCATCATCCTCCATTTGCGAAAAAGGTGCCCAAAACATGTTCCATACATTCCCAAGGTTTTGACTGTTTCCGCACAGAAGAAGATATGAAGAAATATGTACATATATATGATCACCGACAGTTGATACACTATAATCTAACACTTCCATAGTAGAGTAGGCACATTCTGCAAGAAATTGAAATGCATTTCGATTTTTGTTCGCACAATCTTCACTATACAATGAATTACCTACTCAATGATACAGAATGGTTGACAAGATAATAGATGTGTCTGCGTTTTGAGACTTCCGCCTCGTGGAATACAACACAACAAGTAGGGGGATTGATTAGACGAGCATGGCAACAGGAGTCGGAGTCGAGTAGGATGAACGTTACTCATTTCCAGAACAAAATGTGAGATGAACGACAGTGCACGACGAAAACTATAGACCGGAAAACAGAAACAACGGGAAAATATACAAGCTGATTATACACAGACGTTAATGTTCTGTGCGCGCGGGGAAAAGATGAGTACTTACCCCTCGGAAAGCTTTCTTGAATGAGAATAGCCTGTGTTGGACATCTAGGTGACCTTGTGTTGGATGGCCTACAAACGAGAATTAGATTGAAACGGAAACAGGGTGGTAATGATATGTACCTGCTCTTCACCCATCGAACTAACGATGGTGACGAGTATCTCCTTGCCTTGTTCGTGATCTTCCTGAATCGCTTTTCCAATGTCACCCTCCGGAACTTTGACATCGCTCTTGAGGGTGCCATCCGCAGTCATCAAGTTCATGAAACCATCACCCTCAATGTCGATCTACACAGTCAAGATTAGAAGGAAGTACATACGACCACCAGGAACAAGCTCACAAGTTGGTATTCATTGCGGCGGACGTGGGGAACGTCCATGTTGTGGGTGGAGGGAGAGATATCTTCCTGTGTGATTCGTCAATGGTTGATAGCTCAGGCCTGCCAGAAATACTAACCAGCTTTTTGCCGGTGAAAATCTGTCAAATCGGGAGCAGAGTCAGATACGTCCAAAGATTGAGTCGACAACACACGTACGTCAATAGCAACAAGGTGAACCTTGGCGTGACCATGCTTTCCAGTCTTGGAAGTGGACATATCAACGATTTTGCAAGGGCGGCCTTTGGCGAAAAACCGGTTAGCACACGACCAGAATAATTTAGAGAGAGAAATACCTTTGATAACAACGTGTCCGTTTTTCCTAAGTGCAGAGCATTGCATGGGGAAGGTCAAAGAGGCCCCAGCACTGGCCTGATGAGATACGATGGTTAATCGATGAACACGAAGAAAAAGATAGGAAACGTTTGCTTACCTGCTCGAAGGTCTGGTTGTGTTGCTCGTCATCGGACATTTTGAAGGAGAGTTGTTAGATAAGAAGCAAAAGTAATCTAGACGAGAGAGTGTGGAAGGAAAAAAATGAACAGCAGGGATCGAAAGAAGAGGAAATTTTGGGTCACAGTTGTATATGTAAGCAAACAACGGCTCCGGAACAATCGCCGGCGATATGCCGAAAATCGATTCGACATTTACGGTTTTCCTGAGTTTATCTTTTTTGACTTCGCGAAATACAGTTGCTCATCGAATCTTCAAAAGCCACTTCTGTGATTCTATCCGCGCAGGAAGAGCTTGGAACAAGGGGAACAAGCCTGAAGTTTACTTACATTTTACAAATTTATATCAATGACGCATGGCAACAGATGGCAACCTAAGCCTTGACTAAGTCCCACGGCGCTAAACTCATACCAGGCCTACTACTTACAACCATAATAATGCACCCTTTTGGAGGAACTCCAAAATGCCCTAGATGCCAGAAAGCCGTATATCTTGCAGAGCAAGTTCAGTATTCCTTCAGGATCGTGATTGGATCAGTGTTGACACTTCGTATCCTCTTCAGGTTATTGGGCCAGGCAGAAAGGTGTGAATTACAGTCGCATTCGCAAAAATCATTTGATTCATGGCATACCGTTCCAGCTATATCATAAGGTATTTCTCACATTTATAAGAAGCTCCAACTCGAAGGTCCGATCTTTATTGTTAGCCTTGTCTGGCATGTACAACGTGCAACAAGAGGCTCGACTCTCTCTCGTTGTTAGAGCATAATGAAGAGGTATGCAGCATACATTCTATGTAGTGAAGGTGAATTACATAACCTCCCTATTTCTCTTAAACCAATCAGCCATACTGGTGCGTCCATCTTGAAGTTTCATAAATTCTACCATCTCATGTACGGAGTAGCAAGTCTTGTCATGTCAAGAATTTTGGTACGCGGGATCTCCGCCAGGCTAATCATCCCTATCGTGCGCGCTCTCCGTCACTCTCCCTAGGCAAGACAAGCAATGGTCAACCTCAAAGATCATTCTTTCCTCCGCCTTCCCCAACTCATCCTCCTCCTTTTGCTACTGGGAACGGATACTTGCCACAGTCACAGGCCAACAAATCTATTTCTCCTGCTACTTCGTCACTCCCACATAATGATGAAACTGTGTTCGTCGGAATATCAAATAACCTAGACGAGGAATGTGAGGAAGGGCGAGATTCAGCTGAAAGTCTTACTCGGAAAACCGTCGAATCCCCATTCAAATCATCTTATCGCAACCCGACTGGCTTATCCCAGATCGTCGGAGATGATGATACAGCTGCTGTTGCTGCAATAGATAAATTCAGAAGCACTGTAGGCAGAAGTGGTGCTATGCGACCTATTACACAGACTCCTACCGGAACGAGATATGGAGTAGCGCTTGGCGGTCCTGTGGCACATATCACTGGAAGCCCCCGCAAATGGGGCGGTGAAACCCCAAACTGTCCGAAATGTGGCAAGAGTGTGTATTTTGCTGAACAGGTATTAATTTTTGAATGTGTGAATATCGGGAATTTTCTGTTCAACTTGATCTTGGCTAGGTGAAAGCTGTTGGTAAAACTTACCACAAGGGGTGTCTGCGATGCTCTGAGTGCAGTACTTCTTTGGACTCGAATAAACTCCGAGATCACGAAGGTGTTCCCCTATGCTCGCGTTGCTATAACAAGGTCAGTCGGCCAGTGTTACCTCTTTAGCCTCATAATGACCACATCATGACAGTTACATGGCCCTCAAGGGAATGGTTACGCTTTACTAGGAAAAGCTGGAGGTTAAACTGTCAACTTTTCCCCTCCATTCCAACTTATAGTCCCTCATCTTCGCTCTCGCGACCTTCAGTCTCTGTTGTACTTTATCATCATGATCATGTCCGCACCATCTTGCTATCTCTCCAGCGTATTCCTGTGCTCCATTTTTAAGTGATAAATTATTTTACGTTGCAATGTCTTTCTAATGCTCCATTGATTCCCGGATTGCACATGGAAACATCGGAGAGGCTGCTGCTCCGGAAAGAGTGAATGGTGACAATGTTAAATAACCGGCATCGACGGGATAGCCATAGAGAACGAGGATGACCGGCCGTCATCTTGGGTCGCTCGATTTCGATTCAGCTCCGCCTTGATGCGTAATGACTGCACACGTTTCGGCCGAGTCTCGGGTCTGTTTGGAAAAACAAAGTGGCAGAAGAAAGAGAGACACGTTTGTCATTGTCAGGTATCAGCGTTCAAGGTTCAACGTTTAACAGTCATATCATACAAGGAACTGATACAGGAAAAGGGTAATAGCCCTTTCGGTGTCAAGTTCGAGTCGAGTGATCATTTTCAGAGCCATCCTTAACCAGTAAAGACCTATGTCCTGGAGACTCATACAACAAAATAATTTATTTGTCGGCCGTGTGCCAGTAGTGCAACCATGAGGTGATTGCTGAAATTGTGCAAGTGTATTTGATGCACAAGAAACACGATTATCCAGATCCAACATACCTTTTGTACGCAATTACAAGATGTAAGTACATGCCCTGTGCACTCTATTCCATTTGAGGAAGATATTGACCAAGAGCTATACGGAGATTAACAATCTATTATCTGCTATGAACCACTCGGCAGTAGCAACTTCCACATTGAAAGGCCGTTGTCGTTTAAGAGACAAGAGCTTGTTGATTGTACTATCCTCTTTGCTCTCTGAGGAATTCGCCGAATTCGTAATGCCAGTCGAACTTTGCCTAAAGTAAGCGACTAACTCGGCATCAGAGAGGGAAAGATTAAGGTCTAGAACAGAGTAATCGGGGATAGAGAATATCAAGCGTCGAGGCTCAATGTCAAGATTCGAGCGAGAAATAACAGTCTTCTCCTGATACTAGTTCAACAAGTCACTTTGTAGCGAAACTAGTCGCAGAGACGTACCACAGGAGGAACTTCGATCTGTATTTGCAGGCGATCATCGTCTGTTCTGTACCAGGACCACGTTACGTCGATCTTGGCCCCAATGTCCCTATGAGCAGCCGTTTGTGCCGGATTACTAGAGGGAGTTCTTAGAATACTTTTCGGCTTAACAACTTCCAGACCGGCTTGGGATATAGGGTCAGAAGCGTCCTGTGTCATGATCTCTTGGATGAGAGGTTTTTGCATCGACCTAGATTTGCTTTCAAGGTTGCGCGTTTCCGCGGCCTTCGCCTCTGCGCGCGCCAAGAGAGAAGGTATCGAAACCGTACGAGGTTGTAGTTTACCTTTGGCGGCGATATTTGGCGTCCCGATTTGGCGAGAGAGGACGAGTTGTGTTTGTGCCTCAATCCGCTGAACCGATAGCTCTAATTTGCTTAATCAATGCCAGAATAGTATTTCTTTGAGTCAAAGTTTCCTAACCGATAATGAACACCTTAAACTCGGGGTCCCTGAGCGTTCGAGATTTGATGGAATTGTGGAAGACGCAATCGAACACCAACGACGGTTTCCCAGCTGCAAATGTTATCAGCTATTGGATGTTGAAGCAACAAGGACAAAAGGGGCAGAAGATATCAAAGAATACCGTGCTAATTGAATACCACGGCCGAAGGTGAATCTGCAGGTTAAAACATAGCCTTGGTATACTTGCCTTTGTCTGTATCGAACCTTCCTTCCGAGACAATGACAGGTACAAACCAGTCATCTAGATTTCCTTTATCCAATTCATCGCCGTTCATAGCGCGTTGAATAGCATCTTCGTTTCCATCCGGAGGCGGAGGCACGTTTGCATCCCAAGCAACATTCACGAAGATTTTGTAGCCTTGTGGGATAGATATTGAGGTATCCTGGGCACTGGGAGATTGTTTCAGGGATAAGGGTGTGAACGACGAAGGCTGCACTGTACTGGTTTTGATGCAGAAACCAGCAACTGGTTTGAGAGAAACAGACAGCATTAGCAATACCACGTGCCAACGATCTGAAAAAAAAATAGTTGCGCCACTTTATAACGTGTATAGTTGACTCGAATCCATATTGCTTTATCTATCCAATCGAGTCATCTTGGTATGTAAATTTTCATTTCTTTAGAGGACTTGGACTAAATTATGATATCAGATCAGGGAACACTTCAGGAAACATTGGTACATTCCCGTTCATCTCGTTATACGTACGGCCTTTGACCGTCCGTTTCCTATCATCTCGTCCTTCAAGATTCAAACGAACCGCATCTCGTTTCACGTTAATCCATTTACTCTGATCCCGCGCAATAACCCGATAAAAATGGCTCAGACGGATATAAAAGAGGCCAGCAAAAGTAGGGCCTTCAGATTTCGTAAATCAATCCATACTTCTACAAGATGGTTCGCCCCCTCATTCTTCATTCTCGCTATACAGCCGTCCCCGATGAGGATAAATTTGATGTCAGCCCGTTGCCAGACTTTGACGACGATGTCCGAGTCCAACAATACCTCCAAGATCGTCGTGTTATTGGTGTAGGTCTTTCATGGTGTACTAATTAACTTGTGCTCATTCGTCGCAGTATGATCCCTTGGTTCAGCCTGCATTGCTCAGGCATGAAATCACTTCCTCGGCCAGCTCTCATCGCACCATCGCATCTGCTCGTTACAGCGCCGCAAGCATACTCGCTGGAAACGATGATCGTGTCCTCGTCATTGTCGGCCCATGCTCGATACACTCCCCTGATCAAGCTTTAGAATATGCCCATATGCTCAAGGCCAAAATTCCCACTTGGTCCAACCTTCTCATTGTGATGCGAGCTTATTTGTACGTGTCTTGGAATTAGTGTAGAGCTTATGTCTAACTTCTTTCTTTTAGTGAGGTACTTTTTCATGTAATATTCAGTCAATCACCTTTAAACATAACCTTTGGCGACATAGAAACCCCGGACAACCGTCGGCTGGAAGGGACTTATAAACGACCCAGACATTAACGGTACTTTCAAGATCAATAAAGGACTTCGCACAGCACGTCAACTGCTCTGTGATCTGACTGACCTTGGCGTCCCAGTTGGCTCTGAGCTTTTGGACACGATATCACCGCAGTACATCGCTGACTGTAAGTACCGTTTAGTTCAAAAACTACAGTACTGAACAGTATTTGCCTCAGTAATCTCATGGGGAGCCATCGGAGCCCGTACCACTGAAAGTCAGTTGCATCGTGAATTGGCTTCGGGTGTTTCTTTCCCCATCGGATTCAAAAACGGCACGGATGGAAGGTAAGCTTCTAGTATAATACTATATGGACACCTACTGATGGCGTTCCTCCTAATGCCTAGTGTGACAGTGGCCATCGACGCTATGCATTCGGCCTCGAATCCCCATGCTTTCATGGGTGTTACCGAACAAGGCTTGGCGTCTATCGTAAAAACTCGGGGAAACCAGGACGTTCATGTCATCCTCCGTGGCGGTACGAAGGGACCGAATTTCTCTTCGGAGCACATCAAGGATGCAGCCAAGGCAATCTCGAAAAAGCAGCAATTCGCAAGCATCATGGTAGATTGCAGCCGTAAGTTCTTGTCTTGCTCGTGAATGTGTCTGTGCAGATACGCTGTTCTTTAGATGGAAATTCACAAAAAAATCACAATAATCAGCCCCGCGTTCTACAGGACGTTTGTGATCAGCTTGCCGCTGGAGAGCGCAACATTACAGGAGTTATGATTGAATCAAACATTAATGACGGTCGACAGGATGTTCCCTCCGTTGGGCCAGCTGCGCTCAAACACGGTGTTAGCATCACTGATGCTTGCGTGGACTTTGACACAACCGTTGACATGCTCAACAAATTGAATGAGGTCGGGAGCTCAATATTTCCTGTGTACTCTCATATTGACCTTGAATCACACAGGCTGTGAGCAAACGACGTGCTGTCATTTCGGAAATGAAATCAGCAGCCGCCTTCGAGAGCGCTGGACATTAATTTTTTCAAAAGTGCACAATCATGCCATCGAAAATATCGATTTCATTTTCGTTGCTTATTCTGCCATATATATATATATACTTAGAGCTCTTGTATATTTGATTCCTGTAGATATACCGATGCGATTGCTTCATCGTGACGAATACATGGATATAATCCCATGGAGCTGAGAGGAAGTGAGTGCTGGGCACTCAGAGTGCAATAGAAATTATGAACAAGACAATCATTTTAACAATACAATCAAAACATACACAGGATATACAGCATCGTACGTTGAACATGTACAAGCATATGTACATAATTAGGCAAATACACCCAGCTATTTCAAAGCAGAAAGCAAAGCGACAAACGGTTCCAATAGAAAAAAAATAAAGTTAGCAGAGAGTTTAGATGAAGAGATATGAGATGAAAGAAATCATGAGTCTAGTCAACCTCAGACTCTTCGATGGTATCAACTGCTCCATGTAGAGACCTTTGGGAAGTAAAATTCTGGTATTTCATTCCCGTATGTGAAGATTCAAACGAACCCGCAATTCCAAGCGCCTCTGCGAAGGACAGTGCAACAACAACGCTTGCCGACAAGACCCTCCATTTAAATCCAAGGATATCAACGCTCTTGATAAGAGGGCTCGAATTGGATGACAGCGAGAACGGTCTATGTACCGCTGGAAATGTGTATGCAACCTGAGCTGCGAGCTGGACGATAGACGCGGTAAGAGGATCGAAAGGAGGTGCGAGTCGGGTTTGCTCGGAATCGACGTTGGTCGTCTCTGCCTTCTCTTCTTCAATACGCACAGTCCGTGAGACTTCTCGGGATTCGCTAAGGATGACTCGAGGAGGAGTTGATGACAATGGTCTGAAGCTGATGAGAATACCAGCGACTACCGGAATGAGCACAGTAGGAATGAACCAATGCAAGAGAATGATCCAGAACATGCTTGATTCAAACGTGGCAAGCGGAGGATATGGAATCGTGATAGATATAAAATTCCATTGCGGTGAAGTAGACTGAGGAATGACCGTCGAGGGGGGGATATCCAAGGAAGCGGGGATAGAAGTTGCGCTGAATGGAATGTGCAAAAACCGCCAAGGGATGATAGAGACAGAGATATACAAAAGTTGCACCAGAACAGATATTGACCAGATGGTGTGAGAGTTGGACAGGAGCTGCGGATTGCGATTGAGGGTGCCTGAGATTTGAGGATACGGACACCGACTTACCGTACGGGCATTATAAAGGGTCTTATGTGTGCTCTGTGCAACTGCTTCCTGTTTTCGTTTCACCACTTGCAACATGCTACCGAAACGAGGGGTCGGTATGTGCTCGATGATTGTTCGGTCGAAAAGACTTTGATCTACGATAGAGCTGGTCTCTGGACTGGTCGGTGAAGGGGGTATATTGTGGGGTGCATCAGTAATAGCGAGGGAAGATCGGGTCGTCCTGCGTCGACTTGGAGAAGCGCGTCCATCTGATTCTGAAGGTGATAGAGGAGGATTCTTTAGGAAAGCCGAAACATCCGACAAATCCTTAACCGGAGTAGACTCGTAAACAGGCCCAAGCGGGGCGACTGGGGGCGCATTGTGAGAGCGTTCGCTTCCACTATCCATTGTAAGACGATTACTGGAAGATAAGGTCAAATTCGCAATATTTGAGCTTGTTCTACTAAGTAAATCCACTAACCCCGGTGGTAGAGCACTTTCCTTCCTCCTCCGTCTTCTATCATAAAGACCAGAAAATTGGGGATCTTCTGCGAGTTCTGACTGATTTTTGTCGAGATACATTTTTATCCGAGTCTGAACTTCCTCCTTGGTCCCCTCCGTGCTGATATTCAGAGCTGACGCGAGCGATTGAAGGTCACTCTTCTTTTTTGGTTGTAAAGATCCAGCAAATATTGGAGCCATTTCAAGTGTAGGTGCTCAGTGAGAGAGTGAAGAATAGGGGAGTTCAACCAAATTGAAGACGCGTAAACAAAGCGTTGTCATGTGCTACGTTCCCACACTTGTATTTATCATGATAATTCAATTGCTCGTTGTCGTCTTCTTCCAGTACCAGTACCACCTTCTTTTCTTTCTGCTGTAACAGTCCTCTGGGAGGTCTTTTTCCTTTCTGCTTTCTCTATCCTTACTCTGACTACGATCTTACCTCTCAACCGCTCTTTTCCGTGAAAATGCTTGCTTTATCCTCCGCTTTATATCTCTTGATGTTGCTTGCTAGCCAAGGTTCGAGCACACCAGAAGTTCCCTAACACTGTCATTAATATCTATATCAGTCACTGCATTCACATTCAATGTCTCTGTTCCTTTTCCACCGCAAACACTGTCTGCTGCACAACTTTTGCCAAACTTTACGGGAGCGATTGCTAACGTGAGTAGGCACGGCCTTCATTAGTTTTCCCCCTACCTAAATTGGCTTTTCAGTGTGCTGCTAATTGCAGTAATGTACAAACCGAGCTTTCTGGGTGTCAAGACGATGCTTCCTGCCTCTGTGCGACCCAGCTAGTATCAGATCTACGCAATTGCGAACAATGCATGTATGAGTCTCTTATCGCTGCCAACGCACCCTTGCCGGATCCCAAGGCAGGGTCTACTCCCGTACTTGTAGGCGAGTCGTTAATTCTCTTTACCTTGGCTTTTCGAGAACCTTATCAATGGTTATGCCACCTAGGTTATCAAGCCGCTTGCGCCGCCTTCAATATAACTCTCAACACCACTCAGGTCGCTTTGGCTCTCCCCACTGATTGGGATGGGCCATTCGGACTCGGGCTGAATGTCGTTGGTACCGTTTTCACTGTTGGGGCCGGGTTCATCTTGGGAACGTCTAGTTTGTTGCTCTTGTCAAACCTGTAAGATCAGGAGGCGGTGCTTGTGCCTGGGTCGTTCGGTGGTATGGACATGACATTGAAGAAGAGTGCTGGAAGGACGGGAATCACTAATTTGACAAGATCATTCGTTTTTTCAGAGTTGTTGGGTAGATGATAGTCATATACAGCTCTGCTCTGTGCATTCTTACTTTGTTCCCTGGTGAAGAATATAACGAGTTTAGTTGGTCGATTTTTGTCATATGTCAGTGTCTCGAAGATTTGCGTTAGTAGAATGTCCATAGATATAGGTAGTGCGTCGCAACCATAACGTAGAACACGTCAGAAACAGGAGCGATCGTAGTACAGTAGGTGGTTGTTCGGGAATCGGACCTAGCCAGGGACTATCTTATCCTATCCTGATGATAGCGACGGTTTCATTACTGAAAACGAGGTCAACAACGTACACAAGAGCGGCCGTGAATACTAATTGTTCTGAGTTTCCCTCCCCTTCGAGTCCCTCCGTCGCTGTACGGGTCCCGAGAGGTCCCGAGTTGATGGGACCTCCCGTATTTATCTATCTGTCTCTATCTATCTATCTGAAACCTGAAGCTGAAGGCCTGAAGACGGAAGCAAACTAATAAATAGAGCGCGCAAAATGCATATACATAACGTCGACATAGTCAACGGCACATAACACCAGTGAGCAACATGAGGCTACAGTAACACTAGAGCAATCCTCACCAGAGGGAAAAAGCATATTGTAAGTACTTAGTATATATAGATCAGTATGTAAATGATATTTTTGTAAAAGGGAGCGGGGAAAATCCGTCTAGACAAGGGGGTGCAAGTCGGAAATCTGATGGCAAGATGAAAGAGACAACGGTATTATGGAAGTGGGGGATAAGATAGACCACGGAACACGCAAAAGAGTAGAAATTCCAAAAATTGCAGGGAGACTAAAAGGTTCGAAGAGTAAGGTAACTCGTCAACTGCCGTACGCGCGGTACAGTAGCGACGATATGATGAAATTCCAACCAGTCCAGCCAAAGAAAGAAGAGAAGAGAATCAGGAATATGCCCTGCAAGAGATTAGATCTATGGGATATAATAAGTGCAGTGTCGTCTGTCATTTACACATATATGCCTGTCAATAAAAACACGAGTCAATGATCAGCTGTAAGAAATGAGATGATAAAACACTTACACAAGTTTACAGCGGAATAAATCAAATAATCTTAGGGTTTCAATTTTTCCAAGCTTGATTTACGGCTTCCCCCGACGATGGTATTAGGCAGCGTAAAGGCAGAAATAGATCTACTCTCCTCGCCGTCCATCTTCCAGATGTTGGCTAGTTGCATCGTCGCAGAGTCAACGCTAGTCTGTCTGGAGCGAGAGGTGACAGAAGTTCGTGAAGGAGACGCAGAAGTGTCGTATTCGTCGAAGGAAAGATCCGCCGAGGAAGTGGAAGACGTAGATAATGTGGGAGAGTGGACGATATCCTGCAAAAATGAAGGCAGGAGAGGTGCAGGGGTAGGGGCATGAAGCTGGAGTTGCTGTTGAAGCTGCTGCTGAAGCTGTTGGATTTGGAGTTGATGATGAAGGTGTTGTTGCTGAGACAAAGACCGCTTGGGCTGCGGAGAAGTAGAGTAAACGGGGGAAGGTCGGCGATGACCAGACGTTTGATAAATCGGGGGGGCTTTTTGGCTATTGATCATATACTGAGAACCCAGTTCGACTTGTGATTGAGAACGATGAACCACACTGCTAGGACCTCGCGACTGCGGAGGGGAGACGTCTACGAACTGACGGCGGACCTGTGGAGGTGTCACCGAATGCGCACGCAAGACCTGCGCACGGAGCGGCGTTAAAGCAGGATGTTGAGCGGCGGAGGGTCCATGATTTTGGGTAAGTACAGAGGTCAAAAGTGCGATCCGCTCTGCCTGAACAGCAGCAGAAATAGAGTCACCATTCCCTTCGGCATCTAAACGCCAACGTCAGACCGGACGAGGATGAGCGTGAAAAGAAATAATAATCACAGGGGAAGCAAGTTTGGCAGACTTTGCGTCGACGCCAATTCAAGTAATTGCACTTCTGGCAAATCCAGTCGCCGGGTTGCTAAAAGAGGGGGGGCACGTCTTCATGAATTCATGAGAATGGAAAGCGGATGGACGACGTACATGAGCGATTGGACCGCGATTTCCAGTATTGAGAATGGGTGGCTGCTGTAATTCATTCAATTTAATGCGTGGCGTTTCATTCGAACGGCACTCACAGAGATTCCCATAATTACATTTGGGCGTATCTGGCCGGGGTCAGGAAAGGCCTCGTTGTCGGGCCAGTACATGATACAGGGTGATAGAGGGTCAACGGATATGTTTTGAACACGTCCACCCACAGCAAAAGCGCGCCCAGAAGGTGTGAGCAACGGATGCCCATTTTTTGACTGAGAGACCGGAAGCACATTCACTGGTTGAGCCGGTGAAGGAGAAGACGGGCCCGGGGCATATGTTTGGTTATTGTGCATCATGGATATAACACTGGGAAAATTGGGTGTGTTCGGAGAGCTAGCAAACCGCGGTGAAAGTGGTGGACGAGTCGATGATGGCATTGAGGGCTGATAGTTGATGGAGGTAGAACTATTTACAACCCTAGAGCTGCCACATCCAATGCAGGCAAGGTTGCGTCTGTAAAGGAGGGAGCAAGAATCATCAGTGAGCATCATTGATTCGGAACAGGAACGAAGAAGAGTATTTGTAGGTCAAGCTGCGGCTTTACGGAGATTACAACGTGAAAAAAACCCGCATGAAAACTCACCCAAAATTGTGAGCGGCGCATTTCGGGGAATTACATCTGTGTGAAAAGATGGTAAAGATTAGAAAAATCAAATCATTATAACCGTAAAAAGCAGTGAAAATTCGCGATCGCGACTCGATCACATATTAACAAATTCTTGAATCGGAACAAAGGAAACCGATGGAAAACATATGAGAGTAGCTAAAAGCACTCACATCCAGTCTCCGAGCCTGAAATTTGTACGTGGATTCGGAGGATTAGACGAGAGAGGAAAGGCGACACCACGAGAAGAGGACTCTTGCAAAGAAAATTGCTCAGAATGTGCTTCTTGTAGATGGAACATTTGAGGACGACAAGGAAGGGTAAGTTGACTTGGCGTTGGGTTGCTAGCAGCCTTTTGGTTAAGGATGAGTACGGCAAGTACGTAAGGCGTAATAGCAAAATAAACTCACAGATGGCAAATGGAGTTCAAAGCGGCTGAGCTTGTGAAAAGGCTCAAGGTCTGATTCAAGAGCAGGTGCGATAGACATGGTGGTGGGAGGAAGAGAAAGCACAGCACAGGCCTATAGATTGTATATTGATAAGTATCTACCATAAAGAGATCGATGGTCCACGTTGCGCACGCCGCTCCGTCGCGCAAAAATTTGATGCGCCCCGAGAATGTATTACTCACCTCTTCGTGTGTTTTAAAGACAGCCCAAAGTCCGGGAGAAAGATGTTCGTCCAGTGAAGTCCACAAAGACTGAGGGATCGGTCGAAGAGGCTTGGAGAAGGTCAGCAAAAGGTGCGAGCGTCAAGTAAAACAACCAACACAATCCGACAGAAAGAAAGAGGCGAGGAACACTGAGGGGTTTGGTGGAAGATTTGAGATCTTATGAACGAGATGAGCAGGTCGCAGGGCAAATACAAGGAGAAGAACGTACGCGTACGGCTCTCGAATGGGTTGTCAGGAAAGCGTCAAGGAGATTGCTGGCCATTTTGCGAGGGAATAATTGAGAAGAAGAAGTCTCCGAGTCGGATATTTGAGCGTAAGTCATTATTGGTGAAATAAGTAATGATGGCAGATCGTCGACTGTGCTGGAAAAGAAGCTTGGGGTTGAAACGTATCGGGCGGAAGAGAAAGGGAATTAAGGAAATATTGTTACAAGAGCAGCGGTGGACTCTTCAGAGGTTGTTCTGGTATGATATAAGTTTGGAATAAAGGGTGAAAAAAGCCGATTATCCCTTAAATTCTCATTTGAAAAACTACATCGTGTCGTTATGCACAGTCGAAACAGATGAGTTGTACATAGATCTCGCTAATTTCCAAATCTCAGAAATTTCCGGCGCTTGCAAGGGTTCCCACGACCTGAACTTCGTGTAGTGACCAAATCAACATCGATACCAAGATCCACATTCTGACTCAATATACCTATACTTGTACCGGGTTCTCTGTCCTTCAAATCTTCAATCTCCTACTGCCTTCTCTGCCTCCAAAATCCGTCTAGAATCGGCCTCTGGGAATTGTCCGCGCACACTGCGACGGCCTTCGCTCATCTGTAAACTATCTCCGTGGACTGTTTCCGCATACAGCCTACTGACATATTTTCTCCGTGTCGTCATCAACATAAGTCTCTCTAAAGCTGCGGCAACGACAATCCTGAGGACAGGGAACAACCAGGGAACAACTCCGGTAACAATGGTGGTGCATGTAAATAAAATAAAGTAAATACCACGTTTACAGGCTCACGTTGCGAGGTATAAGGGGACAATTTACAGCAACATGGGGAACAGGTGCAATATAACAAACCGCGTAGCGTCGTGAGAGTCGGACAGGACGGTAAATTGAGTCAGATTAAGCCATTTTACATACATATACAGGCATTTAAGTGACTGAAGTTAAAAGACTGAAGTATAGAGTGTAAGATCTCTAACTCTTCAGAATCGCGATTGTTTCTACGAACCTGAAGCTCGGTCTTCGAGCTCAACCGGAAGGATCCGTAGGTAAGCGGTGAAGCGGCCCCCTTCGCGGTTCCTCGAGGTTCCTCAGCCTCCAGGTACAGACATGCACCCATTGCCAAAAGAAATTACAAAGCAGAGGGTTTGCAGAGAGCGCACATTTGAGTACATATGATTATGGACCATCGCCTGACGTCCGCATGCGACAAAATGCGATGCCTAGATCCGGACGACGGTGTGTCCTGGAGAAAGGGTGTTTCGGAAAGGGAAGCCGGAAATATGGATGTGACAAGATGAAAGACATTGCGGAGACACGGGTATGTTGACTTGATGTTCAAACAGGCTCAGGACAATTCGCAAAAGGCATGGATAATTCCGGGCAGATAGAATGAGCGTTCAGAGCTTTGCGTTTAAGAAATCGCGAAGTTCGGGCAACATGGGCGTCCATCTTCATCTATCGAAAGTGAGATCGGGTGGAAATTTGTGGCGAGGGGGGAGGGAAGAATAGACATCGACAAGTGAAATGTTGCACCTGGTACTTACAGCGATCTTGAGCGATATATGCGGCAGGAATTCATGAACAGGGTCGTGAGGATTTTATCCCTCAGCAAGGCTTGACAGGACCAAAAGAGGTCGGCACGAGTTCCGGAAAAGCATCAAGTGTGGCACTAGCTAGGATGAGACAGCAGCAATGGCAGCGGCAGCGGCAGCGTTGACATTGCCATGAAGCACCTTGGCGAGCGCATCGCCGGGCTGCAAGTTCAAAACAAGCCCATGTTGACCTACATATTCCATGTACCGTCTCCAGCTTTCTGCGCCCTTGCCAACTTTGGTGGCACCGTCATTAGAACGAGCAGTTCTGCCCTGTCGTAGAGTATTCATGCTCCCGACGACAAAGAGACCCCTCTTAGCCCGAGTAAGCCCAACGTTGAGCCGCCTTCGATCAGCCAGGAAGCCAATGTATCCTCCAGAGTTATTCCGCACGGTAGAAAAAATGATGACCTCTTTTTCGCGGCCCTCGAATCCGTCAACAGTCTTGATTTCGATGTTGGAAAACTGCATGGCGCGATGCTCTCCGAGTACTGTGTTGAAGCGCTCACGGTACTTGGGATCGGCGTTGAAGAGTTTTGTGAGCAGAGAAATTTGGGCAACATAAGGTGCGATGATTCCGATGTCTTGCCCATTCAAATTCTGGAACGTGAGATATCTATCAGCAGCGGAAATATTTGTATACGGGATGGATATCACGAACATCATTGTTCAGCAGAAGATCCTCCACCACACTAGCCACGATATGTGCTTCATCCCAGTTGACCCTACTCTTCGTCTTCATACTCTCGTTCCCAGAATGGTCAAGGAAAATGACTGGGGGGCGAGCAGATGTCCGCACTTCCCCATCTTCAACAATTTCCTTCGAATCCGACACGCTTGCAAGTACACCCGGAGGAAGCAATACAGGGGATACACTAGGAGGCATCAATCTGGGTAAGACATATCCAAACGTATCGGCAGTTCCATCGAGCAAGGAACTATTATAGAATTCGAGGGAAGGAAAATGCGAGATGGCTGGATGCATACGATACTGAATGTTGAGCATGATAGATGGAACGACTGTGTGGCGCATGAACAAAAATCTAGATTGATGAGATGAACCCTCACCTCTTTCCTCAGCGAGACGCTCAAAGAGACTTATAGCTAACCCTAGTGATCGAGCTTCTGGGCTTGTGATGACCGGAGGCAGCTGCTTGTGATCACCTATAAGAGCAACGTGACGACACTACGGGAACTATGAGCAAAACTGGAAGTAGAACATGTGAGCAGAACTTACTCCTTTCATGAGCGGAATAAGTGAAGCTGGCTCCGTTGACATGGACGCCTCGTCGAGGAAGACGACGGGGAAATCGATGGCATTCAACGCCGCTGAAGCCGACGTGATACAAGTTGTGCAGATCTAAAATCCAGGGTGCGCATTGCGGAGATGAATTGAGGTGGGAGTATAGAGATGCGATATCACCCATACGGAGTAACAAAGTTTGAGTGAGTCAATCGGAGTGCGAGAACCACGTTCAAGTCGTGGGTGACGAAATTATGAAAACGACGCAAAACAGTCAGTAAGCTACCAGATTATCTGGGTTCAAAAAGGAGAAGACAGCTTACCACATCGGCATTATTAAGAATATCTTTTACCATTGCCTGTTCCAAGCCATACGACCTTCTCTTCGTTGCATCAAGTGATCTACCTTGTCGAATTACATTTTTCAGCATGCCGTCCCTGATCTGGGTTTCCCTTGAGCTCAGACCCTCCTTGGCCATTTTCCGTTCTAAATTCTGGATTTTATTCCGGAGTTCTTTCAGAGTGTCCCCAATCTTCTTGACTCGATCTTCGAGGTCTTTCCAGTCTGCATAACGTGCGTGTAATTGCATTTGATATTCCAGGGTCCATTTAGTGAGAGATTCCTTCGTTTTCCCTGCAGATGCAGCTCGTAGAGGCTTGAGACCTGCTTTCGCAAGGCCTTCGACGAGATTGTCGACGGCTACATTGGTATAGGTACAGACAAGCAATGGCTGAGGAACCTGAAAATGCATTTTGAGAAGCTTAATTGTAGAAATAATCGTAAGCGTTTTTCCTGTTCCGGGGGGCTAATAGAAGAAGGTACTCAGAAACAACGTTGTGATTAGGCTTAATAGACCTACGCCCTGAACCAAGCTGATACGCTCCCCTATCATCATAGCCATTGCTCTTTTCTGGGTTTCGTTCATCCGACTGAGTTCTTCGAATTGAGGGTCTCCCTCTATCACAACAGGATTGGGGTGTGAATATCTGTTTGCCCAGGAGCTAATCAACATATCGTCATGAAATGCACCATGATTGTCACCGAGAGAAGGAGGTAGTTCTTGAAAACCTCCGGTAGGCAGCGATAGATGATCAGGATGATATTCATGCTCCAAAACATCTCGTTCGACATAATTAGGATCTTCTGCGTCCTGAAGTGCTCGGTGAGCATGTGGACTCTCGGAAGGTTGAGAGGACTGTAGGAGAACGTCCCTCAGATGGGTACCCATTAGAATGTATTCACGTTCCCGTTGGCCTTCTAAACCAGAGGGAGGCAAAAAGATGCCCGTTTGTTCCTGCTTGCGAACATCGAACTTGAAAGAATCGATAGCCGTGCGCATGAGTTCAAAGACGTAGTCACTCTCGGTCAGGTCTATTCTCCAGCCGGAGGAATCCTCTGGTAAGTCAAGCGAGAAGCTTCGGTCAGGGAATGATATGGTGAGATGGGTGGAGGTGGTAGAAAGAACTGAGCCACGAGATGGCTCTTCCTTTAGGGGGTCTATCCGGGAAAGAAGTACTCGAGTTCCATTCCTGCAGCCTTCCTTAGCGACAGTGGATGAGTTACAGATGAATGAAGCACATACAGGAACTTGTGTTCAGGTAGATGAAGACCAGGACCTAATGAAAACGAAGCCATAGGTTTCCCAAAACGCGTTCCTTCCAACCAGTAGGCACTGAGACCAGTCAAGGTGTATCCTTCGTCCTTCAGCTTTGGCAGAGACCAGGTGCCGAGTCGTTCTCGAATAACACTTTCCTCCTCATCCTGTTCGTACTGGAGTAGAGGCAAAAAACTAAGGAAAGAAATTATCAGACAGTTAATGAAATTTATTTAGAAGATAAACGCACTGAGATTTGTATTCATTAAAGGCTGCATAGTATGGAGAGCTCTTTTCCAGCGCAGACTGAGGGGGTTTGACGCGCTTAATGAGTGTTGGAGAATCCCCGTTTTCAGTATTTGATTTCAGTTCATTGCGTGGCCGTGAGGTGGCTCGCAGTCGCCAGTCATACCGTTCAGTAGAGTGAGAGCGCTCCAAAGTCAGTGGAGGTTTGTCCTGGTGTGTCGATCCGTGCACAGTGGCAATAAAGGCTTCCTCCTCATATATTCGTCGAGAAATGTATCTTTTGGAAGAAGGAAGGCTGAAGTTGGACAAACGAAGGAGAAAGTTCTGGTGGAGGATTAATTTGGTTTTTAGAATTCCCATATACATTCGAGCATAGTCAGGAGAAGACTCCTGCAAGAGTATACGCTAGGTAAATTTGGATTAGGTATGATAGTTTTGACGAATTTCAATGAGCAAAAGTTTTTCGACATAACACTGCGGTCCGCGGATGTCGAGCCGCGGCAATTTACCGCGGCATGGAATTTGCGTTGTAGTCCACTACTTATCACAAACTCAGTAATCCCTTGCTCTCTTGAGCCACATAGCTCGGAATAGGAATATCTTAGGAATATCTTAAATAACTGCTACGGCACGTACTCCCTACAGGTTATATTCGGAAATATTCTTTTGCTCAATGCTCAACGCGAAGACGTGTTCCTGGAGTATCACACCTCTCCTGTCATCCGGAAGTCAGCATGTAAGGCTAGCACTGAGCAGACAACTCTGTCGAGCGGTGTCAAAGTTTTTCTTTCTTTTGGATATACGGTGCAAATAATGGGCCTGGATTCGCAGCGCTATTCTACTCGCGTCAGGCCGCAAGTTTGAACTTGAAGCTTGAAGGCTTTACAACTTATATCTTACTGCTTGCATGCCTAATTGAGCGAGGGATCCTCCTACCAATTGCTACTAATCGCCTCTCCTCTGTTGACGTGCACGTGCAGGAGGAGGAAAGCCTACCGGTAGATGAAACGTCGGAGTGGATGCTTCCCTTTTCAGGTCCACGTCTTCCTGCGCTCGTAGCTGCCCATAACAAGTCAGAGCAGATCCAAAGCAGATCGGCCTTGCAGTCGGAATAATCTTTGCGTCTCCCGTATCTCAGGAAATCTCCTTTACGTCGTCCGGCGTCGAATGCTGTCGAATGTCATCCTTCTCAACAAACTTACCGAATCTGTAATTGCCTCTTTTTTCGTCTTTTTGGTAATTTCAAACAATGTAGTACGGCCTAGGGAGATACGGTCACCGTGACAAAGAGAAGGACGAGGGTCTACGTGTCTACAGCTTGAAAGTACAAGAGCGAGGAATTTCGAGCAAGTCAACTTTACGTCCGAAGAGTGCGCACAGTAGTGACAAGAACTCATAGGATTAGGTCGACAGCATCGTTCAGCGTACACAACGCTAGCAACGCGGATCCGCAGATGCGAATGGTTCTTTAATTTGTTCATGGGATGGCCAAGTCGGAGTTAATGCGGCGCGAAGCTGGGGGGTCATTGACGATGATGAGCCGAAAACCGACGCGCTAGTAATCGGTTTCGACCGCAATAGCGGGGAGAGCAACATGTTGACTTTGATTAACAGTTTCTTGGTGCTTCATGTCATACATATCACTTTTATCACCGTTATCAGTATGGTTCATCATATTAGAATCACTTTGAAGAAAGCGACGATACAACAAAAAACGAAGGGTAAATCGTTGATGCGAGTAGGAGAGCGCAAAAAGGAGCTGGAGGTAGAAGAAATCTCTTATGCGGCATGATACAATGCGAATAATCCGAAAATGATACAAGATTGGGAAGGAATATTCCTACCATAAGTGAAATCAATCAACAACCTTTTGTGGAACTGGCTTCCGCTGAAGAACCTCGACCCATTTCCTAGGGAACCAACCTTCCCTACCTTCCCGAGTCCTACCTCTCCACCATTCTGCATCAATACCACCTTGAAGGTCAACACGAGGATCAACCTCCATCCCCCTTGTCTGATCCCATTTGGCCATGAGGGCCACAATTTCATTCTCAGCCAAGCTCAATTCCGACGAATTAGTCGCAGTGAATGGATACAGTGCACGTGCAAATGTCAGAGAAGATGGATCAAGGGGAGGAAGACTTGGATCCAGTTGACCAGCGATGGGATTTCCGGAAGCAGCTTGAGCTTCTGCTCTGGCAGCGAGGGTTTTGATTAACTTATTCATGGCGTAAGGGACGCCGAAGATGGCGAGAAGGAAAATGATGAGCGGTTTCTTACTAGGTCGTGGAGGTGGGGGACCCGATGGACCTTGCACTGGTCCGCCGTTGACAAATTGACGAAACTCTCCTGGCAAGCCCCCAGTGCTGCTTTTTTTACCCGTAAGCAGTTCCTTCATCCAGCGGATAAGGCCAAAAAGACCTAATACGCTCCCTAATGCGTTCCGAAGGTGACCAAATTGGTCAACGACGCCTACCATTGCGAAAAAGGATGAATGGGTGGCCATGAAGGTACTTTCAAGCATCTGTGCAACGCCAGAGAAAGTCTGTACAATAGAATGCAGGAGAGCGAATGTATGTTGAGTGGTGTGTTCTAGTGTTTGAGTGAGAGAAGGGGGTAAAGGGTTGCCGTTGGCGTCAACGGGAACTCCGTTAGGACCCATCATGCCTCCCAAACCATAACCTCCTCCATACATGCCTGCCCCGTAACCCATACCAAGACCACCGTAGCCCCCGTAACCACCACCGATGCCGCCCATTCCACCGTAACTCCCCAAACCACCACCTCCATAACCACCGTATCCTCCATAGCTGCTTAAACCGCCTCCATAAGAGCCATAACCTCCATAGGTACCCATCCGTGAGTACGGAGAAGTCCCGTAGGAATAAGGAGACGCATTGGTTGATGCCAGTGTCGTTGTTGTAGCTGTTGAAGGTGAGTTGGTAGGCCTTTCTGGGATAGATGATGAAGGTGACGGATTAGGATTGGCCACCGCTGTTGATGTTGACGATATAGAGGGGGTTGGGGTGGGAATTGAGGGTGCAGAGGAAGATGAGACCGCTCCTCCAGCTCGTTCCCATGGTTTTGGTGGTGATCCCATCGCTTGTGTAGACTAGGAAAGACAAGCTGCCGCTTAATGTAAGAATCTGGCAAGGACACCGAAGATTGAAGTGATTTTTGAGAAGCGGAGTACTATAGTGTGAGGAGACGGGTGTAAATCACATGTCGAACTTGGACCGGTTATGCACTGCCGCCCGTTCAACGTCGGACTTGCGCAACAAATGATAAGTTACAGAATGCAGCGAAGCCTGCTCATATAAGTTTCGTACCGTAGCAAGCCAAAAATCAAGGGAGTGAAGAAAATCGCTCGTTCATGGTTAAAGAGCGAGCATGTACATAAGCGTATGGTGTAGGTTTTTTTTGAGAGATCTCATTTAACAAACAGCTATCTTCATTTGTTTTACAAAAGCTTTGGTAAATACAATTAGATAAAGATGCGACCCAGAAGAGACTTGAAAGCAGCTTGAAAGTGGGAGGGCAACTTGGAGCTCGTCGCTCATGATCTCGAAGGATCGCGCTTAATGGAAGCACGTGGTGGGAATGTTTGTCCATTTATAGGAGCTCAAACTGTACAGCTGTTTGAGGCCACGGGATGCAACCTATCCAAAATATATCCAAAGTCTCATTTCGTTTAGGTCGTCAGCGAAGGTGAGTAACTGCGCGATGTTTCTCTCTGGCTCGTCTTGGTGCAATCCAATCCTTCGGGTAATTGAGGTTGTTGTGAAGGAAGATTAGATTTTCGGGCGACTTGCAATTATTCCTTTCGTCGGTTCTGACTTGAGATTGCAGGTAAGGCGGAATTACAGCAACTTGGAAGTCGCTGTCCTAAACTCAAGAAAAGAATATGAAGATCAACATCGCCAGTGCGTTTCTTCTCTGTCGTTCCGAAACTTGATTCTTATATGACCGGCAGACCCCGCCACGGGGGCCCAAAAACTCATCGACCTCGATGATGAGAAACGTTACCGTGTTTTCTTTGACAAAAAGATGTCGCAAGAGGTCCCTGCAGACTCCATCGGTGATGAATTTGCTGGCTACATCTTCCGGATAACTGGTGGAAACGACAAGCAGGGTTTCCCTATGAAGCAGGGTGTTCTTCTTCCTTACCGTACCCGTCTTCTCCTTTCCGATGGCCACTCGTGCTATCGTCCCCGTCGAACTGGTGAGCGCAAGCGTAAATCTGTTCGTGGCTGCATCGTTGGTCCCGATATCGCCGTCCTATCGGTCGTCATCGTCAAGCAGGGTGAGCAGGAAATCCCCGGTTTAACCGACACAGTCCTACCGAAGCGGCTCGGCCCGAAAAGGGCAACGAAGATCAGGAGGTTCTTCAACTTGTCGAAGGAGGATGATGTGAGAAAATACGTTGTTAGAAGAGAAGTTGTGAGCAAGAAGAAGGAGGGTGCTAAGCCTTACACTAAGGCGTACGTCGCGGTTTCCTTTGCGTTAGGAAAATTCCACTGATTCGATTTTAGTCCCAAGATCCAACGACTTGTCACTCCTATGCGTCTCCAGCGTCGTCGCCACCTTCGCTCAATCAAACGCCGCAAGCTAGAGCACCAGAAGGAGCAGAAGACGGAGTACGATACCTTGCTTGCCAAGCGTGTTGCGGAGAAGAAGGCCAAGGTCGCAGCCATCAAAGCCAGCCACCACAAGTACGTTCTCTTATCTATTGAATTTTGCCGTGATTAAGTTCTTTCTCTGTCTCGATAGGACGGCTTGAAAAACCTATGTCTTGGGTTGGGATTGATGTACTACCGAATACCTTACAGAGACTCTTTGTTACATGCTTTGTCGCGCAACTTGCCATACTGTGCTAACACTAAGTTTTAAACTTTACGCACACGTCCACTTTACAAATACTGCCTATGTCTTATGTTGTCCGCAATGAGTATGTATTTCGTTCGAAAAAGTGGAGTAGCGAGAACATTCACCAGAAATGTGGCCCTGTAGAGGCGCTTATTTAACCTGTGTGATAATTTTTTGCGTAGCTTTGATCTTTTACGCGTCTTCGCTCTCGACCGTGAACGCGTGAACACTAATACTCTTGACAAAATGTCGATGCAAATTTTCAACCAGCAGGTATGGTTGTCCCGTTTCAATATTCAATGCCCGTCTCATACAATTTAGGCGACAGAAGAAAAGGCAGAGAACGCGCGTCTCTCGTCATTCGTTGGCGCACTTGCGCTCGGAGATCTCGTTAAATCAACACTGGGACCGAAAGGAATGAACAAGATCCTTCAGTCTGCATCGACAGGAGAGATCAACGTCACCAATGATGGAGCTACCATTCTCAAAGCAATACAATTAGACAATGCTGCTGCTAAGATACTGGTTAACATCTCAAAAGTCCAGGACGATGAGATCGGCGATGGGACGACAAGTGTCTGCGTGCTTGCCGCTGAGTTGTTAAGAGAGGCAGAGAAACTAATCGCGATGAAGATTCACCCTCAGACCATCGTTGAAGGGTATAGGATCGCCAGTCTGGCGGCGTTGAAGGCATTGGAAGGTGCTGCCATTGATCATTCGTGAGTAATGGTCCTATTTTTAAAAAAGTGGTGGCTGCTGAATGTGCAGCTAGCTCGGATCCATCAAAGTTCAGAAACGACTTATACAACATTGCACGAACAACATTATCCTCCAAGGTTCTCTCCCAAGACAAGAGCTATTTTGCGGATTTGGCCGTCGATGCCGTCCTCAGATTGAAAGTAGGAGACATTGCTCTTTCCATGCTTCCTCACGATGCAATTTTCATAGGGTTCAACGGATCTGGAGCACATTCAAATCATCAAGAAAGTTGGTGGGAAGCTGACTGATTCTTATCTCGATGAAGGTACCGCATATTACTTCGAGTGCGACGTGCATCGAGGGCTTATTCTTATTAATCAGGCTTTATTCTGGACAAAACGATCGCAGTCAACTCGCCAAAGCGATTGGAGAATGCAAAAATCATGATCGCCAATACATGTAGGTCCAGCAATCAGCAGCGTTTGGCTACCTTGACCCGTTATCTGTCATAGCTATGGACACAGACAAAATCAAGATCTTTGGTGCTCAAGTCAAAGTTGATGGGACTGGAAAGCTTGCCGAGCTCGAAAGAGCAGAGCGTGTACGTATCCTGAATATTTTATATTCGTCTATTATGCCGAGTCCCAAACAGGAAAAAATGAAAGCCAAGGTGGACGCCATCGCGTCTCATGGAATTAATTGTTTCGTTAATCGACAGCTCATATACAATTATCCTGAATCTTTACTTGCGGAGAAAGGTATCCTGGTAATAGAGCATGCAGACTTCGAGGGTGTGGAGCGTTTGTCACTGGTGACCGGGGGAGAGATAGCTTCGACCTTTGATCGACCAGATCTCATTAAACTGGGGGAGTGCGAATTAATCGAGGAGGTCATAATTGGCGAGGATAAGGTCTGCTTTTCCCTTATTATTCATTCGTCAATCAACCGACAAACACTTATAGTTAATCAAATTCTCTGGAGTTGCAGCTGGCGAGGCTTGTACCGTCGTACTCCGCGGTTCGACATCTCAAATGGTGGACGAAGCTGAACGCTCCTTGCACGATGCACTGTCGGTCCTCTCTCAGACTGTCAAAGAGACGCGGACTGTCCTCGGTGGGGGGTGTTCTGAAATGTTAATGAGCTGTGCTGTGGATGAGGAGGCGAGGAAAGTGAAAGGGAAAAAAGCTATTGCTGCTGAGGCTTTCGGGCGGGCATTGCGTCAGATGCCTACGATTTTAGCTGACAATGCTGGATATGATTCGTCGGATCTAGTGGCTAAGCTAAGAGCTGCCCATTATGAGGGTCAGTCAGATGCAGGATTAGGTGATCATCATCATATCGCGTCGCCGGAATTCAGCTGACTTTCATTCTGCAGACATGAACCAAGGCACGATCGGGTCCATGACACAGCTTGGTGTTACGGAAAGTTACAAATTAAAGCGACAAGTTGTGCTTAGTGCGAGCGAAGCTGCTGAAATGATCATTAGGTATGTTTATAGTCACGGAATTCCTTTCGCCATTTTCTAACACTTTCTCCAACACTTTTTGTTTTTCAAGAGTGGATGACATTCTTCGTGCAGCACCTAGGAAAAGAGAAGCCGTCTAACAATGTCATTGTTTGTATAGTGCCAGTATAAAAAGATAATTTGTGAACCTTTATTTTTGGTACATAAACTCACCTGTAAAGCCCCAATATCGGTACGTGCAGAAGTGAATATCTGTTGGTACACTGTCACACCGGAAGTAGAAAAAATTTTACTCGACGAATTCACTGTTAGAGTATTCACGCCGAAAGTAGAAAAAATTCGGTTCAACGGAATCATGCCCAGTGAAAAACCAGACTGATTGTACAGTCATCTACCATCAAATGGGACACAAGTTTTTAAGTCGATCCGCTGGCTAAACCGCCTCGGATTTTTTTCCATACAAAAGAAAAGTAACTCTGCAGTACATGAGCTCTTTCAATGAGCAATAACTTTAGTATTTCCAATCGTCCAAGATATATCCACTACAGCGGACCTTATAATATTCACAAGAAAAAGATATCAATCCCAATGACTAAAATAGTTTATATTTTCCAGTAAAATCCTTACCCAAATAACAAAAATGATTTCACACAAACCAGGCAAATGATAATATTGTCACAAAGTGGCAGAGGTGGAGTGACTAAGCAGAGCAGGAGAGCGGAGTGACTAAGTAGGACAACAAGGCGGAGCAACTAAACAGAGCATAGGCAGACTGGTCTCAAGATAATGTCAGAGATATGTTGAGTATCATAGTCATAGGTAATAATAAGTAAGCACATACCTAGTCCCAAGATAATGACAGAGAGGTCAAGATAAGGGACCAGGCTGTGGGGGACTGGCTATATATACATAATGTTAAGATCATGTACACTGTGAAGCCGTGCCAAAGGCCACAAGGTGTCTAAGGGTGGAAGGTCGAATGGGACAGTAGTGAAGTTATTAACAACACCACCGTTACGCTGCTAGTCCCCAGAGATCGAGAGTAGAGAAGGAGAGAGCTAGGAGCAGCCAAGTCAGAGCGGCGGTAACGCCGGCGACAAGGAGCGGACCAGAAAACTTGTCATATGCATGCAATTCATCTAACGCTCCTTCCAGACTGGCCCGGTAACGAGCTTGCCTCGTTTTTGTGTGAAAGAGAAAGGAAGGAATCTAATGGGCACTCCAACCAACCAATCTAATACACAATATGCGAGTTCACTGCTATCAAATTTATTTAATAGCAAGGGGTAGCGTTGGCAAAGGTTCCGCAAAGCTTTGAGAGCTAAGTAAGAAGCTTTGATCAATCAATTTGAATCGTTCTAAGGATTCGATATATTCCTTTGATCAAGGTAGATTTAGCACGATTTGTGCTGTGGTTTGTATTGATTTGGGTATATCAAGAATTGGGGGTTTGAATCAAAGTAAATTAAAACCGAAACACACAGACCCCTACGGATGTTGAGCATACTGTAGTGATAGAACACTTTCTACATACATTACACAGCGCCTCATCACTCCTAGTTATCACTGTAGTGACTTACTTAGTGTATAAAGTACTTACAGACATCATTACTTAGTTTTACAACTCATAACTTAGCTATTTCTTTAGTGTTACTGTAGTTAGTTAGTTTTCATAGGTGCGCACAATTGTGGACACCCATTATCACGCCTCATGCGTTTCTAGTACATACAAGACCAAACAAACCTGTATTCCTACTATAGTTGAAAGATACAAATCAATACTCATACTATATTGACTCTGGTCATTGTTACTGTGTTTATTGGAGTACTGAGCAACTACAAGACTCTGTAGCACAACCTACTGAGCTTGTATTAAGGCATTGACATTCTCTGCATTGAGCTGGGTGGCATACTGTTTGGGTTAGCTGAAGGGCGCTCCAGTGTGTTTCAACTTCAACAAGTGCAGTCTCCTTCAACAACGGAAGGCTAGAACTATGTGCTGGCACAACCACACAGCGTGATTTGCCCTTAAGACCAACGACTGATCCTAAGTTCGAAGAATACCCAACAACTGGATAGACTTCTCGCAGTCACAAGGAGCAGAACACGACGTTCCTATACTCACAAGTGCCGGGCCCGAATGGCTGCTAGCGAAGAGGTTTCAGTCTGGCGGGAGTGTGTCTTTCCTTTTTACGGATTAGCACTGCAACGTCGTCCCAAAATCACTTGTATTCCAGATACATCGGATCGCTATTTATACATACAGGATATAGAGTCGCATAGTACAATTAATTTAATACAATAAACGTTCGGAACCGCAAGGAAATTTCTACAATTGGTCAGGTACCATTTAATTTGAATCTACATGTCCTTATTTGGCCCATATTGGTTCCAAGATTCTAGCATACCTCCAAACATAGGTAGGTACTTCGATATTCATTTAATTTAATTGTTTTTAGAGAATGACTCGAATGGTGTTCAGCTGTCACTGCTGTTCAACACTTACTTCGATCATTTATCACCTCGTCTGGAGGCAAATCAGCTCTCCTCGATTCTAATCCTATTAATCTGATTCATCTGGATTAAACTAATTGCTTCTCTCTTTCAATAGACACCCATTGTGCCTATACTCTATCAAGGGAGTTACACATAGTATTCATTTAATTGCATTCTTCAATATTTTCTACGTCAGGACTCCTTGATATTCATTTGATATGTTTTCGGAGCCTTGCAGTACTTCAATTGTTCTTCTAGTCATTTTCCTCAACCATGCAACCTGATTGGTCTATTAGACTAAATCACAGTCTTTTAGATTAATGCATGGTCTCGTTCTAGAAGGAGTATTTGATAATTCCTGAGTTCTAGAAAGTCATTTCGAGTCAATCCTTGGTTCATGGTCACTTGAGTAAGTTCTTCCAAACTCCTGCCAGTGTAAGGTCCAATAAGAATACCCTTGGTATGTCATACGTGAATGGTCATCCTTCGGATGTAGTCCGAGTCTGGTATAATCCTGCTTGACAAACAGGTAGACTGCTATCCGTAGGTAGTATCGGGGATGGGTAAACTAACCAACTTGTGGTAGTATGGGTATATGGTCCCTTCAACTTATTAGACTGATTCAGTATTGACTTTGACTGTCAATCTGGGTCTCAATTACAGTCTTCTCGATACGAATCTATGCGTGAAAATGTCACAATTCACAGCATAGACGTTTAGCCAAAATTTAGGCGTGTCAGCGGCTGCAGCAAAGAAAAAGGCCGAAGAAGAGGCGGCCAGGAAGGCCGCAGAGGAGGCGCGGAAACAGAAGGAGGCAGCAGCGTGGGAGTTGGAGGAGCGCTGGAGGGTAATGGCAGAGGTGGCCACCGCTCGTAGTCGGCGGGGTTCTTTGCCAGGAGGAAGTTCAGTGGTGGTGGAAATCCGAAAGGAAAAGGGGAAAGGCAAGGCCAAGGCCCAGGTAAGTGCCGAAGGCCCTCAAAATTAGCCTTTTACTAACATTACTGTTGGTAGCCTGTTGGCGGGGATCCCGATGACGGCGGCGACGGGGATGATGACGACGACGACGAAGATGACAGGGCTCCCTGCGAACGATGCAGGAGCAAGAAGATCTCTTGCCAGATGCAGGCTGGCAAGAGGAGTTCGGTCATTTGCAAACCCTGCCACGATGCAAAGGTGCAGTGCTCGTATTCCGGGCGGCCCTCGACAGTGAAGCGGGAGGGAGGAGGAAATCCGATCGGCGAGTGGATGGCAGTACTTGAGAGCCAGATGGCTCAATTACTCGCCGATAACCGTCAACTCCGGGATGGTCAAATCAAGGCGAATACTTACCATCGCCACATGACCCAGAAGTTGGAATGGTTGATAATGAATGCCACTAGGAGAAGAAATTCGCCCACTGAATTGCCGGAGGCCGGGCCATTGGCACCGTCGAAGAAAAGAAGGAGGGCAGCAGATAATGATGAAGAGGAAGAAAGGGAGATTGAAGGGGAAATGGAGAAGGACGGGGAAGAAGTGGACATGGAAGAAGAAGGAGAAGAGGAAAACAATGAACTGGTGCCAAAGAAGGCCCGGTCGGAGAAAGGGAAGGACAGGGAGGAGTAGAGTAGCGTATCATCGGACATTGGACATCGGCCCCTCGGCCCTTTCTTGTCGTTTTTCTTGCCTCCTTGTACCTTCCTACATATATTTTTTATCTTGCTTTGTATATAAAAAATGTTATCGTGTTTTAAAATCAGAAAGTGAATGGACCGCAAAGCGGCGGAAGAATTAATTAGTTCGAAGTATAAGTAGTTTAAGTGTGAATGAAACATAAGTGAAACAGTAAATTGAAGAATAGTATAAGCAATTAAGAGAGAGAGGTAAACACTCAATTTACTATTATTGTGTTTACCCTCTAAACGCACAAAGTAAACTTTGGCGGAGCATGGCGGAAAAGGAATAAAATATTTTTGTGATCAAGGTCCAGGTTTCTGAGGGTATCGAGCGTGGAATGCGGGTACCAGTTCATCTGCATGTAGTTCATCAGCAGCAACCCAAGAGAATTCATCGTCGGTACCTTCGTAACCGGCCCACCGAATATAGTAACGTAGAGGACAACACTTGTACCTTTTGTCCAGCTTGGAGTCCAGGATTTCGGCAACGTTGTACTCCTCTTCACCATCAACCTCAATTGGGGGTGGAGGAGATTGAGTACGATTCGGGAATGGGTTCGGCGTAACCGGCTCCAGCTGTGAGACGTGGAAGACCAGGTGAATCCGGCGAAGATAATCTGGGAGCTTGAGCTCGTAAGATAAAGTACCAGGTCAACTGATGACCTTGAAAGGACCAAGATATTTTTCAGAGAATTTTTCAGTAGGATGAATAGATCGGATATGCTTAGCCAGAACAAATACTTCGGAGCCGATCGGGAACTCCGGGTGCAAGATTCTTTTCCTATCAGCTTGCTCCTTGTAACGAGATTGAGCTAGAAGGATTTCCTCTCAAAGGAAAACATGGAGTTCATTGAGGTTGACGACGAAGTCTCTGGCTAGATCAGACTTCATGTCAACCTCGGGCTGAACGGTGATATTTGGATGGTATCCTTTGTTAGCAAAGAATGGAGTAATACCTGTGGAAGCATTGGGAGCGTTGTTATAGGCGAACTCGGCAATTGGAAGTAAAGGCGACCAGTCATCTTGTTGGTGGGAGCAATAGATCCTGATGTACTGCTCGAGAGTTTGGTTGACACGCTCAGTCTGCCCATCGGCTTCCAGATGATATCCAGAGGTATAGTGAAGTTTCATGGAGAGTGCTTTACCGAGAGCCCAGAAAAACGCCGAAACAAATTCAGAACCACGATCCGAAGTGACATGATTAGGAACACCATTCTTAGAGAAAACGTGAATAACAAAAAGCTCAGCTAGTTGTTCAGAAGTAATAGTGTCGAAAGTTGGAATGAAGATTGCTTGCTTGGATGATTGATCCATGACAACTAGGATAGCTGTGTAGCCATTCGACATTGGCAGTTGCTCAATGAAGTCCATGGAAATGGAATCCCATGGTCAGACTGGAACCGGCAGAGGTTTCAACAAGCCGTAAGGCTGATGGCAGCGGGGCTTATTGCGACCACAAGTAGTGCAGGAAGTAACGTAGTCACGAACAAAGTCTCTGACCTTAGGCCAGGTGTATTGACGACATACAGCTTCTAAAGTGCGGTTCTGGCCGAAATGGCTGGAGAGTGGGTGATTGTGAAAGTAGCGGAGAACTTGAAGGCGAAGATCGCCATGATTAGGAACATAAATATGGTCATCAAGGTGTAATAACCCGTCACTACCTAAGCTCCAACGTTCATTGGAAGGATCTTTTGCAAGTTCCAAACCAACAACGGAGCTCGGGTCCTTCGGAAGAGCGAAAATGATAGCTTGATGTAAAGCCTTGATATCCATGACGATACATACAGGCTCGGAGCATTGGGCCTTCTAGGAAGGTAGCTTGAAGAGAAGTGGTGAGTTGCTCATTAGTGAAGATAGGTCTGAAGTTGTGAGGGTTGACTTGCGCATAGCCGATATCCCCCTCTTTGGGATAGATGTCCCAGCATCTAGTTATTGAATCTGGTTTTTCGCCGAGCTTTCCCGGTCGGAAGTGAATCACCATATTGAATTGATGCAGGTATTCTGACCAACAGACCTGTCGACGGGCCTATGCCTATTTTCACTCATAGGAAGGTATTTAGCCATAAACTGGGCCAAAGCCCCATTAAATTGAATGCATCATGCAGGGCCCTACAGGAAGGGTATGGTATGGTAAATAATATAAATGAAAAAAAGAAGTCTAAGTAAAAAATAAAATAACAAGGTTAGAGTGGAGTGAAATGGTTGAAAGTAAGATGTGATGTGGGAGAGGAGGGAGGATGACCAAAAAATGACCAGATCAACCTAGATCTGCCCAAACATCAGTTGAAAACCATGTAAAACACCAATAAAAGATATCATAGACACACTGAGAACCCAGACCTCTAATCTATACATAAAAGACAAGGAAAAATGATGTTGAAGCTGTCAGAGCTATGGCAGATCCTTGAATCTGAGGCAAGGCCTGTACAGATGAAAGGAGGACCTGGAGGGTGATGTTGAAGCTATCAGAGCTGTGGAAAAAAGCCAGTGTTCTCACCCAAATCACCAAAGTGGCAGGAGATGGTGGTGGTAAGAGAGAAAGGAAGAGCTGATGGGATCACATGATTCTGATCTTTTTCACACAGGCCTCTGCTCAGAAACTCTGGCACCTGACTGAAACAGAACACATGATCAACACATCACCTAATCCAACTGGCCCCATGTGAGGTGCTACCTGTACACATCTGAGAACAGAAGTGAGGTGTGACCTGTGCACATGTTGAGAAGTGAGGTCTGGCCTGTACACAACTGAAGAAGTGAGGTGGAAACACCTGTACACAACTGAAGAGGTGAGGAACACAGCCTGTACACTTCTGTAAAAAATCAGGTGGAACCTGTACACATCTGAGGGTGAGACCCTGTACAGAAGTGAGGTAAAACCTGGAGAGAGAGAAATAAATCTGTACACAGCTGAAAAGTGAGGTTGTGGAGAAACCTGTACACATTTTCAGAAGTGAGGAATATCTGTAGAGTTTTTGGTGAGAGGAAGCAACTGAATATTTATGTACCTGTCAGAAGTGAGGAGGAGGCCTCCTGTACACTTCCAAGGTACTGAATGGAAGATTCAGTTGCTGGTGGAGATCTGTTGGTTTGCAGAGGCCTCCAGAAACGCTCCCTACCCTTGGAATCCGCCTTCATGTCGACTAATTGCTGTGGTGTATCTGTTGTTTGCAGAGGCCTCCAGAAACGCTCCCTACCCTTGGAATCCGCCTTCATGTCGAACTCCTGCCAGTGTAAGGTCCAATAAGAATACCCTTGGTATGTCATACGTGAATGGTCATCCTTCGGATGTAGTCCGAGTCTGGTATAATCCTGCTTGACAAACAGGTAGACTGTCATCCGAAGGTAGTATCGGGGATAGGTAAACTAACCAACTTGTGGTAGTATGGGTATATGGTCCCTTCAACTTATTAGACTGATTCAGTATTGACTTTGACTGTCAATCTGGGTCTCAATTACAGTCCTCTTGATACAAATCTATGTTGAAGGAGACTGCACTTGTTGAAGTTGAAACACACTGGAGCGCCCTTCAGCTAACCCAAGCAGTATGCCACCCAGCTCAGTGCAGAGAATGTCAATGCCTTAATACAAGCTCAGTAGGTTGGTTGTGCTACAGAGTCTTGTAGTTGCTCAGTACTCCAATAAACACAGTAACAATGACCAGAGTCAATATAGTATGAGTATTGATTTGTATCTTTCAACTATAGTAGGAATACAGGTTTGTTTGGTCTTGTATGTACTAGAAACGCATGAGGCATGATAATAGGTGTCCACAATTGTGCGCACCTATGAAAACTAACTAACTACAGTAACACTAAAGAAATAGCTAAGTTATGAGTTGTAAAACTAAGTAATGATGTCTGTAAGTACTTTGTACACTAAGTAAGTCACTACAGTGATAACTAGGAGTGATGAGGCGCTGTGTAATGTATGTAGAAAGTGTTCTATCACTACAGTATGCTCAACAATCTATATGTGAAAATGTCACAATTCACAGCATAGACGTCTAGCCAAAATTTAGGTGTGTCAACGGTAGATCACACAGTGCATCTTTAAGGGTTTCCTATAGATGCAAAAGATGTACAGGATATGATAGAATATGATATGCGAAGTGCGACGACTCCCAGATTTTACAACCGGCTATCCATATTATCGCAGTTTCGCTTATGCCTTGACAATCTTTCATTAAAAATCCTCCCGTATAAAGGACTATTGACACGCACTAGTAACTCTCCCAAGGCGTCGAACAGTTTGGTGACTTTTGTCAAAATAGGTGACGATGCAGCAGCAGGTATCACAGGAGATGGAGAAGCGAACGGTGCCCCAGAAGGAGATGATTTGAAGAAGTACACTGAAAACTTCTCCGACGTAGCTTCTGACCACAAAGGCGAAAACCACAATGATAAAGCGAAGATCAATCCCATCAAGGTAAAGACTACCTGCCCAATTCTGAGGACAGATACAAACTGTAAAGAATTTGATACTGGGACTTCTGTTCTAAGAGAACAACTCACTAGTTTTGGCATGATATACCAGAGCTTGGGAAATTTAAACGAGATGTCCTTCTCATCCTCCTCGATCCAAAGTATGATCCTTGTGCGCTGTTCGCGATTTCCGTCGCCGGTGGCTATCATTCGATAGCGACTATCTATATTGATATAGGCCTGATATCAGATCAGCAGGGACTAGCAACAACGTCACAAGAATACACTACCAAGGAAGTCACCCAGGTTTGATCTGTATGACGAAAAGGTAGCTCAGCAAAAAAGACCAGTGAGAGATTAGGATTTACCATTTCCGTGCTTCAAAGCTTGTAATTTTTCAGCATGCTTCACCTCTAAGATCAAAGCACAACCCTTAGTCGTACCCATGATTACTGCTTGGCCTTGGTTTATGAAGAGGACAGGAAGGGGAACATTGTGTTAAAGTCATGACTGAAAACAAAGTGACCAGACTGGGGATTGAACCCAGGACCTTCTGGTTATATTCCAGATGCTCTAACCAACTGAGCTATCCGACCTTGGTTCAACTAATGAGGACTTTACATATGGTAACAGTGGCCATCCAATCAACACTTCTTAAGGACTTACTATCTTCTTTTGCCTTGGTTGATGGAATTTTGCATAATACCATTTACACCTCATTAGGGTGTCAGGATTCCTATGCCTATTTTCACTCATAGAGAAGTGTTTAGCCATAAACTGGGCCAAAGCCCCATTAAATTGAATGCATCATGCAGGGCCCTACAGGAAGGGTATGGTATGGTAAATAATATAAATGAAAAAAGAAGTCTAAGTAAAAAATAAAATAACAAGGTTAGAGTGGAGTGAAAGGGTTGAAAGTAAAGATGTGATGTGGGAGAGGAGGGAGGGTGACCAAAAAATGACCAGATCAACCTAGATCTGCCCAAACATCAGTTGAAAACCATGTAAAACACCCATAAAAGATATCATAGACACACTGAGAACCCAGACCTCTAATCTATACACAAAAGACAAGGAAAAATGATGTTGAGGCAGGTCCTTGAATCTGAGGCTAGGCCTGTATAGATGAAAGAAGGACCTGGAGGATGATGTTGAAGCTATCAGAGCTGTGGAAGAAAGCCAGTGTTCTCACCCAAATCACCAAAGTGGCAGGAGATGGTGGTGATAAGAGAGAAAGGAAGAGCTGATGGGATCACATGATTCTGACCTTTTTCACGCAGGCCTCTGCTCAGAAACTCTGGCACCTGACTGAAACAGAACACATGATCAACACATCACCTGATCCAACTGGCCCCATGTGAGGTGCTACCTGTACACATCTGAGGACAGAAGTGAGGTGTGACCTGTACACATGTTGAGAAGTGAGGTCTGGCCTGTACACAACTGAAGAAGTGAGGTGGAAACACCTGTACACAACTGAAGAGGTGAGGAACACAGCCTGTACACTTCTGTAAAAAATCAGGTGGAACTTGTACACATCTGAGGGTGAGACCCTGTACAGAAGTGAGGTAAAACCTGGAGAGAGAGAGATAAATCTGTACACAGCTGAAAAGTGAGGTTGTGGAGAAACCTGTACACATTTTCAGAAGTGAGGAATATCTGTAGAGTTTTTGGTGAGAGGCAGCAACTGAATATTTATGTGTTAGGATTGATGACTAATTCCAATCCTGACACCCTGATGAGGGGCAAATGCTGATTATACATATTCATATCATCCAAGGCAGAAGACAGTGTAAGACCTAAAAGTGTTGATTGGACTGTCAGTGTCACCATATGCATAAGCCTCATTAGTTGAACCATGGTCGATAGCTCAGTTGGTTAGAGCATCTGGAATATAACCAGAAGGTCCTGGGTTCAATCCCCAGTCTGGTCACTTTGTTTTCAGTCATGACTTTAACATTATGTACCTGTCAGAAGTGAGGAGGAGGCCTCCTGTACACTTCCAAGGTACTGAATGGAAGATTCAGTTGCTGGTGGGGATCTGTTGGTTTGCAGAGGCCTCCAGAAACGCTCCCTTGTTGAGCATACTGTAGTGATAGAACACTTTGTACATACATTACACAGCGCCTCATCACTCCTAGTTATCACTGTAGTGACTTACTTAGTGTATAAAGTACTTACAGACTTCATTTCTTAGTTTTACAACTCATAACTTAGCTATTTCTTTAGTGATACTGTAGTTACTTAGTTTTCATAGGTGCGCACAATTGTGGACACCCATTATCACGCCTCATGCGTTTCTAGTACATACAAGACCAAACAAACCTGTATTCCTACTACAGTTGAAAGATACAAATCAATACTCATACTATATTGACTCTGGTCATTGTTACTGTGTTTATTGGAGTACTGAGCAACTACAAGACTCTGTAGCACAACCTACTGAGCTTGTATTAAGGCATTGACATTCTCTGCACTGAGCTGGGTGGCATACTGTTTGGGTTAGCTGAAGGGCGCTCCAGTGTGTTTCAACTTCAACAAGTGCAGTCTCCTTCAACAGGTTATGGGCCCCGTGCTCTAAACTGTGCATTGATCTGTTGTTGTCCTTGCTTGTTCTTTACTTGTGCGCTCCCATCAGTACTCCTACTGTTGTGGTCTTTCCAACTACCTTCTGTCTATCTTGACTACTGGTAACAATGTCTTCTACAACCATCTCAACCACTCCATCATTTAAAGTCCTCACCAAGGACAACTACAATGACTGGCAGGGGAACATGAAAGCATCTCTGATGTCTCATGGGTTATGGAGACTAGTCAGTGGAAAGGAGAAACAACCCCCAGCCTCTGATACAGAGAAACTGGAGAAATGGGAACTTAAAGCTGAAAAGGCTGCTGGCTTGATTTATCTTGCTGTCAGTCCTGCTCAACAAGTTCCAATAAAGGCTCATCAAGAGGATCCTATTCGTATGTGGTCTATCCTGGAGAAGCAACATGTGTCCAAGAAGCCTGGTGCTAGGTTTAATGCCTATAATGCGCTCTTCACCATCACAAAGTCTGCTGATGAATCTCTAATGGATATGGCTGCTAGAGTTGAAGCTGCAATGGCTGATATTCAGAATCTGCGCCCTCCTGTTGCTCCTATTGCTGTCCAGTCAAATGGACTTCCTGCCCTCGGATTCACACTCGATTCCTTGGACTCTGAATTACAATCTATGGCTCTCATCCGTGCTCTACCAGAGGAATACAGGCACCTATCTTCAAACTTGCTTATGCAGGACAACCTCGATAAAGAGAAAATCCTTGCAGCATTCCTAGCAGAACAGCAGAATCAAGAGCACGCTGAGCAGCAGTCTGTGAATCGAGCTGCACAGGCTGCATCCTCTTCTAACAAGAAGAAGAATAACTACAGAGCTCCTGTTAGGACTGGGGAACCTAAGGACTACTGTAAGTGGTGTGGTAAAAAGGCGGTTCACTGGCAAGAGGACTGTCCCATTAACCCCCACAACAAAAGGAAAGGCATTCAAGCCAATAAAGCTAAAGTGACAGAGGTAGATGATGATGGGGTGACTGAAAGTGCTGGTTCAGCTACTGCAAGTTCTCTTTCTAATGTACTTTCTGCTTCATCATTTGCTGATACTATGGAATGGAATACAGACACAGGCGCCACTTCTCATATGACTCCACACAGAAACTGGATTCGAAACTATACTCCACATAGAGTTCCAATTCGACTTGCAGATCATACTGTTGTGTATTCTGAAGGAATGGGCGAGGTGCTTTTCACTCCTATTGTTGATGGCAAAGAAGCCAGACAAGTGTTATTTTCTAGAGTCTTACATGTACCTTCACTTAATAACAATCTCCTCTCTGTTCTATATCTCACCAAGCACAAAGGTTTTACTGTACAAATCCTAAAAGATACAATGGAGTTTACTCTTAATGGTTCTGTTCTATTTACTGCTTCAGTCAATAACAAATCAGTTGGTTATCTTAATGGTCTTACTATAAGTAATGGTACAGAGGATGAAAGTGCGCATATTGGTGGTACAACTCTGCCTCTGAATCTTGAGCTTTGGCATAGACGCTTCTTTCACTATAATTATGGTGATGTTAGCAAGCTGTCTAAGAATAAGATGGTTGAGGGCTTTAAACTCGAGTCTAGTGCAAAACCAGACCCAGTATGTGAACCTTGTCTTGGGGGAAAGATGCATGCAAATCCCTTCCCCAGTACTGAGACCCGCGCTTCTGAAGTGTTGGAACTTGTCTTTACGGATGTACATGACACTGGTATCATCTCACATGAAGGCTACCGCTATTGGATTCCGTTCATCTGCGATAAGGCACGCTTTAGAGCAGTAATACCGATGAAGAAAAAGAGTGATGCATTTGCAGCATTCAAGCGGTTCAAGGCCTGGGCTGAGAAGGTTACTGGATTAAAAGTCAAGATACTCAGACACGATAAAGGTGGAGAGTATATATCCAAGGAGTTTGAAAAGTTCTTACAAGATGAAGGGATTGAAGTACAACGTACAGCTAGAAATCGACCTCAACAAAATGGAGTCGCTGAAAGGCTAAATAGGACATTGGCGGAACTACTGACTGCTATGCTGTTGAAGGAGACTGCACTTGTTGAAGTTGAAACACACTGGAGCGCCCTTCAGCTAACCCAAACAGTATGCCACCCAGCTCAGTGCAGAGAATGTCAATGCCTTAATACAAGCTCAGTAGGTTGTGCTACAGAGTCTTGTAGTTGCTCAGTACTCCAATAAACACAGTAACAATGACCAGAGTCAATATAGTATGAGTATTGATTTGTATCTTTCAACTGTAGTAGGAATACAGGTTTGTTTGGTCTTGTATGTACTAGAAACGCATGAGGCGTGATAATAGGTGTCCACAATTGTGCGCACCTATGAAAACTAACTAACTACAGTAACACTAAAGAAATAGCTAAGTTATGAGTTGTAAAACTAAGTAATGATGTCTGTAAGTACTTTATACACTAAGTAAGTCACTACTGTGATAACTAGGAGTGATGAGGCGCTGTGTAATGTATGTAGAAAGTGTTCTATCACTACAGTATGCTCAACATATGCTGCTGGAATCGGGTTTACCAAAGACATTCTGGGTGGAATGCCTGGCTGCGCTTGTTTATGTGTTGAACCGTTGCCCAACATCAGCTGTTCCAGATGTGACTCCGTATGAAGTCTTCTACAAGAAGAAACCTAATGTGGAGAATCTTCGGGTATGGGGATGCATGGCCTATGTGCATGTTCAAAAGGACAAGAGACTACACCTGTTGAGCATACTGTAGTGATAGAACACTTTCTACATACATTACACAGCGCTTCATCACTCCTAGTTATCACTGTAGTGACTTACTTAGTGTATAAAGTACTTACAGACATCATTACTTAGTTTTACAACTCATAACTTAGCTATTTCTT